ATAGATATATTTTAAAAACAATATCCACATGGAAAGAGTCACCATTATGCATTCTATTTTGATTGCAATTTTAAATTGTGGGCTATTCAAAGTTAGTTTTGGGAGTCAGAATTGAACTCGGTAACCTCAAAAACCTAATATAAAAAACATTTTACAAGCCATATCCGATCGAAAAAAATGACATTTAATTAAAATCCGCCATTTTGGACTTCATTTTGGTTTCCATTTTGGATTTTTAAATTATTTATTGAAATCAGAATTACACTACCGGTAAATGACACTGAAAACCAAGTTAAAGACATGTTGCAAGTCATATCCAACAGGGAAAGATAACGATTAATTTAAAATCTGCTATTTTTAACTGCCATTTTGAATTTCTGACAAGTTAGAATTTCAAAATTCATTTTTAAATTCAGAAATATGTTAAATAGTGACTTGTTATATACTGGGACCATGCCATTTTATTACCAAAATTTGCAGCCATTTTGAAAAAATGAACGGCACCTTGTGCAAAATACATTTTTTTATTATTATGTTGGTCAAATTTGTTATTTTTAGAACATTTTTCCTCTATAACCACTGTGTATTGTAAGATTTAAAAAACCCCAGCTATTTATTATTCAAACACTGAAACTCACTGGTTAAGAGATCTCGCTCTCAGAAGCTTCCTGGAGACTGCCATATTGAATTATGTTAAAGGACAGTGTTGGTGTCAGACATTATCACATATGTGATAGAATTGGTTAAACATGTTCCAAATATAATTTGAACACTGAGATCATTGTTATGATAGATGCGTTATGAAGCTTTCAAGAAAGGGAAGTGACGAACGCAAAAGGAAAACATGAATTATAACACACGGTCGAATTTCAGCTCACTAATAATTCTTTGAAGACCAAAAGTTGGTATGTGGGGCTGAGAGAGAGAGAGAGGGAGAGAGAGATATGGGTTTAACTCCACTTGACACAAACTAGGTCATTTCGGGACTAAAACATGGTTCAATTTTATTTAAATTATTTGTTGCGCATAGGGGTCTTTAGCAGTGGAAGGAATCTGGAACGTGTTTAACCAGTTCTATCACATATTTGATAAGGACTGACACCAATGTTGTCCTTTCAGTACGTATGATGTTGTCAAATGTATGTATGATTGAACCCAACTGGATTGGTTTCTTTTGCAATTTGTTTGGGCTCACTCCACTTTTGAGATTAACTTCCCAGTCTAACAAGAGGATGTTTTACTCTCTCCTCAAGAACAAACCAAATCATTTCATTCATTATTTACAGTTTCATAAGGTGAAGGTATGGACAATCTTGCCAGTGCTAACCCTGAAAATTACATGTAACATGCTGTTCAAGATACATTGTGTAAGAGCTAAATCTGTCTACTTACGGTCTTTATTTTTGGCTTCAAATGTTATATAAATTATTATTTAGACATTTATTTACATGCCAAGCCTATAATCCATCTTCTTATAAGGCGTTTTTATGATAAACCGATTATGGCTAATCGATTTGCAAATCATTTTCAAACACATTTACGGCAAATAATAGCCCAATCAGTTTCACCTAATTGTTGAATTTACCACAACGATTTGCCAAATTGATTATGCAAATCTACCAACTTGCTCGCCTGCTGGACTGACGATTCAATTTCCAAGATGGTGTTCCCCACAAGCGACACGAAGTGCCCGAAGTTAGTTCATTTTCTTTTGAATTTCACGTTAAAATATGAATATCATGGACATTCCTGATACAAATACGGGGCATTTGGGAATAGTCAACTGGTGCAACTTCTCGTTTTTATTTTTGGGCAGTGTCTTCAAGAATAGAATAAAGAAAAATGAATTTTTTAACATTTTTCCTCAATTTTTCAGTCTTCAGCCATCTTTCACGGCAACTTGTTGCGTTTACGAGAACCGATTCGAATACCAACTCGAGATCTACTTCATGTACAAAATGAGATCGGTAATTGAAACCGATTTGTTTTCTCGTAAAAACATCTGTAGACTATTGGATGGCTGGGATTCAAATGGATTAGAACACCCACAAGCTTTTAAAATTTAACAATAACGTGGATAATCAAGATATAGTTTTGGTTCTCAAGTACTGTTGCTACGATAATAAGTGATCTTCAAAGAGCCATAACTTTGCCAACAATAAAGTAATTTGAATAAAATTTTCAATATTCATTATCTATTTTCGAATTATTATAGCAAGATGGACCCGCTCTTTATCGAAGTCTTACATAATGCATCTTTAGATATATTTGATATTTTGGGCCTGTAAGAGTACACAGATTTGAATCTATAAATATAACCTGTATAAATTCTGAATACAATCGTGATAAGTTAAAATGACATGGCTAAGTATATTGACTCGAAGAATATGATAGAGTTTAATTAATCAAGATTTGTACCCCACACAAAGGTATCCTTTATCTGTTTATTGGTATAAATGTGTTTGTTTTATTCAATGTACACAATGACTTCATGAAATATATAAGGTTTTATATCTATTCAATATCAACTAGGTCAATCTGGGACAAATGTATTGTTTATTTCAATAACTTGCTTGCCAAATAGTTCAGAAAGCGGGCCTACTCATTATCATGTACTTCTGAGTATTGAAATGAAATGGAGTTTTAACATCCTACTTTTCTGTCATGCAGTGTTTTTTCTTCCCTTGCAAACCATTAGACACAGTTCCTTGGCACCCCCTCTATTCTCAGAAGTATTATTCAAGAATGAAATATTTTCAGAAATGAAATATTATCATTCATTAAAATCTGTGAATATATTGACTTTTTGAAATCAGTTATTACATATTACATTCATATTACATATTATTATGTTGGAAGTCAATATAAACAAAAAATTAAATAAATTTTAATGTCATATTTCTTTTTTTGCATCAATCAAGCAAATTAAAACTGGCATATGCGCTATGGACTACTTTTAGGTTCTCTTTAATGTCCAACTGGGGGGGGGGGGGGTTGTTGACACATGTTCATTGCATCATAAGGTCTGTCATTGTGTCAGGGCCATGTTTTAGATTCCCTGCTTGTTTGTGACAAGGAGAAGGGGCGCCTGTCCAACCTCATGGTTTTTATACGCCCACATTGAAATGTAGTATATTGTCTGTTGGTCCGTCCAGCATCCACAATTGCTCGCTCTAGAGGCTAAAGTTAATATCCGATTGACTTTAAATTTATACACAGTGTTTAAGGTCATAAGACGAAGAAGCCTATTGATTTGCAACGATTTCCGATACTTACTGCCAGAGTTTTGGCCCTTGATCTTGTTGAAATACCTTGTTGACACTCTAGGAGCTAAAGTTAATATCCCATTGACTTTAAATTTATGCACAGTGTTTTAGGTCATGTGACGCAGAAGTCTATTGATTTTCAACAATTTTCAGATCGCCTTGAAATATTTTGTGGGCACTCTAGAGGCTAAAGTTAATATCCGATTATTGACTTAAATTTATACATACTGTTTAAGGTCATGAGACGAAGAAGCCTTTTGATTTTCAACTATTTTTGATAATTACTGACCTCTTTGAAAAATCTTGTTAAAGCTCTTGTGGGTAAAGTTAATATCTGATTGACTTTAAACTTATACACAGTGTTTAAGATCATGAGACAAAGAATCCTATTCATTTTCATCGCTTTCTGATAACTACTACCTGAGTTAAGGACCTTGATCACTTTGAAAAATCTTGTGGGCACTCTAGAGGCTAAAACTCCATTTCATTCATTCATTTACTCTAGAGGCTAAAGTTAATATAAATTGTTTAAGGTCATGAGACAAACAGTCGAAACAAATTCTAATGTTTTCTGATAATTACTTCATGGGTTATTACTCGTAATCAGATTTTCATGTGTTGTAAATGTTCTCATTACTGACAAAAGAAAAAAATATGCGACAGCACTTGTTGACTGTCCGGATGACTTAGCTGCTGTGGGCGTATGTTAGTTGCCTGGCAACCTATCTTTCTTCAGGTCCTCCAACCATAAGTTGAACCATATGTTAGTCCCGGAATAACCTGGTTTGTTTCGAGTCGACGTTAAACCTCGTTTCTCTCTCTCTCACTGCTTTATTTTGGACCTTGTTTGTTTCTCCATTCCGAATTACTACATTCTTGCCAACTATTTATCCTGTAGCACTGACAAGGGGAAGCCAGTCTGTCCCTTTCATCATCGGACCAGGGACCTCCTTCTGGTTGCCTGGAGGTTGGGTGTTCGATCCCTGCATTGGCCGAGAAAGTTCATCCAGATTTTCCGGCGTGGTTCACCCCTTGTAAGTGATGCAGGAAGGAGGGTCTGACAAGGACAGCTGTCTAGTCATTCGGATGGGACAAAAACCGCGATCCTGTGTACACGTTGGTGTGCTCGTAAAAGATCCCTTGACAGTTGGAATTCGATATAAGAGTAGGCCGTAGTGCCGCTGTCTGGGCAAAATTTCCCTCATAACACACTGTATGGGGTATGCCCGTCTTCATTAGGCCAATTCGGAGCAGAACAGTAGGACTTTGTAACCCATTTTATTTCATTTCCTTCTGGTTGCAGTATCTCCAAAGTTAATATAAGATACATGTACATGTAGTTATATTCCCTCACCACCCTACCCCCATCCCCCTGGATCCATTCACTTGATTTGATGTTTGTTGGTTGTTTCTTGTAAAGTCTGTGTAGTTTGTCTTGTCCGTGGTTTGTCTTATCAGTTTTGTTTTGTGTGTAGTGCTGTTCTGCTGCACTTACTAATAGGTGCTATATATAATATATATATATATATATACGTACATTTACTTCCATGACTTAATTGGAAGCAGTTAGTAGTTTTAATCCAGTACTTTCAATGTCTGTGTAGTTTGTCTTGTTCACCGGTTTGTATTGTCGGTTTTGTTTTGTGTGTAGTGTGGTCCTCCTGTCCTTTCTATTATAGTTTATAAATAATCAGTATTTTCAGTTAAACCTATGACTGTTTTTTTTTCTTTCAGTTTATCTATAAATGGATGAGCCTAAGACAGGTGTAATAGGTACATGTACTTCATGCTTACAGGTAAGTTATAAAAAAAATATAACACTGTCTGTACCACATAGATTACAAATCATAATTTCTCTTCAACTACATTCATTATTGATCGAAAATATAATTATATTCACTTCCTATGTAATGGGGCCCACAGTGTTCGATTGTGTGTGTGTGTGTGTGTGTTTGGGGGGGGGATTGGGTGTCTGAATGATCTTCCCAGTACATGGCAAGGACTAGCGTCCAAACTTGAGGGTTTTCTCTGGGCCATCCCACATCTAAAGATCCCAATATTAATGTGCAAGCGAAGTACATGTATTGAAATAAAATTGAACCGTGTTGTAGTACCTAAATAACCTAGATTTTGTTGAGTTGACATTAAACCATCTCTCTCACACTCTCTCTCTGCCTAGTCTTTAGGTTGCGACAAAAAACCAGTTCATATTGCCATTTGAAAGAATCCTCTGCTCTCTTTTGGTGGACAGTTCTTTTGTGACCAAACCATTTATAAATAACTTGATGAAGCTCGCTGGAAACCACAGAATAGTTCTAGAAGCTCGCTGGAAACCACAGGATGGTTCTAGACAGAGTCTGGTAAAATGTTCAGACCACCCAATTTCATAGTTCACTTCCGTGCAGATCTAATTTCTTATTAACTTGAAATTTGTAGTCATAATAATCATTGAGTTTTAATTCCAAAAACCTAAAATGAGACATGATTTATTTAGAATGTATATATTCCGTAGACAGAATATTTAAAGAAGATAAAAATCTGTCAGGGTTTAAAGAGATATTTCATTGAGTAAAACATGGGTTAGTGTCGATCCACAAATTCATGTATATACTTTACATATGAAGTTAGCCATCTCTCTCTCTCTCTCAAAATGTTTTTCAATGAGATATCTCTTTAACTTTAAGCCTTGTATGTTAAATGTGTAATTCAATGCACAGTTTGTGATTAAATTTTAAATGAAGCTAATATAAAAAGATGTTAGATAGGGGCGAGGTGTTTTTACTCACAGTATGGGTCAACACATTTTTACAATTATTTAATAACATTACATTTATAAATGAAAAGAATGTGAAAAAAGTTTAATTTATATCAGTTGATATCAGTCTGTGAATGAACTTTAATTTAGAATTAAATGGATTAGACGTGTTTCCTAGTGCAGTATATAATACAGGTTTAAAATCCCCTTTCAACAGTTGTACAAAACAGATTTAAATAATAAGTGCAGGAGAACTGCACTACACACAAAACAGAACCGATGAGACAAACCTGCGGACATTAAATATTAACATTAAATATTTAACAGCATTCTGTAGGAATTGTATGATTTTATTTAAATATCATAATATTTATACTGAATAAAGAAGGCAGAATTGAGCTTTCCAGTTAAAAGAGATTCCTGAGCAGAATGGCTCAGGATTGATTCAGCTTGCTCATGACATCATGTCTGGTTGTTTGGAGATGTAAGATTTAGATAAAGAGCTGACTGTTCTGGATATAATAGTTCAAAAATAGATAAAGAAAAATGAATATATTGAAAATTTCAGTCAAATTACTTTATTCTGGGCAAAGCGATGACTGTTCGAAGATGCAGCGCAGATCATTTATTGTCGTAGCAACGGTACTTAGTCTCGATTATCCATTTTATTGTAGAATTCTGATATCTAGTGGTTGTTCAAATTCGTTTAAATCTTGGCCATCTGATGATATGTAGTCTACAAACAACATCATTTTTTTGTCCCATCCGAACATTTAGACACTGACCTTGATAGGCCCTGGGTACCACTGACAAGGGGGAAAGCTCGCCAATTCCATATAGATGTACCTTACTGTCTAAATAATGATATGATAATATATATACATGTAAGATTTGAAGCCAGAAAAGAGATCTACAAGAGGAAGATTTAGCTCTTACATACTGCATCTTTAATATTATTGCCCCCCCCTTCCCAAGTTATTGATGATCGGTTATTGGTTTGTGTATCATCAAATCATAAAACGCACCCCCCCCCCCCGACCCTACGTGTGATTATCAGTCAACCTATTGCTGTGAAGTTAATCTCTGTGCGTACACTTATTAATCATTGACGTGTGAGATGACCCCCTATATAGTTATAGAACAGTGTAACATAAACTGATATGAGGGTAATGTTACTATGTATCCAGTAGACGTGGTACAAGGGTTAATCAGCGAACTGGATGTATGAGATGTGTTGTTGACGTTTGGGAAAGTAGGACAAGGGGAAATGTGTAGGGAGTGAAGTGCTGTAAAGGGATAGTTAGATGTATTATGAATGGTTAGAGTGGCTGTGGTGTTACGGTGAAATACTATGCCGCCACCGTAACACCACAGCTTTATGATTTGTTAGACAGGAGTGATGTAATGGGTGTCAACAACTGGGTATGCTGGTACCGTCGCAACGTAGCCGTGAAATATATATTGTGGGGGGGAAGGGCGGAAACAGAAAAATATACAATGTTGACAGTATGTGCCAGGCATGAGGCTGCGCAGACCGAGCGGCAGCTCGATAGGGAGTGTGTGGGAGGGTCACCTTCATAAAAAATTTTTTTTTTAAATTTCAGTTTTCTGTAAGCAGTGAAAACACTATTTTGGCATTGTTTGCGGGGTTAAACCTAAAAATCACATTAATACACCTATTGCACGATATTGTGAAAATAGCTGACGAAGACAGCTCGGGCGACGATTGTTCGACTCGGGGCTGCTCTGTCAGTATCTAACAAACGCATTTAGTTCGCGTACAACTTTTAAAAACCGAATGTCAGTATGGTATTTCTCACATAATTGGTTATCGCAAAAACAGAGTAAACTGAAAGCGAGTAATCTCGACTCAAACCTATAGTCTATAGCCTACTTACTACACTCGTCACTAGGCTTCCTATATTATTTATTGTTTGTGGACGGTTTACTACTCAGTGATAAGCCTGCGCCGCAAAAAGAGGTCTCGCCTTTTATTATTAGTATAATGACTTCCTCATGTGCGGCAGGTTAGTTTGCTTCTAAAAACACTGTTTTCCGTTCCAAAAAATACAAAAGTAATTTTCTACCAGATGACCATGGTTCTTTTCACCGAGACTAGATAATTTCTCTCGGTGTAAGGATATAGCTATGGATAAGTTCATACAAGGTCAATAAATCCGCGGTCACTTCGGGTCACACTGTCGAGAAAATAAACCGATGGGTTTGTTTAGTAGCAAATCGAGCGTGAATCAACTGAGTTTGTACTGAAATATTTTTGAGTGATATGTATGAACTGTCTTCACACATTCGGTTTATAATTAGCGATACACAGGTACAGTGGCAAGTGTTGTACTTCACAGACTGTTTACCTCCGAACTACCTCTGCACGAAATCCCCGATTTGGGTACTTGTTAAAAGAAAAAGAAATAGTACCTGCGCGCATGCCAGTAAAAAAAAACTAAGAGTTCGCGCATAAAAATGCCCGAACGTACCAGACGCCAGGTCATCTAGTTCGTGACATCTTCAATTTTAATCTATGTTGCTTGTGTCTCAGTCATTCATACGGGAGGGACAAACAACAGTAATGCTATGGGCGTAGACCACAATTTTTTTTTTCTCCCTTAAAGCCGCTGCGCTGATTGTCATTTCAATATTTTGGACAAGGTCTAAAGTTTCACTGCTTAAAGATACATTATGCAAAAACTAATTGGCTTAAATGTTTTATAAATTATAAGTTAGACATTTATTAACAGATAAGATAAGATAAGATTTTATTGTATCATCATTGCATCCACCAAGGACAGCATACACAGTTTAAACAAAAGTTGATTATACAATTATAACATAACATCTGGGCTGATCATTTATGGATGTATAATGTGATATAATAAGTCTATGAGCGTCAAAAGATGATCGGTATAAACCTTAATCAACTCTCGATGCCTTCAGAATGCTCCTAATTTTAACTAGTTTAGAATGGTTCGGCCATTTAATGATTTAATTTAAAAATGGAGGATCATGTCTAACTCTTGAATATACCAGTACTGTGGTAACGATAATATTAAACAATCAATGCACACATTTTGTCAAAACTACAAACAGTGATAACTTGGCTCAGAATAAAGTAATTTAAATGAATCTTTGAATATATTCATTTTGCATTATCTATTTTTATAACTATTATAGCAAGAACGGCCAGCTCTTTATCTAAATCTTAGATAATGAATCTTAAATCCACACTAAATACTACTCAGATCGATTGTTTGACATTTAATGATGTACCATATTTTTGTCGGAAGATGACCTAGTTTGTATTGAGGGGACGTCAAGCCCCACATTTTTTCATCTATCTGGTGTTATATGACATGTACTCACAGCTAATTACAAGTCTTTATATGGTCATGGTTGATTGGTCAACCTATATATTTTTATACATTCAACAGTATTATTGATAATATCTACTGATATATCATGGGTTTTATAAACCTTTAGGATAAATAGGTTATCAGAGATATTAGGAACTCAGTGTTCTCTTAAAGAACAAATATATTCTGCTGAATACCTAACACTTGATAATTTTGGGTGCAAGACTTACAAATTTATTATCCCAAAACATGCAACTGTAGTTCTTTGATGCATTTTTGAGGAGATTAATTTGAGTAAAACATTTAGGCTACTTGCGGTAATTAATGAGACTGTATTTATTTTTTAGTTTTAAAAATAAAAACAGGTCCTGATGCCAAATTACCTGAAAAATAGAATATATTTTTTTAAGGCCTAAAGTTGCAATATTTACAGTGTGTCTATGAGTACCATCTAGTACTTCCACTTTAAACTGGTGCAAACTTTTCGTCTCTAACTTGTATGTACATGTATGGTAGAGCTATCGCATAGATCCCTGCCAAATTTTACAGCTGATATTAATCTGATATCTGAATAACTACTAGTTGATATCCCACAATATAATTATAATGAACTCTGAAAATTAGATATTGTTAATTCATGATTTCTTTAATCCTTTGACTGCAGGGTGCCTGAACATTTCGCTGTCTGGACTGAAACAAAAACACAATGGTAGGTGTGCAGACCTGTAAGTGGAAATAACACATTTAGTTGGACCTGACAAAAGACAAATAACGCTGATTCGTTGAACCCGCTGGAAAAGACACTACTGGACTGTCAAACTTTGTGCTGGACTTTTCAATAATAACACAGACAAATTGGTTGTAGAGACTTGTATGTACAAGGTATGCATTTGTTTCTAACATTGTCTGTGAGTGGCGCCATATTTCCATACTTCAATAAATGTGTGATTTACAAGTTGGTCTGTTAGTGAAGAAGGTTTTGTTAATGTTTGTATTTTATAAAGTGAAAAAATGCAAGTTTGTTGATTCGTCAGTCCAAGAAATCGAGAGTTTGTTAAACATACATTATGCAAAGGCTAAATCTGCCTATTTCAGGTCTTTCTTTAGGCCTAAAATGTTATCTAAATTATTAATTAGACATTAATTAACCTATCCAGGCCATAATACACTCTGGATGGCAGCGCTAGCCTGCGATCTTTAGTGGATTGTAAGCCGATTTACTGCATAACTTTCCTTCTCGATTAAACGATTAAATGGTTAATCGAGACTATGCTGTTTATCGTACTGACTTTAGTAATGATGACCGAGGGTTATGGGAATTTCAGTCGCTTAGTTCTCGGTTCATAGTGGATCAATTTGAATGAAATTTTCACCAAATTGCCTTTACATTATCTAGTTTTTAACTATTATAAAGAGAACTGCCAACTCGTTACTGAATCTCCCATAATGTATCTTTAATTTCACTTCATATAAAGGAACAGTGTCTAGTCATTTGCATGGGTGGAAAAAACAAGATCCTGTGTACATTTTGGCATGCACGTAAAAGATCCCTTGGCAGTTAGAATTTGACAAAGAGCAGGTGGGAATTCTGCTGTCTGCTCAAAATTTCACAGGGAACCACAGTGGCTAAGTGAGTAAGACGCTGGCTCGCTACCCTGGAGGTCACGGGTTCACTCCCGGTGTTGACAAAGAAAGTTCATCAAAATTTTCTGGTGTGGTTTCACCTTGTTGGTGGTGCAGAACGGGGGGCCTGACAAGGACAATTGTCTAGTCGTTCAGATGAGACAAAAGACTGAGGTCCTGTGTACATATTCGCTTGCATGTAAAAGATCAATTGGTAGTTGGAATTCGATGTAATAGTAGGCCATAGCGCCGCTGCCCGAGCAAAGTTTCCTTTATAGAACACTCTATGGCATATGCTCATCTTCATTAGCCCAGTCGGAGCAAAACAGAAGGACGTTAAACCCCATTTCATTTCATTTATTTTGTGTTTTATAGATGTGTGCTAGAAGTTAAATGGGGAAGGATGTCAGGTAGTGAAATGGTGAAACATCAGGATGAGGATGGAGTTATCTCCTCTTTGTTTACAGAATCCAGCCCAATATCCATTGATACATCTTCCATTATTACAGGTAAACTCATTTTGATACAAATATTTTCATATCTTTTGTAATTATTTTGGATAACGTCAGGTGTCCCAGCTATCACAGATTATATATTTTTATAATTCTTATATCCTAGGGTTAATGGTGGTTGAGTGATTGCATTGCACATGCAACCATAAAAATAACATTTGAATTGTAGGAAAATATTATTTGTAATTATTTTGATAAAAGTAGGAGCACAGATTATATGTTGATACAAGTATGTTTTAATGTTAGATAGATCATAAGGTCTGCCATTGAGTCAAGTTGCATGGTTTCGATCCCAGGCTTGTATGTGGCAGGAAGTAGGGTAGGTGACCTGTCCAACCTCATGCGTTTTCTCCATGTCCTCCGATATGACAAAGTGTAGGCTTGCCTGTCCAACCTACTGGGTTTTCATCAGCTTCTCTGGTTTTCTACCACTGCTAAAGACCCGTAACTCTTGAAAGTCCCGAAATGACTTAATTGTGTTGGGTGGACGTTAAACCCCATTTCTCTCTCTCTGTAATCAAGATCACCATTTTATATTGTTTGTCCTGATACATGTGAATGTTTAGATATAGCAAGTCTGCCAAATGTGTAATTTTGAATTATTGCCTATCTTTTAGTGAATGGATTATCTCCAAATATAGATCAGACATATTTATATCCAGTTGGTACTCAACAAGGATGCCTGACATCATCACTTCCTGTGTACTGCACTTCCTGTACACAGTCCAGTTTGATTATCTCCCCTAACTCACTCCGTCCAGGTCTGATTACATCCTCAACTCTACCTCAAGATGCAATGGTGATCAATCCTGGGATCATAGGTCAAATACAGACATCTCAGTTGCCTAGCAATAGTTTTATAAAAGTAGGTAAAACCACACCAATATGAGTTTGTGTTTCACTTCTTATTTCTTTGGGAATAAATCTAACTTTGAACAAAAGATGATTTTCATGGCTCGAGTTGTTATTTATTTATTAAAAGTCTTAAGAACTATGAATTTTACAGTGGTACATTAACATTAAACCCCATTCTTCTTTATAGCCCAAGATCCCTTGATGTGGAATACAGAGGTTGGGATGGCCTCATGGTCTAGTTTGTTACACTCTAGTTTGTTACACTTCACGCTCTAGCTGGTCAGTCACCTCTGGCTTGTGGTTATGGTTTGAATCCGTGGTGTGAATGTATGTGACTTGGAGATAGAGCGTGCCTATTAAAATGATCTAAACATGTGCTTTAGATTATAAGGTCTGTCATTGAGTCAACTGGTTTGGTTTTCTCCGGGTGCTCCGGTTTCGTTCCACTGCTAAAGACCTGAAATAAATATACCGGTAAACCATATATTAGTCCTAAAATGTCTTAGTTTGTGCCGAGTGGACGTTAAACCCTGTTTCCCTCTCTACTCATACCACATCTGTTTGTAGGACTGAAAGATGAATTCTGTATCACTTGATTGAATTTTTTATCTATTTAAAAAATTCTGGTTCAATTTTATTTCAATAATATGCTTGCCCGTAGGTGTCTTTGGCAGTGGGAGGAAATCGGAGGACAACTACAAGGTTGGGCAGGTTACCCTACTTCTTGTCACAAACAAGCAGGGAATCGAAACCACGCCACTTGACAAAATGACAGACCTTATGATTTCATGTGCACACCCATTTGGCCACCCAACGACCCAACCCCCAAATAGCAAAATAGAACTCACTAAAGCTTCGACGAAAACCATGAGTTGTAAATGTAAAATGATTTATTGATTTTATTAAACCAGTTTAAATATAATAATTGACATTTAAATTGTTTCTCCGACAGTGTGAAATACAAGAACCATCCAAACAGCCATTATCTCAATCTGTCCATGTTTATGATTGTCGATGGATGAACTGTGATCAGAGATTTTTACAACTGGATGATCTTGTCAACCATGTAAATGATCATCATGTTAAAGTCGAGAGACCTGACGTCGATTATCAATGTAAATGGACTGGATGTCAGAGGCAAGGACGTGGCTTTAATGCTAGGTAAGACATTATTCATGTTTTTTTGCATTTGTGTGGACATAATTTTCCCACTCGATACATATTGTTATCTAGCCTTGTAACACGTACGTCAGAATCTTTCTTTGTTCTTTTCATTGAATAAGCAGATTGATTCAAGGCATAAGCTGTTAATATAATTGAGGTCTATTTTTTCCAGTTATAAAATGTTAATGCAATGAAGTCTCTTTTTTCCAGTTATAAGTTGTTGATATAAATTAAGTCTCTTTTTTTCAGGTATAAGATGTTAATACACATTAGAACTCACACCAACGAGAAACCACATAAATGTACACGATGTGGAAAATGCTTCTCACGTTTAGAAAATCTAAAAATACACAACAGATCACATACTGGTAATATATTTGAAAGTTTCAAATTTATATTTTCTATTTCCGAATGGGTGGCCGAATGGATTACCCGATTAACGTGTGCACTGTCTGTCATTGAGTGAAGTGATGTGAATTTAATCCAATGATGGTATTGTTAGTTTGACAAGGAGAAGGGTCAATGCCTAACCTTGTGGGTTTTCTCTGAGTTCCTCACACTGCAAAAGATCCTTGAATAATTGTAATACAGACATACCACATGTTAGTATCGTAATTGCAGGAGCCACTTTGGCTCAGCGGGTAAGACATTGACTCGCTAACCTGGAGTGCTATTAATAGTATTATTTTTGGTAGTTGACATCGTGGGGTGAGAGATACATTCTAAGATTTTCAAACATCAAATACAAAAGAAGAGCAACAGAAAACTTTTGTTATAAAGAGGAATATAATGGGACATGCATGTAACTCTATATAATGGTGGACATCTCTGAGTAACCGTACCATTTAATTCGAACTGTTTAATCGTCCAATTCTAACCATTTATGGTGGGGGGGTTGGATGGCCAAATGGTTAGCATGCGCCCGCTGTATCATAAGGCCTGTCGTTGAGTCAACTAGCGTGGTTTCGAATCCCCGGTTGTACGTGACAAGGAGTAGTGTCGCCTGTCCAACCTTGTGGGTTTTCTCCGGGTCCACCGGTTTCCTCCAACTGCTAAAGACCCCTACGTGCAAGCAAATTATTGAAATAAAGTTAAAACCATATGTTAGTCCCGAAATGGCCTAGTTTGTATCGAGTGGACGTTAAGCCCCATTTCTCTCTCACTCTCTCTAACCGTTTATGGTTATCCGACTAACCATAGGAGCACCAATGCTTTCTTTCTATGCTAAAGACCCCCTACACGTGCAAACGAATTATTGAAATAAAATTGAACCATATGCATATGTTAGTCCTGAAATGAACTGTTTTGTGCTAAGTGGACTTTAAACCCCATTTTTTCTCTGTATATCTTTAAGCAACATTTTATAGGCTATAATAAATGAATTTGTATTTTTTTTATTTTTAGGTGAGAAACCTTATACCTGTCCATTTCAAGGTTGTAATAAAGCGTATTCGAACTCCAGCGATCGTTTTAAACATGTCCGCACGCACCAAGATCAAAAACCATACATCTGTAAAATGCCAGGATGCAACAAACGTTATACAGATCCCAGCTCATTACGTAAACATGCACGAACTCACGGACATAACGTTAAGGGCAGTAACTCTTCTCAGTCGTTTCATGACGCGCTATGTTCGGAAAAAGGAAGTGAATTGTTATTTTCTACAGCCCTACCATATACGACAATTAATATAAACAATAATTCAAACGTCCAATCCAATGGTGATTTGTCAAAAGACGTAAATATGCAACAAACCGCAAGTGTTGTGTCGTCATGGAATCTGTTGCCGATAGCATCTCACGTCACAGAACTGTTACCCCATGTTGTGACAGCAATTCCATCCTCCCTTCCAAATACAGATGGCAGTTCTTCGCCGACGGAATCTGATTGTCAGGAACGACCGTTAGATTTGTCACGTAGTCCGATCAGTACCCCCGTTACTATAGCAACATTAACTACTCAAATTGTTGCCGACTGATTTATCGTAACAAGAAACTTGTGGTGTGCACATGAACAAAATATTTTTGTGTTTTACAAGACGAGTGAAATATATTTTTATATTATTTTTTATAAATACCCCGGCCAGATCAATTTGAATTTTAGTTTTTCTTTTGAACAACAATCAGAATATTCTTGAAAAAAGAAATATTTAAAAATAAAAAGACCTTCGTTATTCTTCTTCAGAGCTTTTATTTCTGAATTTCAAACCGTTTAAGAGATTTGAGGGCCTTTTTTTTCCCTCAAATTGGTTTAGCATATATTTTTGTTGTGTGAAAATAAGTACATGTACCTATTATTAATGTATTTATGATAGAGTTTCTTCTCAAAGAAGTATTGAATATATTTATATCCTTGCCAAATAATTTATACTATGCTAGAGCATATTCTTTCTGTGCATGTATCAGGTTAGATCAGAAAGTCAAGTGACATTGTTTTGATTCCCCGCTTGTATGTGACAAGGAGTATGATTACCTGTCCCAGGGTCCTCCAGTTTCCTACAATTGCTAAAGACCCGTACCTGCAAGAAAATTATTGAAATAAAAGTGAACCATACCATAGTCCTGAAATGACCTAGTTTGTGTTGAGTGGCAATTAAACCCCATTTCCATTTTCTCTCTCTCTCATGTAATTTTGATCATGTAATTTGCATGATCTTTACTCTGCATACTGTCTCCATCAATGAAAAGTTCTTGTCAAGTGAATATAGTGAAAAATGGTTATCTTCCAATTTATACATATATATATATCCGAAAACCATAAAGCTGCACTACTTTGTACGGTAAACTATGATAAGTTAAAAGGTATGCCTACACAAATATCATTTCAACACTGGTTTAATAACATTTTATCATTTTTATACATCATTATCTTTATATGAGCTGTTCGGCCCCGTTCATGAATAGATTATTCATTGGCTGAGCATTCAAATCAAAGTATAAATTTCAGTTCGCGACCAATGAAAAGGTTACATTGATGAATAATGGCACCGCCTTGGTCCCCAATATTACAATGTACAAGAATTGAATTCTGGCATGAGCTTAAAACTTACAGGAATTTCATTCTTATTCCAATTTGTAAGGGGTTAGGCCAGTATATTTTCTGTTTTGACTGTCTGAATTGTTACCTAAAATCCACGTTTAAAGTGGTAATAAATCTATGCAAGCCAGAATAAATCAGCATTTCATCATACTGATTAAATATGTATTTTAATTTAGAAATTCTAACAGTATAAACTCAAGTACTCTAGCAATATTCTGGACATCCTCGGTATCCCTGGTGGTCTCTTTCCGTTCTAATCCACTATACCCTGGGTTAATCCGAGGGGGGAGGTACCCATATTCAAGTTATCTACCCTTGATGTTAGTGCTGTTTTTATCGACCAATTCCATAAATCGTTAATTGCAAAGGAAGTTGACGAGGTGAAGTAACTCACCTTGTTGCAACAAGCCGCCATGTTGTTGTGAACGTAACCAAAAGGGCTAAAGAGTCTTAGTAGGAATAATTTGTAAACTGTTTTTTGATTGATTCGCAGACTCAAGCTACGATGAAGGCCAGAGCAGATAATTTGAAATCGGAGAAAACCCCATGAATCAACCTAAGGTAGGCTATAAAACGGAATGAGACCACTGTGGAAACCGAGGATGTATTCTTGAATAATGTCCATTGTTTATCTGTCTATAACGTCACTGTTAACAAACATATTTTGATTGTCGACCAATTTCAGAATTAAAGTTTTCAAACGTTGTATTTGAGAAATGTTGAGGTTTATAAGATTCAATGAATTTGTACATGACTATAATATAATATGTTTTAACTGTTGATTTTTATAAATTAATATAACAGTATTGCTACTTTAAGCATTAAGTAAATGTATATAATTAAAATCAAAGATGTGTGTATGTATGTTCTCCCATCATGCTTCGTCGCCACAATCCACCCCACATATGTGGTATCAAATTAACCATCATGACCCTTTGAATGTTTTAGGTCATGATTTATGTAGGACAAGATCATTTATTAGTTTAACACAGCCAAAAATCAATGCAGAACTGTGCTTGCAGAGGAACTGTTTTACTGTAATTAACGGTTAACAGGAGGTAACTCCTGTTTATTATGGTAATTAAGTTTAATAATAGTAACGGATGATGGTGAGTAATCAGATCTTGAACCAGGTATCCAGCTAGTGAATAAATAAATACTAATGCTTTAATCAAAATTTACCTTAAAGCAAGTGTGAAAGGAATGATGTTAAACATTTTGATCATATAAAATTAAAGCCACCGATGATCGTTTGAATTCAAGCTGTGAGATTATCTATCATATTTTTAATCCTTTTTAAACTATGGTACAATATATGAGGGATTTCAAATCATTTGGAGACTACAATATTGTGAAAAGTTGAATTTTTGAAAGGAGTATCAATCCAATAATAGTTCATTTCAGATGACGCAAATGGGATATGGTCAAAACAAATCACCTATATTATTCCCGACAATATTTTCATGGGCCTCTGATTAAACATGCATTATGCAACAGCTAAATCTGCCTATTGCAGGTCTTTCTTTAGGCCTTAAATGTTATATAAATTATTAATTTGATATTTATTAACAAAGGTAGCCATGACAATCGAGGCTAGACTAATTGTATCGCCGATAACTAGGCTCAGAGGAAGTAATTTAACTGAAATTTTCAACATATTCCCTTTTCATTATCTATTTTTTAACTATTATAGCGAGAACTGTCAACTCTTAATCTAATCTTACCTAATGCCCCGTTAATTCAACTAAATCCATGTCTGGAGATTATCTACCATTGATATGTTGTTTTTTTAAATTATTAAATGTCAAATAATTAATTTTAATGTGGATTCATCTGAAAAATAAGATTTTTTCCAAAAAATGCACAAACCATCTGTCTTTATTATCCCAGTCGTTACAGAACAGTAGGACATTCAACGACATATCATTTCATTTCATTTTTAGAAACAAAAGCATTAAATGTGTGTTTTATACAGTAATTTGATATTTGGTACAGATTATGATTTAATTATTTTTGAGCATGTGGATGTTACTGTTGTTCTTATTGAATTTCTAACAATTTTTAATTTCAGAAATTGTAAATGACTTTAAAAGTTGAAATTTAATTAAGCTGTAATTTGATCTGCCTTCACACAAAGGCCATATTATTATTTCACTTGAGAATGGTTCAACTTTAATTTTCATTGTTTCACCTGAGATAGGTCTTTGTTTTCATTGTTTCACCTGAGATAGGTCTTTGTTTGAAGGTAGAAATATTGTACCATAAAATGTATTTTAATTAAGTTTTGAATTCATGTTTAATTTAAGTTAAAAATTGAGATTACATCTGATTGTAAAATCCTAGATAATTTGATTTAACGGAGGACTAGTGAGGCTTTGTATCATGGTAAATACAACAATGGAAAAATATCTGTGTACCACCGCCTCTCCCTTGGTGCCTTAAGATGTGTGGGGGAAGGGGGGGGGGGGTATAGTTTAATGTTTGCACTATATCATAAGATCTGTCATTGAATCAAGTGGTGTGGTTTCGATTCCCTGTTTGTACGTGACAAGGAGTAGAGTCGTCTGTCCTTCAGTTTCCTCCCACTGCTAAAGACCCCTACGCACAAGTGAATTAATAAAATAAACCATCTTTGTTCCGAAATGACCTAGTTTGTGTCGAGTCAAGTGGACATTAATCTGCATTTCTCTCTCACTCTTCCCAAGATGTACTTATTTGGCTTACTGGTTTATGCTAGGTTCCCACTGTTATGCGATGCGTTACAATAGGATTGTCCCTATTGAGTCCACGATTTCAGTCGTAGCGCAAATCATGATAGTGGGAACCTAGCATAACCGAAGATAGATACTGAACTTGTTACATGAAAAAAACAAAATAAATCATTGGCTGTGTGAACTTGCCTGGAAGTGGAATCTGGTGTAATAGAAAGTTTACACTACTCACACGTGACACCAGTCATGATTCACATTGATAATATTCATAAGCCAGATATACTTTAACCCTTTAGCATCTGGATCCCCTGAAACGACCGCTATCTCTATCGCCTCAATCTACTGGAGTCAAACGACTGGCTGGATCCCCAGAGACTATTGCTATATCTAGCGTCTCAATCTACCCGGAGTCATTAAATTGTTTCAATGTCATTTAGTAATTGAATTGAAATACACAGGACACAATTCTATGGAATACTATTACTGTTTATTACTGAGGGACGTTTTAACTAGGCTTCTTTAGTCATTAATAAGCAATGATAAAATATAATGAGACAATACAAACATTATATTTTATCATTACTTAATAAAGATGAGAGAAACCTAGTTGAAATATCGCTCTGTAATCGTATTCCATAGAATTGTGATCTATGTATTTCCAAGTCGATGTGACACAAAGTTGAATTGGTTTACACAGCAGTAATATTGAGCAATTTCAAAAATAAACTACAAATCGGAATGTAAAAAGGATTCCTTTTCTCTGATATTTACCAGGAACTGGGGTATTCAATATTAATGTACCAAGTGCTATATTGATAAGGGTTAATTTTAAATAGTCGTTGATTTTCATTGTTATTATCATTGTTATAGTGGAAATATTTTGATACTGAAAATATAGTAGTTTATATATTTATATATTATGTAATTAAACATATATTATCTGCTATTTTATGTGGGTTTTTTTTTTGGCTGTGCAGATCTCTAAAATATTTGCATTTCTAATGTCTTCACCCTTGTCGGTAAGTCAGTTCAAAGAACGAAATGATGAGTTTGACATCCTGCTTTTTTGCATTAACCAGGCTGATGAAGACTAACATATGACATGCTGTATGCTATGAGGGAAATTTACCCTGTACTGCATCGATATAGCATATTTGGCTGGAACAAATGGAATCCCCTCAATAAATGAAATATTGTTTAATGGGAAGTCGGCACCTACAAAACTATATTGCGTCAGGGGTACCCTCAATATCATCTAAATCCGGAGTTTTACTTGAGACTTTCGACATGGGTTGACCAGTTGCCTTGGGGTTGCGATCAATTTTGAGTTTCAATCTCTTTTTGTGAATTTGATGAGTAAGTTATTTCTTCTGAAATGCTTGCAAAACACCTTTCTGGCAATCATTTTTTTAAAATTTTCTTGGGGAGGGCCCCCATACCAAGTCCCCCCCTGCCCCGTGACGACGCCCCACCACTTTGTGGTCGCTTAGAAGAAGTTGTGGGAACCCTAGATCTTAAGGACATGTTTATGGAAGCTTTTTCTGAGTCTGTGATTAGACAGCCAATCAAATGACTCAATAATCAAATCCTTTCAAAAGATTTTGCAGAATTTTATGGCATATGAAAATAACTCTTGTCTGTCTCCAGTCACCTCCCCCTCAGAACAAATTGGAAGCTAGTTGACCAATATTTTAATTCCTGCATTGACTATTTGAGTGGAAAACACAAAGTGTACTTGGATGATTTTGAGAAATGTTTATTCTGCTCCCATTTAATAAACATGAGAATATTTATTTAGTTGTGTGTATAAAAGATTTAAAATGGATTATAAGCCATTACAAATTTTGAATATGGAGGACATCCAGGGAAGAGATCGATTTCCAAAGTAGATAGTTCTCTGTGTGCAGACAGAATTTTCTGGTTCACAAGTTTTGAATGATATGTTGATATGGAATCGTCCAATCACAATCTTATCGTAGCAAGGGTACTTGACAACTGAGACTAGTCTGGTTATCCATTTTATCGTTAAAGTTTTAAATCTCACAGGTGTTCAAATCCATTTAAATCTCCACCATCAGACTGATGATCTAGAAATTATAGAGAGTTGATTATAGGCTTGTCATGTTAAAGGCTCAATACCACTCTTGTTGTAACTGAATAATATGTCCCAATCTTTATTCTTGTCAACAAATTGTACTATTTTACAATATTCCAGTTAATTGATGATACAAATTTCATCTTAACACACCTAATTTAAAAAAATGGAAAAATTCAACTAAATGATTTGAAAAGCCCAACGTAAAGTTTTTCAAATGTGACTTGGATTTAAAAATATTTTTGAACTCTCTGGACAAATAAAATAGGATTTAATGGATAATTTACACACCAGGTAGGACACTAACACATCTAGTACTTAGAATAAGGCTATTTTTTATTTTCTGGAGCTGTCAAGCCAGCAAGAGTGTTATTGTCCCTGTAATAGATGTCAAATAATATTACGCATTTGAAGCCAAAAGAAAGACAGGCTATACACAGATTTAGCTCTAACATAATGCATCTGTAAAATTACAAAGACATCATTTTTCAAGACTAGACTGAACTGAACATCATATTTGAGAAATATTAAAAGAAAGATTAGTTATTTCAATCCAAGAACTGACCTCATGTTATCAAAATCAGTTTTTCTTTGATAAAGTCACAAATTTGAAATTCTTGTAAATAGAGGTTGGGGATATAATATCAGATATCATAGTGAAATGTTTGTTCCTAGTAATTATTAATGACTGAACAGTCGACAATTAACACAAGTCCTTATCTGACCGTGGATTATATGTAAAGGGAAATAACTCCATTTATCAACCCCATTTTCAGCTCTTATATTTTTAAAATCAAACACGGTACCTTTGAAGTCACCAAAAATTACAATTCAACTTTAAAATTTGTTATTCTATATTTAATTAACAAAACAAAATGCAAATATCAATGCTAGATAACCTCCAGGTGATGCTAGCTTTATTATGTCATCCATAGAATGTTGTGAAAATTTCAATTCATTATATTATTATCTTTATAAATGCTGAATCGAACCATTTATGGACTGATATTCCTTTTCAGAGATTCCATTTTGACAATATTGTAATTTGCAAGGGATTAAAAATCACTCAAATGACACTAGGCAGCTTTTACCTCTACTGTATGCAGTTAACTATATTTTGTTATATTTCAAGGGGGAGGGGTTGCATGTCATGGACAATTTATGTCTTGGCAGAAACTGAACATTTTGCTTAAAGTAGCTAAGTCTCTAACTTAATATCATCCAAAATCTTCAACATTGAAAACAAGATTTATTTGTCAAATTAAATCAACATTCATGTGGTTATCTTACCTGAAAAAGATGGGCTTTTGATATCCAATATTTAAGACAAAATAAACATTTTACCATTGGTACACGAATCGTGTACCATAATGCGCTTCAGCCCCAGTTGTATCAAGAGACTCGAGGGACAAGGCTAGACACATTGCACCATATCAAACGGCGTATGTAGACTGGAATAACCTGACGCTAGAAATTTGCACTCGCTTGAGACTGCTGGCTTATTTTGCGGAACATAACTGATTTGAAATTGGAGTAAAAACGGAAACCATTGAATGTAAATCAGTTTATATACATTCATACTACAGTATTATATGCGTTGCGACCTACTTTTGTCAATTTCTAGGTCCCAAATGTTAGCGATTTAGCTCCTTTAAAAATAACAGGACCTGGCACTGGCTTTACATTGTCTCAATATAAAAATATACCAATAACTTATATTTGGATTTTTTTTTTTATTTCTAAACAAGTAAATAAAGATTTATTATTTATAATTCATATCATGTACAAATTCAAAGAAGAAAATCATTCCAAATATGTAACAAAATGAAATGGTGTTTAACATCCTATTGTTCTGCTCCGACTGGGCTAATGAAGACTGGCATACACTATACAGTGGGCTATGAGGGAAATTTTACCTCCATGCCAATAACGGGGCCTCGGTTTTTCAACACATCCGGTTGACTAGACAACTGTCCTTGTCAGGCCCTTCGTCCTGCACCACTGACAAGGGGAAACCATGCCGGAAAATCATAATGAACTTTCTCGGCCAACGTCAGGAGCGAATCTACAACCTCCAGACTAGCGAGCCAGCGTCTTACTCACTGAGCCATCGTGACTCCCCCAAATGTCAAATAACTTGGAATACAACATTTTGTTCACCAAACTGAAATAATGTAAATCACCAAAATAACTCAACCATTTTACTACAAACGCGATGCATAATTTTAGCCGATGAAGTATAATTATTCTGTGTCCCGTTTATTGATACTAAATAATCCTAGTCTCAATCTTTCTACTCTTAACAACAAAAATAAGGTGAACACTTTGAATATACATACAACAGACGAGTCTGAAAATATGACACCTGTTACATACATTGTCAGGTACCTGTCGCCTGTCTCATACAAATTGTATTTTACTCTGTTTTTATTGATTTTATTAATACCTGTCTATCACAAGGTTCAGGGTTTCCAACATGTTTCAGATACACTTAAAATATTATTTGCAAGAGAAATAATCAAAATCTCCATAAATAATTAATATATTTTATTTTATATATATTAATTCAGACAACAGGAAAGCACACTATTTTGTGATTTCCCTTTCTTACCATGAAATCTATTTCAAACAAGAACCATAAAAAAAATCATTTGTTACTAATCATGTGGTGGATAAATGTTACCACAAACAAAATGGCTAACTCATTTGATCATCTAAGAAGAGGAGTAATTTATGTTATTCCTATACAAGAATGTAAATATTGGTGTGCATGTTAAAGAGTTAGTACATTTATTAGAAACACTGCTGTGTGGGCAAAATTATCCCATCACATTGCACATGTAACAAACTGACCGAAGTATTAATATTTATCTGTATTGCATAATCAAATAACCCCATGCTGTTTGTACTTGAAGAAAAGCTGGTAAATTTATCCCTTTCTATTCCATAATTCCAATATATTATAGAGGATTCATTTTAAACCCAACTTTGGGAAATTACATTTGGGCTTCACTTTATGAAGTGAAAGACACAGTTGAACTCGAAAAAACTTAAAATCGAAAGAGAAAAGCCTCATCAAGTAATGTTATTCTTCCATTTCATAAATCAATATTCATCTACCAACTACGTCGAAACCACTGATCAGGTCATTGGTTTTCTCAAACCCACGAAATTAAGTTTTTCTTCTGAGTCACAAAAATTCATCTACTAGTACTAGCACAGTCGACCAGCTACGAGATCTTTGAACAGATCAACGTACATAATTTGTTAAATCACAACAATAGACTGGACTGAATTCTTAATATGATCCATGCGTCAACGAAAGTAAGTGTGGTCAACGCACCATTAACTGTTCTACATACATGTCTGTACACCATATCACTCACACACTCTCTATTTATTTACATATCATTATAAAATATACAAGTTTTGTTGCTGTCATAATTCTTCTTTCTTTGTTTCTTTCTTTGTTGTATCTTTTAAATCCATTTCTATCCTTTCCTTAGCTCTCACAACCTAAAACAAAACAACACAATCTTAACATTTAAAATCAGAAATAAAAAAGGATGATATTGGATAATAACTTATGTCGTCTTTGTCTCACTAATATAAAAAAGATATATGAATTTCAAATATATCAGATAATAAATGTAGCCTGCAGAGTGTTCACAAGAAATTGTGGATGGTGGACAGACGGGCGGACGAAAAATTGTTGCAATTTTGCAAAACCATTCTAATAATCTTCAATACCTCTCACTCTGGTACAAATGAAATAAGTGTTCACATCTTACATGTCTGACCCAACAAAGGAAATGCAGATGGGCATACATCATGCTATGACGTTGCGGCTTAATCTTGTTTTGAAGATTGAAGAACACTGGACTGTCTTGTGTTTTGTGGGCCTTTCTTAGATCTATATGTGACCTGTGATAACAAAATGAGTCGGAAGTAGCAAGTCTTTTACTATATGAACAAAAATGTTAAAATAGACTAAACTATTTTTTCAATGAAATAACAAGAAAGATAAACGTTTAGATTTGACAAATAAAGTAAACCAATTTTTTTTTATATTTCTAGTCTATTTCAACATTTTTGTTCACATATCGTAAACAAAGACTTGAAACTTCCAACTCGTTTTGCTGTTGAATTTCATGGGTCACAAATGACCACCCATGTGTGACATCTTACCTTTGATTGTAAGTAAAAAGATCCACCTTTCGATTTATCATTGACATTAAATAAATGTTCATATTTCTGTAATATTGTTTCCATATCTTTAACTTCGGACACATTCAATATCTGTTTAGCTTCCTATAATAAAATACAAAACGATGAATTAATTCAGCTGAACCATCGTTCAACACTACAGATTAAAATGTACATCAAATAAACATCAGAAATATATCCGTTATAGTAATATGTTAATCCTGGCACAAGCAACACCGTTACATGGCTGACTTTATTTTACAATATTTACAAACAAATTTATAAATTTCTATTCAAATGGATATGTATGAGCATTGACACAGCAAATTTGTACAGATGCTAAAATTTAAATATTCTGAGTGTGTGAACTATTTTCCTAATCGAATTTAGACAGTAAATGTTGGGTTACACAAATTGCCGGATATAGAATAAAGGGTCTGTATCTTGCTATAATAAAAGACAAATATACTGAGCGCCATGGAAAATGCATCACTTAGTTTTTCGTATAACAAAATGATCCTGTAAACATATCTTATTTATTTTGCATCTTATTGTGAACAATATTCAAATGGGAACACATCAATAACAACACATTTGTACACTTATTGATGTTTAATCTGTAATCAACGGTACAAAGTCAGAGGGGTCAAAACCAAAAGTACGACACAGATGTCAGTAGCGCGTGTGTCCTCCACGGGCTCTTACGCACGCTGTGCAGCGACGTCGCATGGAATTTACCAATGTTTGAAAGAAGGCCTGGGGCAAATTGTTCCATTCTTGGACAAGAGCAGCTTCTAAAGCAGCAATGGTGTGCATCTGTGGTCTCCGATACAGACGGCGTCCAATCTCATCCCAAACATGTTCTATCGGTGCCGTGTCCGGAAAAGATGAAAGCGACTCTCATCACTGAAGAGCACACTTTGCCAGTCTACTCTTCTCCATGTCTGGTGTCCTTGAGCCCATATCAAACGCCGCTGACGGTGATGATCCCTGAGGATAGCTCCAACATAAGGTCGTCTTGCATGGAGTCCTATTTCTCTTAGACGACGTCTTACGGTGTTGGCACTTACTGGTCCTTGTCTTCCGACGACTGCTGCACCTGTTCGAGTCGCTGGGCGGAATCTGTCATGCAGATGAGTGACCCGGATGTAGCGGTCTTGAGCCTGGGTTGTAGCGCGTTGCGGACCAGGATGTTGACGGTCACGTGTTGATCCAGTACGTGCAGACATGCCAGCCCTGGACATTCCCATGGTTTCATTCCGTTGATTTTCAGTAAGTCTCGGCATCTCTAGCTCGATTCCTTCACACGTCCAACAACAAATTACGACAGATTGACGTTTCACAGTTCATGTACTGCACATTAAGTTGAAAACATGCTTTTAACGGGCTCACACACAATGCCGCACGTGAATATTGGGTTTTTCATGTGCATCTCGTGCAATTTTTTTTTCCACACGGGCCGCTATTTTTTGCGTTTGGGAGCATTGTGTGAAACAATAGTTCATAGTATTGCATAATATTATACATACAAAACCAGGATGTTGACGGTCACGTGTTGATCCAGTCGTGTAGACATGCCAGCCTTGGACATTCCCATGGTTTCATTCCGTTGATTTTCAGTAAGTCTCGGCATCTCTAGCTCGATTCCTTCACACGTCCAACAACAAATTACGACAGATTGACGTTTCACAGTTCATGTACTGCACATTAAGTTGAAAACATGCTTTTAACGGGCTCACACACAATGCTGCACGTGAATATTGGGTTTTTCATGTGCATCTCGTGCAATTTTTTTTTTCCACACGGGCCGATATTTTTTGCGTTTGGGAGCATTGTGTGAAACAATAGTTCATAGTATTGCATAATATTATACATACAAAACCACATAGTAATAAAATGTTTGAGAAAAAAAAGTGATGCGTTTTCCATGGCGCTCAGTATATGTGCCAGACAAACTGACAGGTTATGTGCCAGACAAACTGACAGGTTATGTGCCAGACAAACTGACAGGTTATGTGCCTGACCAGGATGAGCTTGTGCCTGACAAGTTTGGACAACTATCACAGACTTTGTCAAGACACAAATTATCACACAACTTCTATATACAAGCCTGGACATAACGCACCTGTCACAGACTTTGTCAGTCACAAATTATTTCACAATGTATATATTATAATAAGATGCCTTATGTCCAGACTTGTTGACAAGTACCGTTTTCCAGGGTTCTAGTGTTTCAATATTTGCCAAACATTTTACCTGAAGTGACATGCCTGTTGCTGTATCTGCTGCTGCTTTCTTGGCACCATGTCTTCCACCTCCTGCTTTCTGGGCAGCTTGCTGACTAGCCTGATACTCCTGACGTAAAGCTCTGGCAAATGCTCGCCCCACAACCTGTGCACCAGCCACTACAACTTGAACAAAATACTTAGCCTAAAAGCAAAAAATTCTTATATTAAAGAATTCCCATGCGAAATGAAATGGGGTTTAACGTCCTACTTTTCTGCATCAACCGGGCTAATAGTGATAGACATATGCCTTGCAGTGTGCGGATGGAAATTTCATCCAGACATGGGTGTTTCCCACTTAGTCCTACCCTTTATTGAATTTCAGTTACAATGCACATCAATATGTACATGGAAGCTCAGGTTTCTGTGCCATCTATACAACTCGACCCTTTCCCTTGCCAGACACACTGTTTTGCCCTACTGTCAAGGGGTAACCATTGGAGATTCCCGAGAAACTTTCATGGCCAACCTCCTGGTTAGTGAGCATTGAGCAACTGCCATAGATGAACCCCATATACTACTCACTGAGCAACTAGGTAATTACATGTATTGTACATGTATCAATAATAGTAAAACTTAAATGTGACTTTAGTCCAAACAAATACATCACAGTTTCACACCAAAAAATCAAGAACCCATTGCTCCCATTTAGTTAATTTTGGTACGGTTCATTCGACTTCATCACAGCTTTCGAAATTAAATTTATCAATATTATTGACAACTTTAATCTGTTCTGCGTATTGCTGTTTCGTAAATCTATATTATGTTTTTTTTTTCCGAATGTGAATCCATGACAAAAATCCACATCACATGTGGCGTGGCTTGTTTCAGTTAGTATGTTCATGATGATCATTCATGTTGATTGAAAATCATATCATGATCAACTTTTAAAAAGAAAATCAAGCAGACAAGTCCTAGCTACGCTATACCAAAATCAACCTACGACTAACATACTATCGTTGTGACAAAATGTCAAAACTAAATAAATATGTATGTCATCATACCATTTGGCTGGTGAAATAATTTGTCCTTCTTACAATCTCACATGTCCTCAAAACAGACGAAATTATCCCGGAAGTCGGATGTTGTTAAATGTCGGTCCGCATCAAGTAATACTGGACTTTAATCTTTTTCTGGATAAATACATATCAAAATATAAAGCTGAAATAAAATATTTTGTTAGCTTTAGACGAACTGTAGCTATGATTGATGATTTTAAAATTAAAATTAAGTAACTCTCCATAGAAATATTTCAATGTAACTTGCCCTCATTTGCTGCAGTACAGACCTTAATCAGACAGCAACTTCCTGTGTAAACGTGGGCCGTGAAGATTTCTTGAAAGTTTGCAATTTTCGCCGATTGAGCTAAAGTACTGACAAAATACCCGTTAAAATGGCTAAAAACAGTTTACGAGATCGAGTAGAAGGAACTGAGATTGATCTAAGTTTAAGTAATTTATCAGTAGTTCCAGTGAAAGATGTGGTAATGACTTGTTTGTAACTCTTTGTTTTCTTTTATTTGAGAATGAATGAGCTATTAATTAATTTCCAATCGGGGTCAGAATAACTCACATATCTGGAAGAAATTGTGTAGAGAGCATTTGGCCAATTTCGGAATATATCCACCAAATTTTTCCCAAGTGTTTTAGCAGAAGTATTCACTGCACGTGTGGTTAAAGGACAATATTAGTATATTGGTGTCATTCATTATCACATGTGATGAACTGGTTAAACACTCCCAAATATAATTTGACTGATTTGGTTTAATAAATCTTTGTCTAATTTCAGGCAGCACTGAAGAAATGTAACCAATTAGATTTATCTAATAACCAGTTGAAAGCCTTAGATGTAAGTTTTGAAAGATTATTTTTGTTGAATTTAAGAATAAGACAAGAAGGAAAGGGTGCTTGTGACAGATATGGAAATTCATTGCAAAGTAAATTTCACTTTCCCTCAGGTTGCCGTTTAAACATAATTGCGTGCCATTTTCTACCATTACATGTATGTTCCACTATCTACCTGGGGCAGCTAAGTGGTGTAACATAATGCTCTTTAGATCGTAAGGTTTGTCATTGAGTCAATTTGTGTGTTGTCAATCCCAAGGTTGCTTGCCTAATCCACTGCTCATGATCTTTGCACACAAACAAATTATTGATATCAAATATACCATATGTTAGTCCCAGAATTACTTCATTGTATTTAGTGGATGTTATACTGTCCCACTTTCTACTCTCCTTGAGAAGATGTGAACATCAGTTAGCCACATAGTGCAATGTGTTTCCATGGCTACTTTTGAGCCTAATGTTAACTGCTATTAACCCTAATACACCAAGATCTTTACATAGAATTATGTTAAGGACTCATGACTGCACAAGACAAAGGACGCATGACTGCACAAGATGGATTAGAGAGTTGGAAGGATATATGAGTGATTGCTATTTTTATTTGTTTTTATTATTACAGGATATATTTTCTACATCTTTAACTCATCTGGTAAAAATAGATCTAAGTAAGAACCATCTGGCGTCACTTCCATCAAATTTTGGCAGCCTTAAAAATCTACAACATTTAGATCTGTTAGGTAACCAATTGACGACACTACCCGTCAGTTTCTATCAACTGTTGAAGCTGAAATGGTTGGATGTCAAAGACAATCCGTTAGAAGAACCGTTGAAATCTATAGCTGGAAATTGTCTGAATGATGCAGAGTGTAAAAAATGTGCTATAAAGGTAATTTTGGTTCTTTAATCCCTCGAATTCGTAAAAGGGATATCAATCCACAAATGGTTCAGTTCTGTTCAGTTTTTACAAAAAATTAGATATCTGAAAATACAAATGACTATCACTATTAGCAGCTTTAAGAATTATCAACTTGGATTTGTTTTGAATATTTCAATTTAATTAAAGTTATATTCACAATCCCTACCATATTTACAGGGTATAAGTTGATATGGAATATAAGTCCAATCGTAGTATTTCACTGTTTTTCTGACCTCATCCATAAATGAATCACAGCAGTGTATAAGACGAATGTTTGCAACTCCACACTGAACCTCCTTTTTTGTACCCTCCAAAAGACTAGATACTGTCCTTGCCAGGCCCTTGGTCCTGCACTACTGGCAAGAGGAAACCATGCCAGAAAAACCAGAGGAACTTTCTCAGCTAACCCTGGGAGTGAATCACACGACCTTCTTGTCAGCGAGGCACCTTGACTCCCCACACCATTTGCAAGTGAGACACATATTGAGGAACCCATTGAAATAAAACATTTATGAATTCTATTTTTACAGACAGTACGATTTTTAACGGGTGTCAACGCTCAGTTGTTAAAAAAACAAGAAGATGAAGAAGAGAGAGTGAGAGGTAAAGATAAGTTATAATTTCATTTTTCCGGGCATGTTCTTTCGATCCTAATCGAGCGTCATAGTCGATGGTCGACTGTCAAAGTGGTTTCCTCCCCCACTTCTAAACACCAAGTGTAAAATGAATTATTCAAAGAAACATGTACCATGTGTTAGTCCCGAAATGACCTAGCTTGTTTTATATGGATGTTAAACCCCCTTTTCTCTATTTTCGTAGGATTAGAAAAGATCAGACAAGAGGAAGAAGCAAAAGAAAGAAGAAGGAGAAAAGCTGAGAAACAGGCTCAAGCTGATGAGATTAAAAGACAAAAGGCAGCATTAAAAGCTGAACAGAAACAACAGAATAATCATCATGATTCTCCAGAAAGAGGTGAGGTTTTACCCGTTGAGGTATCATCAAAAGCAACATAGATACTTCCGTGAATATGCCTGAAACTGAAACTTGGATATAAATTGTGTGAACATGTCGGGTTAATATCCAAACTATTATTAGTTACTAGTGCCTACCTAGATTATGTATTTGATAATATTTATACCATTTATATCACACTGAATCGTCAAGTGATTTTCAAGGGATACGACAACAGAAAAAGATATGAGATAACCGTGACAAAACTCTTGACTTCCTTATATGTTTACAACATTTCTGAACGATCTTTTCTTATTGCAGTCATTCTTTTCCGGATAACTTGTCAGTCAATTTCTTTCATCTTTTTTTTTGGGACAAAACTAATAAAAAAAACTTTCTTTAGGAAAAGGTAGGAAAGAAAAACCACTTGCCCGAAAATGAGTTTTTGTTGTCCCAAGGCAATCAGGCATCCGTTAATGTCCATGTCCTGTCCATGTACTAAGCTTAACTTGTTGGTTTATGAAGTTAGATAACGAGATATGTCGGTCTCTATAATGGCCTTTGTAAAGGAAGAGTGGAATATTTTTGTTGGGGAGTGGGGTGGGGATATTTTTGACCTAAACTGTAATAGTTTCTGTTTTTATAACTATTAGACAAGTAAACTAAATAAAGCGTTAATGAAATGTTTATGATAATATTGTTTTTATAATTTGTGTTTTAGTAAAAGAGAAACCAGCAACAAATGGTGTCAAAGAGCATGTAGAAATAAAATCCAGTAATAGTACAGGTAGATTTTTTTATATTCATAGTTATTTCAAGACACCCTAATATCATTCTCACCATCAACAAAGCATCAGGGAAATATAGTCTGGAGATGTGTAATTCAAGATACACCATAGAAAATAAAAATGACTACATGTTAGTCTAAAGCAACCTCCTCTCCACATGGGTAGAACACTGCTCAAAATTCTCCTCTCTCGTCGTTAACATAACCATAGAAAAATAAAGAGATTAGCATCTGTTTATCTCAAAATGACAAAATATAAAACCCCATTGATTCCATTAAAAATGAAATAAAATAGAGTTTAAAATGCTACTGTTCTGCTCCTACTGGGCTATTAAAGACAGGCATGCACCATACAGTGTGCTAAGTAGCACCCCGGCCAACTCTTATATAAAATTTCAACTGTCAAAGGGTCTTTTATGTGCCATCCGAACGACTATACCTTGTCCCTTGCCAGGCCATCTGTCCTGAACCACCTACTAGAGGGAACAAAGCCGGAAAAACTGGATGAACTTTCTCAGCAAACGCAGGGATCGAAGACGGGACCTGTAGGTTAGGGAATGTTAATGATATAAAACAGTTATCAATGATAAATAACAATATATGTTGTTTTATTTGCAGATGGTGCTTTATGCAATTGTTTTGGAATGTTATTTGCTCTTCTTCTCGTCATGGCAGCTGTTGCCGTTGGTTTCTATTTTTATTGTGGTTCCCATGGCAACGATAAAACATGCACGGTGTATTATAAACCAGTGGAGAAAAATGCTGTAGCTACATTCAACATATTACAGAAAAAACTTGTGGAATTATACCACCAAGCTTTGACAATGATGAAGTAAATAACAATTAATGTGACTTAAAATAGATTCCAGATCAGTTATTTTCATAGATTATGGCCAATGTTATGGAAAACGTGAAAAAAGGAAGATATGCTGTTCATATAAAAAAATCACACTAGATTATAAGATTTTTTAAATTCGTCTTTGCTTTTATGCAATTTACAAATGATAGTATCATCAATTTTTATACGCCCACATTTTCATGTGGACGTATATTGTCAACGCTCCTGTCCGTCCGTCCGTCTGGCCGTCCATCCGTCCACAATTTGTTTGTGGACACTCTACAGGTCACAATTCTTATCTGATTTTGACGAAACTTGAAATATAGGTTTATCGCCCAAAGATCTCGGCTGCTTTCGATATTGGCATGTATCGGATTGAAACTTCATGGATTATGGCCCCTGTTTGTACGAAAAATCACGTTTTTAACTTGTGGACCCTATAGAGGTCGCAATTTTTATCCGATGTTGTTGAAACTTGAAATGTAAGTTTATAACCCAAAGATCTCGGTTCCTTTCGATATTCGCGCATATCGGACCGTAACTTCCTGAATTATGGCCCCTGATTGTAAGAAAAATCACGTTTTTAGCTTGTGGACCCTATAGAGGTCGTAATTTTTATCCGATTTAAAAAACCTTATTATTATATCACCGTTACACCCTAAGGATGGCTGAGTTCGAATTTCGTGAAAATCGGCCCAAAACTGACAGACAAAATGGCCACCCCTCGTACTGAAGTAGTGTAAAAATATGGTATGTCAAGGTTGTGGACCCTATAGAGGTCACAATTTTTATCCGATTTTCTTGAAACTTGAAATGTAAGTTTATAACCCAAAGATCTCGGTTCCTTTCGATATTCGCAAATATCGGACCGTAACTTCCTGAATTATGGCCCCTGATTGTACGAAAAATCGCATTTTTAGCTTGTGGACCCTATAGAGGTCATAATGTTTATTCGATTTAAAAAAACGTATTATTATATCACCGTTACACCCTAAGGATGGCTGAGTTCGAATTTCGGCCCAAAATTGACAGACAAAATGGCTGCAGTTCGTTCTGAAATAGCCTAAAAAATATGGTATATCAAGGTTGTGGACCCTATAGAGGTCACAATTTTTATCGGATTTTGTTGAAACTTGAAATGTAAGTTTATAACACAAAGATCTTGGATCCTTTTGATATTTGCGCATATTGAATTGTAATTTCCTGAATTATGGCCCTTGATTGTAGGAAAAATCACTTTCTTTTTAGCTTGTTCTCTATCCATCTCTCGAAAATGTGGGCGTATCCTGCCTGGCAGCCGCTGGTTTAGAATAGTTTGACAGTATATTTAATTACGAAACAATTCATATTTTATTTATCCTAAATTTTATGTAGTTTTTTGTTTTGTTCAAGTAATGATATAGTGAATATTGTCAGATTTTTGAAGCTAACTCACTATAAGAAGTAATTAAGGAATCCATGGATCTAGTAGATAAATACTATTACATCAAAATTAACTCCGAGATTTCTTAGTCCAAGGTTTTCAATGCTAGTAAGACACTGGCTCAAGTGAGAGCTCAGGGTGGATAATAAATAAACTATTATCCATCACAGTTGTTTCCTTAAAAAAACTGTATAAATTAAACATTTTCATAATCATATCATCATTGTTAATAATCATAAACCTTTCAAATTATGGTAGGCAGATATAAATCACTAAAATAGCTTCAGATACGTACAGTTGTATGGTTGAAATATCTGCAAAAGATTCTTTATTTTTTATACTTGAAAGGATATATAATGCAATTGTGTGTGCTTGAATTTGTTTTATCTTGTCCTTATGCAAAACTTAAAGCGATAATTTCATATTTTCTAAGAAAGTCAAAACATGATTATTTCTTTATCTATTGCTTAAAATGTTCTCAGATCCCTATTATACAATATAAGGAATCATTCTAGCACTTTAATAACATTCGCATAAAAATTTGAAATATTTTTCACTGGGAAACTATGTCTACATAATGGAAGGGGTGATTTCCAGGTCAACGCCTGTGTATAGATTCCATGTATTTTAAGGCTTTATTTTAAACGATTTAAACATATGACTTCAAAAAATGCAATTGTTGCTTTAATGTTTTTATTTTTAACCCTTTCGTAGGTTTTCGGTTTTCTATAAAAATAAGAGAAAGGTGATCTTTGTAGGTCATATTTGAAACCATCCGAAACTATGGCTGCCAAGACTGCTCACGTCACAGAACTAGTATACAGTTGCTAAATCTATAGTCAACAGCTTTTCATGGGACTCAGGCAGTTTGAGTCGCTAGAGAGAGTCAGCAGTGGTTCAGGGGCGAAAGGGTTAAGTTAAGTTAAGGTCAATATGTAAGTAAATAAAACAAGAAAAAGGTTATGGTGTTATTAGGTGTTCCGGTGATGTTCATCATTCATTTTTTAATCATAATCTTTAACTACAAGGAAAAGAAACTTGTCCAAAAATATTTGAACCAGAACTGTTTGCAGGGGGGGGTCAATCATCGTTTTCGGCCCATATCTGGACCTGAATATAACCTACAATTTTATTAGCTACATCACCCCAACCAAACAAATAGGTGAAATTTACACGTTTCATAGGAACAGAAATATAAGTGATTCAGGGGAGAGGCAAGGACACACCACCCTGTGTAGTTATCGATCTATCATGCTTACCAAGTTATTGTTATTGTATGATAATTAAATGTACATATGTATTGTAAATATAATGATTGCTATTCCCTTCAGCTAATATATAATGTGTGATATATAAAAATTAGAAATTGATATTATAAATAATAGAATGTAGTATTGTTGAAGGCCTTTATCTATTGAAGTTTATACTAGTAGGATGAATAAATCAGTCATTCACAATAGTCTGGACTTAAAATTTGACTCAAACATTTCTTAACCGGCCACCTGCTTAATGATCATAAGGTCAATAATTGAGTCAGGTGGTGTGGTTTCGATTCCCTGCTTGTACGCGACCAAAGTAGGGTCGTCTGTCCAGCCTTGTGGCTTTTCTCTTGGTCCTCGGTTTCTTAAGTGTAAGCGAATTTCTGAAATAAAATTGAACCATATGTTGCTCCCGAAATAACCTAGTCGAGTGGATGTTAAACCCAATTTCTCTCTCTCTTACTTAATGACTGGTGGTACAACATTGTTAACACAGTTATATTCTTTTACCTCAAAGAAAAAAGAAAATAAGTGATTTTCCTGATATTCTGTTTTATTTTTTTTAATTGTATAAAAATACAAATGTTAGTTTAAAATTGCCACAAAATGTTAAAACTGTTGAATTGTATTATTTAATACCATATATATATAAATATATAAGTTGTAAAATTATCATTGAATTGAGGATGAAAAAAATAAATCATCATGAACTGTTTAAAGTTATTTTTGTACTTAAATTGACCCCCCCACCCCCCTAGATACCACTTCTGAATTAAGCGATCATCCCATTATTTCAACACTTTTGTCCAAATGAATAACCCATGGATAGATCTCGAGTCTTGACCAACGTGCCCATCTTCTCCGACCTCTCCGACGGAGTATTTTCATTCATGATTCAACATTAAAGAAACAACATTAACATTTATACATCCAGTGGACGCAAGTGTTGGAATTTTGAGACGATACCCAAGCCACTAAATGTTATTTGAACAACAAGAAAAATACCATGCGAACTACAATATTGTTGAAGAGTTGAATTTCTAAAAGAAATATCAGTTCAAAAATGGTTCTATTCAGAATTTAAAATTAGAGCTGACATGATATATCGTTGAATCGATGTATCGCGATTCACCTATTTAATCACAAGATGCTGAATCAATGTATCACAATTCTTTTTATGTTTTCTCAGTAAGTAACCTTCACTCTTAATTATATCCGCTTCACACATTATCTATCACACATTATAAATTATTTTGATCCTTATTTTGGTCCACATCAATCAATATCGTGAAATAACGCAGTTTTATTTCTTCCACATCAGCAGGAATAAAAAATATCAATTATTTATTTACCCTGTTGTTTTCTGAGGTAAATATTGACCCGGTTATAAATTGTGATATGATTCGTATCGTATATTGACCGCAGTGGCAATAGCCAGCACTATTTAAGTAGATTAAACCATGACAATTTCAGTAGATTTAACCATATAAATATGAAGATTGTGGGGACCCTTCGGGACTAAATCTTGCGAAAGTTCCTAAATGTGAATCCATTTCCATTTAAAAGGGTTCAAATATTATCCAACGTGACATATCATTTATGTCTCATTTGGGATCGAGCGTGAAAAGCCCAATTATTTGTATCGTAACATTTCTGCTTGCATTTCAGCCTTCTAAATGATGTGATTGGCCTTTTTCTTTTGTTCGGAGAGTGTACGACATGGGCTATTTCCGAAAAGGATAATAGAGAAGTCTACTATTTCTCTTGGGAGGGCTTACTAAATTGAACCATTGGTGGGATCATAATCCGTTATATAAACAATCGAATTTTGTTTTGGTGAGGTAAAAAGTTGAGGTTCATATTTTTATAAGGCGTATAAGGACCAGAATAGTTTTTCAGTTTATACGATGATAGTGATCTACTTGGAATCAAAGTCGTCTAAATTTGCTATTTACATTCAGGAGAATTTTGACTCCGGTATTAATTTGTTGTTCAATTGATAGAGTATTTTGTATTCTGGTATAATGGCTGATGACAGAACAAACGCTTTCTAATTGGCAGATTATACTCTGGTAATGTTCCGGATGTAAAATCTGAGTGGGAGGAAACCGGATGACCAGGAGAAAACCAAAGAGGTTGGACTGGCGACCCTACTCCCTGTCCCGTACAAAAGGGGAATCAAAACCATGCCACTTGATTAAATGACAGACCTTATAGCCTTTAAACCATTCGGCCACCCAACTCAACAGAAATAATAAAACAAAGACATGATTTTATCAACAATGAATATAATATACATCACCATTTATATATATATATATATATATAGACATCTATGCAGTATAAATAAAATATTTAACACGTAACAACAATAATAATAATAAACCATTTTCTTTAAGACGTCTACAATTTGTCAAAATCCATCATCTCCCTGTACAACCCAGCAATAAATATCTCCCTGTACAACCCAAAAACATCTCCCCATACAACCCAACCCAACCCCACATCTCCCCATACAACCCAATACAACATCTCCCTGTACAGCCAAGCATCTCCCTCGACAATCCTAACATTTCTGTGTACAAACTTAACATCTCCTTATACTTGTGTTCCCATGTCAACCTTCTGTAAAGTCAATATTTTCGAACAACTTAGAAAATCGTTTCTACATATACAAGATCACTGATAGTGGAGACATATTACTGTCAAATAAATAAATGAATCTGGAAGATTTGGGAGAGCAAGGGTAACCTCATGAGTTATTCAGTTCTCCAATAAATTATTGCCTTTTAGTACATTTTGTAATTGTTTGTGCAACTTGACATTAAAAGCAAGATTTGAGCCTGAAATTCTTTAATTAAAATGCATTATGTAAGAGCTAAAACTGCCTATTGCAGGTCTTTTTGGGGGCTTCAAATGGTATATAAATTATTATTTAGAAATTTATTCACATGGCAAGTCAATGATAAACTCTCTAGAGCATCGGTTGGCAGAGATTTAAACAGATTTGAACTCTCTTGAGATTGTAAAATTTAATACAATGGATAATTAGTTTTCTAATACCATTGCAAGATCTTCGCTACATCTTCAAACAGTAATAACTTCGCCCAGAACAAAGTAATTTGAATGATATTTTCAATATAATAATATTCATTTTTTTTTTATCTACATGTATTTTTAAACTATTATAGCAAGAACATTCAGCTCTTTATCTAAACCTTACATAATGCATGTTTAATAATAATCTATAATACTACACACTGATAACCAGTATTCTACATATCTTGTACTGTACCTGGAAGTCTAGCGGCCATTTTCCGTGGTATTAACGTCTTAAGAGCCCTGGCCCCACCTCTTATGGAAGCGAACCAATTGAAAGGTGTAATTTTAGTCACTTACTGACCCCACCTCTTATGGAAGAGAGCCAATCGAAAGGTGTAATTTGAGCCACTTCTAGCTCCACCTCTTATGAAAGAGAACCAATCGAAAGGTGTAATTTGAAAATAAGCAACAGTTATAACAATACCAAATAATATATAATTCAGTGGGATATACAAGTTAAGTAAATACTGTACAGTTATAGTTGTCGATTCAAAACTTTAAAATTTATTACTTCGGGTGTCCAGTTATATTTATAGCACAGCTTTCATGAATTAATAGGTTTAACCACAGTGGCCGTCCCATCCAACCAACTATACAATGTTCATTTCCAGGCCCTCTGTTCTACACCACTGACAAGGGGGAACCACTACAGAAATTGGACTTTCTCGGCCAACACGGGCAGTGAACCTGAGACATCCAGGTTAACGAGCCAGCGTCTTACTCACTGAGCTATCATTTTCTCTGGTACAGATTTGAGTTTTGTCTGTGTTTTTTATCGATATTTATAAATCACGTCAGACAAAGTTTTAAATTCAGATACAATAATGTCTGACATTATTTTCATGCTTGGAATGTCTTCTTTACTTTCAGTAAGGGCATAAAATCTTAAAGTTTTTTTTATGCTTTTCTTCCCTCAAGAAGCATTTGCCTGAATTAATTCTCACATTTATGAATATCGTTTTTACAATTGTTCCTATTGCACAAATCCAATTTCATACAAAATATATTTTCAAAATTCTACCAGTATGTTTTAATTTTACGTATACTGGAATTGTTATGTTATATACTTTACTTATAATGGAAGTGTTGTTTGTTATCTATTTTACTTTGTTATATATTTATTGTTACATATTTTAATATAGTTTGTATTTATTTGGACAAATTGATAATATAAAAATATACTCGATTTGTTTCTCGTTTATCTAACCGTGATATGTTTTAATTTTATATATATTCTCAAATTGTTGTTGTTGTTGTTGTTGTTTTGATGCATGTATTTTGCATTAGCTATAAAGGGGAACTTTAATGTATGTTATATTGTATCGACACTACAGAGGAACTTTAAGTGCAATTTGCCATTTCACTATCAGACTGAGTAATAGAAATAAAAGTTTGAATCGACAATCTAACTCTGCGTTTGATTTATGTCACACTGAAAGAGCAAAATAAATGAAAGCATGGGAGGCTGGAAGCCATTATTCAATACATGTATAAACAAAATAACAGAATAAAACAGAGAAAGCCGCTACTAGGAACGATATTAACAGACTCTTTCCGTTCCTAGACAGCCAAGAGGGTTCTATAACTTCTGTATAATCTTTACGGTGTTTGCGTTTCTTTCCCTTCGTCCTGCGTTCAAAAGCTTCCAATTCTTCTCGTTCTTTTCTCGCTACTTCTTCCTGTCTCAGCTTCTCCGCTTCTTCCTCCTGTAAATATAACATTATTAATTATTTCCTTCTGTAAGCATATGATTATAACTTTGATTATCAAAGATTTCCCTCTATAAGTATATCATTATAACACTAAGTGCAAAATACTTTGATGGGGATATAGCATTGTGGGGATACACGGTTGAATGTCTTAGCACACCTTGAAACATTCTATAGGGGATACTCGACTGAAAGTGTCAATCAAGTAATCACAAGAATTTTTGGTGACAAGGCATGTGAATATGACACTATATATGAGAGATGGGGTAAACATACACTCACCACCAGTGGCAGGAAAATGGAAACTCTGGAGAAAACCCACAAGGTTGGACAGGTGACCCTATGCCTTGTCACTTACAAGCGGGGAATCAAAACCACACTACTTGATTCAATGACAGACCTTATGATAAGTTAAACCACTCAGCTGCCCCCATCCCCCTACACCCTTTCAACATAATTAGGTAATTTCTATATTGGGCTATTGGACCATCAGTTTTAACGAAAATACTAAAAATATAATTGTTCCTTACTTTTGATCTTTTCTCAGATTTAATTCTTTCACATTCTTCATCACATTCAATAAATTTCTTCTTGTCGTAACATATGGCCTGGCGTTTAATGCGTCGACATCGACACGAGGAAGTTGTCAATTGTTGACATTTGACCTCAGGACAAGGTCCAGAATGACAGGGAGACAAACAACGATGACCACACGGCATCTAAAACGAAAAAAAACAAACAAACGCTTTGTTAACCATTAAGCAGTTAGACTTCCCGAAACTGCGCCCTAACAAGGGCTCCTTATCCCGCCAAAAATGACCCATTACGTGCACAGCTATCTAACGCCCAAACTAGTAAATAGTCCTATATAAGGAAAGCTTATATATCGTGGACAGTTTTGGACAGTCTAAGGGACAGAACTGCTATTTGATTATATCCAGGGATGTAACAGCATTAATATTATCTTTTCTCTAATTTTCTTCAAGTTAGTCTATATCTACTTGTACCAAGTGATAAATGGTTATATTAAAAATTTACGTTATGGATGAACACTGGCGATGGCATAATACTTACATTTTTTGGGCACCTGCCACCACAGGCTTTAAGATTTGCTCTGACTTCTGTGGAAGCACCTGCCCAGTCAATACACTGTATATGTTTAACCATACTGTGACAGTGACATCGCATCTTAATACTGTATGTACAGGGAGGACACGGCCCCGGATGACACGACTCGGGACACGAGTGAGTACAACCAGGTGGGCGTGTCTTTAAACACAACTCTTCACATACGGCACAATTCTTTCCTGCCTGTAAAATAATACAATTCAATGATAGTCGGTTTAATAACACAGTCAGTAATCAATCAAAAGAGGCAAAAGGAGTTGATTGGCTGAATGGTTTAACACGTGCGTGTTAGATCATAAGGTCTGTCATGGACTTTGAGTTAAGTGGTATGGTTTTGATTTCCTGCTTGTACGTGACAAGGAGTATAGTCACCTGTCCAACCTTGTGGGTTTCCTCTTCAATTCTACAGTCATTAATTGCTTCATGTTAGAAAAAGCCGATTGATAAAACAATGTACCGGCCACTATGGTATCATAAATCAATCTACTTTAGCTAAATTACAGCAGGTTAATTGTTACTGGTTGCCGTGGAAGATACTTCCATATTCTGCAAGAGATGGATGGGGAACAGAGAAATTCAATACGGATCATTCTCTCTCTGTCCTAATGCTCCATATTGAAAATTAAAATCAGTTAAAAACTTATTCAAGATTTACCGTTATAATTTAGTATAAACATGCTGACAAAGGCTTAGTTTTGAAATAGTATGAAATGGAATGGGCTTAAAAGTCCTATTGTTCTGTTCCGACTGGGATAATGAAGACGGGCTTATGCCATACAGTATGCTATGATGAAAATTTTGCCCAGACAGCAGTGCTACAGCCTCTTTTATATCCAATTCCAACTGTTAAGGGATCTTTAACATGCAAGCAACATTGGTTTTTCATCCTATCCAAATGACTAAAAAATAATAAGAACTTACAGACTGATGATCAGGAGCATCTTGTACAATATGACAGTCTAGATGACATGTGTGATTACCACAATCTAAATCTCTACCACATGGTCGACCACATGAATAGGCTCCAATATTACTACATTCTACTTCTCTTATCTATAACAAAACATAAAATATTACTTTCAAGTCTAAAGGGGTTGGATTAACCATGTGGGATGTCCGGGACAAGTCAATGGAAAGGGGTTGGGGGGGGGGGGGGTAACTTCAAGTTCCTCCGCCTGTATATTCTGAGTGAGTTACACAAGTTAAATAATACAGAAGTATGGAACATTTTTTTTGTATAAGACCAAAAGATCAAAGTTGTCCCATATAATAATAATACCCTATGGCAGAGTGTATATGGGTGTTTACGGTACCTACCTCATGTTCTCCCATACATTTCTGAGGTAATGGAACCATGCATGGTGAACATGGTTTCTTGATTATATCTATCTTCTCTACAGGCAATGGATCCCATGGTCCCTTTCTCTCAACCTAAACACACACAAAATAATCCTTTTAAACAATAAAATATTAAACACAATAAAATCTTAAAAACAAAAAAAATATTAAATACAAAAAAAAAAAATATTAAACACAATGAAATATTCAACACAATGAAATATTCACACAATAAAACATTCACACAAGAAATATTAACACACAATGAAATATTCACCCAAGAAATATTAAAACACAATGAAATATTCACACAAGAAATATTAAAACACAATGAAATATTAAACACAATGCAATATTAAACCCAATATACACAATGCAATATTAAACCCAATATACACAATAAAAGATTAAAACACAGTATACGCAATGAAATATTCAACACAATAAAATAATTAAAACACAATATACACAATGAAATATTCAACACAATGAAATATTAAACACCCAAAACAATCTTTTTTAACATTAAAATTCGAAGAATAACTGAGAATATTTTAAAAGTAAGATAGGTTGCCAGGCAACGAAACATACACACACAGCAGCTAACTCATCCGAGCAGTCATGAAGGGTTGTTGCATATTTATTCCTTTGTAGGTAATTGGGGGCATTTAGAAGACAATTTCATACAGATCAGATTATAATTTTCGTCGTTTGAGGGTTCACAAGGTACTACAAATGGAAACAAGGGCCTTAACTCTGAAAGTAATTTACAGAAATTGATGAAATTTGACAGGTTTTTTTCGTTGACTTCTAATGCATATAAATTTCATACAGATGAGACGATAACTTTTGTCATTCAAACGTTCACAAGTAAAACAAGGGCCATAACTAGAAGTAATTGACAGAAATTTCTGAAATTTAATAGACCTCCGTTTCACAAATTTAAACGATGCATACAAATTTCATACATATGAAATTCAACAGGCTTCGTCGTTTCACTAATCTAAATGATGCATATAAATTTGATACAGATCGGATCATAACTTTGGGCGTTAGAGCGTTCACAAGGCTCAACAAAGTGAAACAAGGGCCATAACTCTAGACATAATAAAAAGAAATTGCTGAAATTCAATTGGCTTCTTCGTTTTACTAATTTAAATAATGCATATAAATTTCACAAAGATCGGATAACTTTTGGCGTTAGAGCGTTCACAAGATTCAACAAAGTGAAAGAAGGGCTATAATAAACGGAAATTGCTGAAATTCAATACGATTCTTCTTTATACTAATTTATATGACGCATATAAATCTCATCAATTTCAGCCGCCTGACAACTGATGGTTCTTCTCACTCTTACAGGGATTTGAACACAGGAGAAAAATGATTATTTTTATGTCAGTGGTAACCACAGAAATAAATGCTAGAATTTTTTCTAGACAGTGGCATTTCCATCTGCACTACTTCCATTTCAAACTGTCAAGGTTTCTTTTACTTGCACGCCAATGTGTAGAAGGGGTGGACGATAGTTTGTTGTCTAATCCAAATGACTAGGTAGACTTTCTCTGTCAAGCTCCCTGGCATCACCTCTGAAAACTGAGGACCAATTTTAAAATATTCTAACAAGTGTGCTCGACCTCTGCCAGGAATTGAACTCTGGACATTCTAGTCAAGAGGTTCTACTACCACAGCTCCCGATTCAAAATAAGAAAACTGTTAACTTTTTACCTTTTCAACGACCTTGACCTTGACTTCATCATGACATTTTAATGGACAGGTATGTTTACACCCTGGCAGTGGTAGATTACACACGAGTCTACACGGCGGACAGTCGTCAAAATGACAACGATGTTTAAATCTTGACGTATGATGACATGTCGGAGGTATTCTGAAAAAAAAATAAATAACATTTTATAAAGAGAGAGAAATAGGGTTTTACATTCACTTGAATCAAACTAGATCATTCTGGGACTAACATTTTGGTTAGCAGTGGGAGGATACAAGAAGATCCAGAGAAACCCCGCAAGGCTGGATAGGCCACCCTACTCTTTGTCACGTATCACGCCACTTGACCCAATGGCAGAGCTTATGGTTTCGAGCATATGCACTAACCACTAGACTACCCAACCCCCCAAGAAAGCAGATGACCCAGAGAAAATTCACATGGTTGGGCAGGTGACCCTACTCCTTTTCTGATGTTCAAGCTTGGGATCGAAACCATGCCACTTAGATCTTATGTTCTAATGTCTATTTGTTAGACCAATTTCAGATGATATATACAATCAAACCAACTTACCTACAGATTTGATTACATTTAGGTTTTTTGGTATTTTTTTCTTTTCCACATGGTACAGTAACTTTAGTTGAGTTACAGAAACAGAAAACATCAACAGTCAAGGGACAGGGATAACATGGTCCTATAAAATATAACATTTGTCTCGAATAATCAACTCTTTTTATGAACCAGCGGCTGCCAGGCAGAATACGCCCACATTTTCGAGAGATGGATAGAGAACAAGCTAACAAGAAAGTGATTTTTCCTACAATCAAGGGCCATAATTCAGGAAATTACAATTCGATATGCGCGAATATCAAAAGGAACTGAGATCTTTGTGTTATAAACTTACATTTCAAGTTTCAACAAAATCGGATAAAAATTGTGACCTCTACAGTGTTCACAAGCTAAAAACGTGATTTTTCGTACAATCAGGGGCCATAATCCATGAAGTTACAGTCCCATACATGCCAATATCGAAAGGAACTGAGATCTTAGGGGGACCTATATATCAAGTTTCATTGAAATCGGATAAAAATTGTGACCTGCAGACTGTTCACAAACAATTGTGGACGGACATCCAGACGGACGGGAGCGACGACAATATACGTCCACATGAAAATGTGGGCGTATAAAAATGAAATGAAGTTTAACGTCCTACTGTTCTGCTCCGACTGGGATAATGAAGACGTGCATATGTCGGGCCATGGGGGAAAGTTTGCCCGGACTGATGCGCTACAGTCTACTCTTATATCGAATACCAACTGTCAAGGGTTCTTTTATGTACAGAGGACCTCGGTTTTCTGTCCCATTCAAACAACTATATATTGTCCCTTACCAGACCATCCATCCTACACCATTGACAAGGGGGAACTATGTCAGAAAATTCAGATGAACTTTCTATCGGGCAATACAGGACCTTCAGGTTAGTGTGTTAACATCTTACTCACTGAGCCACCGTGGCTCCAACTCTTTTTACAGGGTTCCCAAGCTTTTACACTGCATCAAAATTGAATTGACATTTCTTACGGGAATAAAAAAATTGAAATCACGAAAAAGGAACGTACCACTATGACAAGGACTGGCACATTTATGATTTTTACATCCTAGAGGTTTACCACAAATCTGATCACATGGAGAACAGTTTCCTTTACAACACTGAAAAAATACAATTATAAAAATATAAATCCAGTTTTATCGATTCAATATAAATTTTATAATCGCTCATCGTCATTTGACTGATTTTGAATACATTGCAAACTAAAAGTTGAATCTCTAAAAATGAATATCAGTACAAGCGGGGAATCAAAATCATGCGACTCGACTTAATGATAGACCTTACGATCTAATTTGTGCGTGTTATCCATTTGGTTCCCCACCCCTCCTCAGTATTTACAAAGATATTTTGCAACATAAGACAGCGCCAGGTATAAGAATTGGATAAATATTTTGATGGACCTCTTATTAATCCGATTGAATCTAAGCTGGGTTGTTATCTACTTTGGGTTTTGTTTTCTTAATTAAATGTTACATAACGAAAATGATTATATTTTAGTGTGGATTATTAGATATTGTCCAAAAAAAACAAATTACGATCAGCAACTTTCAAAACTAACACAGAATCTTAAAACATCATACATAAGGTTAGACTGGAGCTTTAAATCAAATGGGGTTTAACTTTTCCAAATTTTGCTGGGACAACGGAGCTACAAGCTACTCCTATATCGAATTTTACTTGTCAAGGGTTCTTTTTTTACAGGACTTCAGTTTGTTGTCCAATCCAAATGACTAGACACAGTCCATGTCAGGCTTAAAATAACATTTTTTTCTCTGACAGATTTGAGACTACATTAAAACAAGGCCTACCTTCTTCTTGCATTGATGTCTACCACAGTTTTTTTGTTTATTACATTTAGAATCACAGGAAAATTCTTTACTACATAAACTCTCTTTCTGTTTTCTTCCACATTTACATCTCTTCACCACCAGATGTTGACACTGAAAATAATCATATGAAATGAAACAGGGTTAACATCCTACTGTTCTGCACTGACTGGGCTAATGAAGACAGGCATACACCATACATTAATTGTGCAATGAGGGGAATTTTGCTTGGACAGCGGCGCTATGGCCGTTGGTCCTACACCACTGACAAGGAGGAACCTCACCGGACTTTCATCACTGCTTTGTAAATCCTGAGAAATTTTCTTGCCCAATCAATGTGTACATGAGACCTCGATTTTTCATTCCCTCTGAATGACCATAAGCTGTCCATCATGAACGAATGAACAAAGTCAAACAAAATATATATATAAAACACTTACTGGTGTACAGTTTCCTGTATGACATCTTTCTAGACATTTATGTTGACCACAAGATAAAAGTTTCTCACATGTATCACCACATGGTAATATATCTTCTGTACATGGTAACTCCAATTCTGTTAAATAGAATTATTCACAAATAATAACACCAATTACAATTACCACGTGAACATGAGGGACAGAGAGAAACAGGGTTTAACAAATGGTTCAATTTAATTTCAATTATTGGCATTTGTGTAGGGTTTTTTAGCAGAGGGAGGAAACTGGGGGACCTGGAGAAAACCCATGAGATTGGACAGGTGGCCCTACTCCTCATCACACAGAAGCAGGGAATCAAAACCATGACACTTACTCAATGACAGACCTTATGATCTAGCACACACGTTAACCCATTTGACCCCCCCCTCCCCCCGCCTCGCCCCCCATGCATGCGAAGATGATGTATCGATGTTCCTTATTCGACAGGATGCCTGTGATATGGAGGTGATATAGTTTATAAAAATTACCTGTTTTTCCACATGGACAGGTTCTAAGACCTAATCTAGGACAGCGACCACAATCCTGACCATGACAAACCTTTTCACAAACATGATTACCACAATCTAAAGGTCTATTACACACCTACAATAAATACATTTGAATTCATATAATCCTTTTATCTGTGGGGCTGTATTAATTTTATTATAATTCAAAAATATATCTAAATTACAGAGAAAATAACATTCATGAACATGATGGGTATACATTTCAAGTCAATCCGATGATAACTTTAGCATCTTGAGCATCCACAAATTTGTTTCAATAGTACAGTATTGTATTAATCTTTTAGAGACATTTAGTAAGTGAATAGAGCAATAAACTATAACATATACTATAACAATTACTAATTCATTTGGGTGGTAGCTTGACAACGTTGAGAGAATACTCCACGAAACATCGCCCTAATCAATTAATAATTGTTCTTCTATAAGTATGTGTTATAATTCATAGCATAGTACTAGTGTAGTATTAGTAATTTAATAGTACAGACCTCTTTACATCTCCATTCAGGACTAGCACATAATCTGGTATCTTCATGTTTTCCACATAAACATGATTGTTTACTGGTTTTACTACAAGCTGAACATTCACCTAGAAATATATTATACATGTGTTAACACTTGGTTATATTGTTTTTATATGTTTTTAAATGGTTTCTATATGGATTACTTTTGTTGGGGTTTTCATCTATATTCTTTTAAATGGATTCGTTAGTCAAAGGACTTTCAAAATATGAACTCAATTTATCATTTTATTTTTTTAACTCATCTGAACATATAGACAAGACTATCAAGTCTCATGGGTGCAACTTCAGATAAATAGGAGCCAGTTTTAATTAAACCTTAAAGTTCTTACAGTATTGAACCTACTGCATTCTAGCAGTGAACCCTACCAGACCCCCCCCCCCCCCCACCAACTACACCAAACCAAGAAAGATAGAAAGATAAATCATTTTGTCTGATGGCCTAAGAATAATCAATATTTATATTTTCTTTTGTATAATTTATAACCAATAAGCTATTTGGTGAGGCATTTTTACCAATTCTTTATCATTTATTTGTATTTCCAGATATTTCAGGTCTACAGGCAAAGACTGGAAAAATAGTATTTTGGTTTAATAAATAGGTCCCAGGAGCCCAGAGTAGAGGCTGCAAAAATTAAAAGGGTTAAGACAGTGAAAGGACTTCACTTAATAACGTTGTGAGAAGAAATTTTGACTACCTGTTTACATCCAACCACTGAATAGGTCTTAGTGAATAAAAAATATAGCAATGTCAGCAAAGGTGAGTAAAAGCTGTGGTACCTTGACTCCTTGTCAAGTCACAAAACCCAATCTTAAGAAAGTCCAAGTCCCACTCAAGTCGCTTATTCCACAAATGAGTCTCCAATTCATGGCAAATAAGACAAGTTAGATTTCTGTTCTCTCACCGTGACTTCAGTCCTTAGCTCTTACAGCATTCTGAGTCGGGTCATGAAAAATATTTCAAGTCAATTTACTGGACTTGATTTTCCTCTTTGATTGTTTGTAAATGTGTGACTCACCTTCATGACAAGGTTGTTGACAATAATGTTGATTACATGATAATAAACGTCCACATGGTTGACCACACGCCCAGTTTCTAGCACTACATCTCTTCATCTGTGCTGGCTGTTTACCACAATAACACACTGATTTTTTAGTCTTTGGACAGGGTGGACAAGGACCTAAAATTAACATTCAACTTTTAGTTAATTCCAAAAGTAATTAACACTTCTCTCTCAAGAAATCTTTTCTTGTCTTTGTTTTTAAACAGTTTGTGGATTAGTTGAACTTAAAAAATCCTCGTTTTGATGTGCAAATGTGTAACTTTCCATGAAACACAGGAATTAACCCTTTAGCCCTTCATAAGTCAGAATCTACTGCTCCATACTGCCAGTCACATGACTAGATGTCAACTATTTAACAGCAGTCATGTGATTCAGCAGTCTAGGGAGTAGTAGCTTCCAAACTCACAATCAAAATATATCTCTTTTCTTTCATACGTTTGGGGAACCTGGGCAATCAATATTTACATGTACAGAGTGTCAAAGGGTTAATTATGGAAACATGGAAAAAACATTTAAATTTATAAATGATTTTGTCCTTAATGAGAAGTTCTATGCTATGCAACATTTTGAACATACCTGGATGACAGAGAAGTAGACATGAATGTCCACAATCAGGTTTCAGTTTACGACCACATGTTTGACCACAGGAGTGGGGAACCAGCCAGGGGTCAAACGGAGGATCAGCAACTTTACCACAGAAACAATAATACTTAGTTGGACAATCAGACTGCTGATACTCATGACGACATTTAGGACTGAAAAACAAAATACAATCAAATGAGGTTTAACACTTCGTAACTGTTTTTCTAGACAAAGATGAGGACAGATCAAAGAGATTGCATCATTTTAAATTATACTATTGGTACACATGATGTCCACATATTAAATTATGTTATTGGTAACCATGACAATAAGCTAGTAGGACATTTTAATTCCTACATTGACGTTTCGAGTCAAAAGCATTCAGTATACTTTAAGAATTTTGTGGAATGGTACTGGGTATCAGGGCTGTCGGTAATTTTTCACAGTTGATTAGCAGCACTGCTAATCAAAAAGTCCAATTTTGCCAAATTTGATTAGCAAATTTAAAAATTGATTAGCAGTTTTTCAGTTTCAACGTAAAACACCTAAATAACAAGATATTACTTTAATTCATAACGAATTGAAATATGATTAGATTCCATTCTGACTATTCTTAGGTTTTTTAGCACTGCCACAAGTACTTGTGACAGTTTGTGAATGTGATGTAGACATTTAGTTAGGTCTTATGTCTGAAGCCAATTCTTGACAGTGACTTCCGAAGCCCCACTCATTTTAATTGTATTTTTTTTGTTACGTTAGAAATCTTCGTTAGAAAACAATTTCGTCTGCTTTTTATCGTGTATTATTATTTTTGTTCAATCGGGCGCACCTCGATTAACTAGACACACGCGATATAAACAATAATATTTTACGGGAATTTTTACTTTGATTTATCATTTTACAATACGTTAACATGTATTTATTTTTTTTATATTTTATTTACAATACGTGGGAGATACACTGGATTTATTTCTTTCAAAATGAATATGATATAATTACTTGATGTCTCACAACGTGAGTGGTACTACTTGATTCCCTATTTCCGGTTTAATAGTCCCTATTCATAGAGTTATGTCCCTGTGTTATATAGTATTGTGTCTGGGCAGTTCGAGAAGAAAATGTCACACGGAGAATTCAGTTTTGTTTATAAAATTTTATTCAACATTTTATACACGTTGAAAGTGTTGAGTAAGCCTTCTAGTCTTCAAAATGTGGATTATTCTTGTGTCAATATCCAAAATGACAGGCATATTAATGATGCGCAGTAACTGCGAATCAAAAACGTTAGATTTTAATTTTTGGTTAGCAACGGACAAAATATGTATCGCAAATTGCGCTGCGATACTGGTTGTCGGCAGCCCTGCTGGGTATAATAGTTCACTTACCAGTGCCAGGGAATGTTTGAGGCAGGAATGTTGGAATCAGATTTGTAATTAAACTGGTACGTCCCTTCAGTCACCCATTTTTGTATACATGTAATATGAAATATCCCAGCGCAACCACGACAACACCAAATCTATAAAATATAAATAACAAATCATTGGGGGTACTCGATTGAACGTTTCAGAATTGAATTCTCTCAATCAGATCACATTTCAGTGTAAGTGTATATAATGAACAAAAGTCAGATTCAACTTAAGTTGTACTTGAAAGTTTATTTTACACTGGCTTTAGACCAGAAGAGTGTCTGCTCTGCTAAACATAAATTCTATCCCCAAAACAAGCCAAATTTAATATATATTGGCAAAAAATTAATAAGACTCTCCACACACAAATCTTTCTAAAGTGTATCAAATTAAATCATATAACTTGCTCTCCCAAAAACATTGAATAGACAGGAAACCTCTAACACCTCTTATGTTTAAATATCACAATTTGTTTGCTCAATATCTGTTTGACATTTTATAAAATATAAACAGAGAAAAGTGAATTGGTGCATGACAGAGCCTGCATTTCAAGGCCTTCGACTGTGAGATGTTAGCTACCTTTAAACATACAAATGAAGTATCACTGTTGACTTACGGCTTCTTCTTTTTTGACAGTTTCTATACAGACCAAACAAGCCGACGTGGCAGAACGAAACGAATGAACCAAATCATCTTGTACTTTCTCCACCAAATTACTTCCAACTTCATCTGAAAATAGGACAAATCAGGATTTCAAATACATTCTATTGACTTCATTCAAGAACACTCTCAAACACACGCACACCTCTCAGACTCTACGGGTCCAAATTTGATGCTGCGTGTTCACAGCTCATTCTACAAAATAACATTCACCAGTTTGCAGATTATTGGAGAGTCACTGATTTCACAAACAATTCCGTAATATCTAATTTTTCCTACGCATTCCACATCTTCTATGCACCTTAGAAACTGTTATTCAATATTAGCGCGTTTTATAAATGACAATATTATTATTATAATTTTATGCAAAAACTCATCTTATGACCGTGGACATATGCCATCTAGTGTGCTATGAGTGGATGGCATTGTTTCCATATACTCTTCGTCTATTCCGGCGTGGTTCTCCCTTGTCAGTGATGCAGGACGGAGGGGCTGACAAGGAAAGCTGTCTAGTCGTTCGGATGGGACGAAAAACCGAGGTCCCGTGTACACATTGGCGTGCACGTAAAAGAACCCTTGGCAGTTGGAATTCGATATAAGAGTAGGCCGTAGTGCCGCTGTCCGGGCAAAATTTCCCTCATAGCACACTGTATGGCGTATGCCCGTCTTCATTAGCCCAGGTTAGGAGCAGAACAGTAGGACGTTAAACCCCATTTCATTTCATTTCATTTCTCTTCGTCTAATACCATCTGAAATGGGTTCTTTTAGGATCAAATGAAATGGTGTTTCACATCCTACTTTTCTGCTCCGACTCGGCTAATGAAGATGAGCATCCACCATGCAGTGTGTTGAGAGGGAATTCTTGACTAGACGGCAGCACTAAAGCCTACTCTTATATCAAATTCCAACTGCCAAGAGTTCTTTTACGTACATGTCAATGTGTACATGGGACCGTGGTTTTTCGTCCCATCTAAATGATGAACTTTCTCATCCAACACCTGACCTTCAGGTGAGTGAGACAGCATCTTTCAGACAGGGAAGTGGGTAAGACGCTGGGTCGCTAGCCTGGAGGTCAGGTGTTCGATCCCTGCATTGGCCGAGAAAGTTCATCCAGATTTTCCGGTGTGGTTCCCCCCTTGTCAGCGATGCAGGACGGAGGGCCTGACAAGGACAGCTTTCTAGCCATTCGGATGGGACGAAAAACTGAGGTCCTGTGTACACATTGGCGTGCACGTAAAAGATCCTTTGAGAGTTGGAATTCGAGGCAAGATTTCCCTCATAGCAAAGTGTATGGCAAACGCCCGTCTTCATTAGCCCAGTTGGGAGCAGAACAGTAGAACGTTAAACCCCATTTCATTTAACAAAAAATCAAGGAACATCTTACCATAACTAACAGAATAAGATTTAAAAATAGATTCCAACACATCATCCTTTAACTCTTCTTCTTCTTCCTCCTCGTCAGAAAATTCATTATTCTCTTGTAATTCTCGTAGATATCTCTGTGCTGATTCTCGATGTTTGATACTGATAGCATCAAATCGTTCCTGTACCTGGGCCTGTTGGATTTCTTCTTCAGCTGGAAAATAATAAAAAGATACAACAAAAATTACAATTCAAATTTTTAAAGATTGAAAAGGAGTAAAATATTAAGACACCCCTTCCCCCTTCAAAATATACCTTTATTCTGAATTAAAGATTTTGATCAAAGATCAATAAGATTGTAGATGACCTTAGGTTATTTTTTATAAATCAATAAGAAACACTGCTATTTGAACATAAACTGGGAATCTTCTTCTTATGTTGTTATTCTTGGGGCTCCACTAATTCAAGTACGATCGACGTGAAACTTGCCATCCTTGTTCTTTGGACAACTGCACATCAACTTACGGATTTAGACTTTTGATATGATGTCATAACGGCAAGATGGCTGAGATGCTGTCATGGTCGGTTCCTGGTTCATGTAATATGCTCGTACTTATCATTGCCCAGATTTAATTAATAGGTCTTGTATAATGGCCTAGTAAATTGTTGTTGGTCATATTTAACTACAATGAAGAACAGGTCCAATAATAACCTGGTAATTCTTCATGGATAACCACTAATCAAAAAGGTCTTATACTAGCCTGGTAATTTTTAATCATTTGTATATTTTCTATGACTTACATGTGACAGATTGTGCATGAGAATTGTTGATATTATTAGATGATTGTAATCCTCCTGGACCTACAGAACCATCACCTGATCTATTATTAGATTTCACGCCTGGAGCACCATTTGACCAGGCTCCTCTTCCATTTCCTCTACCCCTACCACGTCCTTTTCCTCTTAGAAATGCCGACTGGCTGTCCATCTTCAATAAGCCCTGCTTTTGATTCTCTCAGGCCAATGTTCTTTCTTTGTCTACTAAGAAAAATATATAATAATTAAAACCAATGCTCACCAAAGAATATTTCTTATTGATTTTCCATAAGTGAATAATAATAACATTGGTGTGCACCAAAAAGCATAGCCTGGTATGTTGCTACTGGCTTCACCAACATAGAATACCAATGTGACTGTTTTTATAAAATAGAATTATGCTTCTTTTGGATTTTGGACAATAAATCGATGATTTCGTTGCATTTAAGAATTTAAATTTGTTCTGTAAAATATAATCAATCTAGTCATCATCTGATAAAACATTTTGTGTCTAAAGTTTCAAAAGTCTAACATTTCAACTTAATTCCTATAAATCATTCAAGTCAGCCAAGTGATATCATCAATGTCCAATCGACCAATGGCAATAGGCCTATCACTATCATTGTGTACAGGATATTTAATACGTATTGCCTGTCCTACATTGATTGACACTGATTCATTAGTTCGTATTGTGGATGTTTTTCTGATTAAAAGGCACGTAATCAGTGACTTTCACACAATGTCAACGCGATAGGCCTATGGTTTATGGCTAGAGGGACATGACGGTTGCATATTTTCCGTCCTTTCCTGACGTGACTGACTGCGTTGGCTGGAGAACAGGTGGTTCTATCATTATGCGCAATTTCAATATCTTCTGCACATAAACAAATTACAATCAATTTAAAATGGTCAAATCTAACGGATAAATTTGCAAATAAAGGAAAACTACAACAAAAATTGATAAAATAAAAATATTCTAGCAGACGTTTTCAACCAGCTGAGGGCGCCGCCATCTTCTAATTAACGCGTTCTGTTGTGCAGCATTGTTTCCATTTATTAAAATATTTAATATTTCGTAAAATCGTTAAAATTTAATTCCACATGATTCTTTTGAGTAATGGGTTGGATAATTAGTTTTATGTCTGAGAAATTTGTGTGTAAAAAAACAAATTATAAAATACTTAATTACTAAATGTAATAATCATCGAACATTCCACAACAACCAACTCGAACGCACCTGCCAAATTGCTAATGGTTAGATTAATCGAGTCTACATAGTGGGAGGGTGGATTACAAAATTGAGTATCTTACTTTATCTGAAACGAAATGTATTGTGTTGCTGTATTTTTATTTTCAAGTCCGGTCTCCATTTTATATCAAAAAGAAAACTAGCACATGACTTCTTGATAGTATTTATTTATGTTTATTTAGTTTCTGATGATTAGATTACATTTGTGACTGATGATAATTATAAAGGTTATCCCAAAACAGTCAAATCAAAAAGAACGACTAGTTCTTCGGATCTAACCAAAAAAGGCGATTGTTCAGATGAACTGGCTCCAGACGGGGCCCGTGAGAGGGAAGGGGTTGGGATGGTGGTATTGGGACTGGGGGTGGGGTACAGTTGGGACACTTGTCTATGGGCCTAGAGGGACCTGAAGGTATGCTGAGTAATGTTTTTTAAAACATTTGTAAATTGTTTTTAAAAAATACATTATAGAAGATCGTACAACAGAAGAAAACCGGTGACTTTTCTGAATGTGGGTACCCAGTAGCGTGGGTAGGATTAGAATCGAATTCTGTCAGTCCACTTTTTTGGGGAAAAATAGTGAATTAAAAACTATAAGCCACCTACCCGGACCTTCGCCCCGTGCCCCCCCCCCCCCCCTGCCCATCCCTGTTCCATTTGAGGCTCTCGTCGACATGATTTTCGGTATTGAAAAAAAAAAAAATAAATAAATAGTTTATGTGACTTTAGCTAAAATACTTTGCAACGTACTTTGCATTTTTAGCTGAAAGCTAAAATCCGATACAAGTTTCTCCAAAATACGAATTTTTGAAGAGAAATTTCAAAAATTTCTAATTGAATTCCAAACAAATACACTATAATAAAAAGGATAACCAAAACATATCACATTCTATATCGAAGCACCGGTGGCTAGGTAGGACGGACGGACGTTAACTCAATAGTCCTGCAGTATGACCAGAACAGTAGAACGTTAAACCCCATTTCATTTACATTCTATATCTGTTGTATCAAAGCCTTTACAAGGGTAATGTTTTTTTAGTATTGAAAATAACAATACACAAGAACATGGGGGGGGGGGGGGGGTCATGGTGGCTAAGTGGGTAAGACTCTGGCTCGCTAGCCTGGAGGTCGGGTTATCGATCTCTGCATTGGCCGAGAAAGTTCGTCCAGTTTTTCCGGCGTGGTTCCCCCTTGTCAGTGATGCAGGACGGAGGGCCTGACAAGGACAGTCGTTTAGACGTTCGGATGGGACGAAAAACCGAGGTCCCGTGTACACATTGGCGTGCACGTAAAAGATCCCATGAAAGTTGGAATTCGCCTGATAGCGATAAATGTGTGCGGAGAAAACTGGAATGTGAGACATCATGGCGAATGCTGTTCGGCACCAATTGATGGGGATAATGAAAACGTACATACGCCACGGTGCTACGATTCATCGAGTTCTAACTGTCGAGGGTTCTTTTAATATTTTCCTCAACGTGTAGACTACACACTATCAGTATCTTGGGTTTTCGTACAATTCGAATGACCTAGCTGGAAAAACCTAGCTGGAAAAATCCCGAGGTATATTCTTGGCCATTGTTGTGAGCCAGCGTCTTACTCACTGAGTCACCTTGGTTTCGAGTCGGATACAACATACATTGCCTTTGAAATAATGATGAATGAATGAATGAATGAATGACGTAGTTTTATGGCACGCCAGCTCCAATCGGGCAATATTGCGCCAAACATGGTGACGTTGAAATTTAATGAAATAAGACTCAAATTCGATTAAAATCGTTTCTTGTCGACCTCCTTGAGAGCGCTGGTGTAATGATTTAAAAAAAGAAAGAATATGAAATGTTTCACCTATACCTTCACTAGGCAAATCTTTCAATCTATACTGATATAAACATTATAATATACATGTATATCAGAATTAAAAAAAAGTACTTTGATTTTTATATACCCACTTTTTACCATGGAGTCTTGGATACAAGAAACCTGCGAAGGTTGGATTACTGCTCTTTAAATCTATTTTACCAAATGTATTAAAATTCACCGCTGCATTCTTATTTAAATACTCATTTATATTTATAAAACAAAAGTTATAGATTTTTATTATTTCAGTTTATTTTATCGGGCCTACTCGCAAGTCATTAAATTTATTGGTACAAAGTTAAAGATGCATTATGTAACAGTTAAATCTGCCTATTGTGGGCCTTAGCTTTTGTTTCAAATGTTTTATGAACTATTATTTAGACAATTTTTTCACATTTATGTGGCAGTAGGCTACACGGGACCTCTTCTTTTTTTTTTGCGCCATTCGCACGACTACACGTTGTCCCTTTGATTTTCACGACTCTCTGGATAAAATACGCCACTATTTCTTTTTATTTTTTAAACAGTGAGGCTGTGAAGTTTCTCATACAGCTGTCAATCGGTTTGAACGGAAAGCCAAATTTTCGTTTCGTTTTTAGAACGATATCCATTTTTATAATTAGCCCATAGAAACATGGCTGCTGAAATTTGTTAGAATAGGAGAATTCTGGTGAATTCCATGTTTTAGAAGCGGGTAGCACCCTTTTTAGGTGTTGAAAAGACAACTGTACGCGAGGAAATAGTATCTCGTATGAATTCAAAAGAGAATAATAAAGAAGAAGGCGAAGCCGCGAGGTATTTATTTTTAATACGCAATTTATGTTTTCAATTTATCATGTCGACTCTACTACTCCATTTTCAAAACAGGATTGATTCCATCATGATCATCATCATGAGGAGAAAATGACATTATTGGTATTGTGCAATGGTTTCCAGTATGATTATTGTTTAGTGGTATTTTAGCCTGTAATGAATAGGCGTGCTTTAACCTTACAGGTAAAAGTGGCTAACTTATTTATATAGCTACGAGAACGTAACTAGGCCTAAAAACGTTGAGATAGGCCTATACTGATGTGCTTGTTTTTAGCTACGATTGAGTGCCTTTAGTTTCACCTGTCAAACTTAATTTCTTTATCAATGCATGTACCATCTGAAAAATAAGTTAATTTTAACTTTTAGAACCCGAAATGCCGCAAAACCGGCTTCGACGTTGTAGCGCATATACCCGAAATGTCAGTTTTGCGGCTTGTGGGCGGGTCTACTGACACGCTTCCTTAACAATAACAAAATAGCCAATCAAAAGGCCAATTACCGTTTGCCCCGGGTCTGTTGTAAATAGTGACTTCCTTCCACTTGTTTACATTTCAATTTTGCCAAATCTTTCGTCGAATTGTTTGTTCTAAACGACTAAATGCAACGGATGCACTAACTCTTATAACGAGCGATAATGGCGAAGATATTGATGGGTCGAATTACGGCAATGGAAGCGATTTTAAAAGTGAATATGCCCTAGATTCGGACGAAAATAACAAAGAAAATGACAGCGATAATAATACTCGTACGTGTAATCAGTTTGTAAATAATGAAATGTTGATCTACAGTACATGGCCGGTGATAGAAATATTGGACTTAGGGCGTGGTCGCGATATTAGCAGAGTTCAAAAACTGTTGGCATGATTGGAACTCCAAGTTTATGGATTGGAGATAAAATTGAATAAAAGTTAAATTTTCTGCTTAAATATCATTGTTCCATCATTTCACACAATTATAAACATATATAATATAAAATTCACACCTAACATTTAGTTTCAATTAAAATGACGTCACTTTTGCAAAATCGTGCTGTAAAGTCAGGGTAGGGTATGCGTCACCCAAAATATTTTCAGGGTTCAAAGGGTTAAACTATTTCTATTAGTACTTATTACACATACACAGCCCAATCTACTGAAACAACATTCATTCATCAGCAAATATTGACAATAAAGTAAATCAATCGTTGTTTTCATCAAAATTGATATGGACATTCATAATTACGATGTTTTACTCCTGCGCAACTCTGATCAGGTTAGTACTTTGGCTATTGCACCCGAGACCCCACCTTTAGAATGAAATGAAATGAAATGGGGTTTAACGTCCTACTGTTCTGCTCCTAACCTGGGCTAATGAAGACGGGCATACGCCTTTATGTGTTATAGACGTAAATTTAAAATGTCAGAGAAAGCAATCTATTAGGCAATCCTTTCGATTTAAAAAGAGGGGATTTGTACCCGTGTCAGGTATGAGAGAGAGAGAAATGGTGTTTAACATCCACTTGATACAAAGTAGGTCATTTCGGGACTAACATATGGTTTAATTTTATTTCAATAATTCGCTGGCGCGTAGGGATCTTTAGCAGTGGGAGGAAACCGGAGGACCCGGAGAAAACCCACAAGGTTGGACAGGCTCCTTGTCACGTACAACCGGGGATTCGAAACCACGCCAGTCGACTCAATGACAGACTTTATGATACAGCGCGCGCACGCTAACCATTCAGCCATCCAACCCCCCGTGTCAGGTATGATTTTCTGCTTAATTGTTGTTGGGTGTGGCAGAAATCTTATAAATAACAATAATCAATCGTTGTTTCGATGAAAAATATTGTCAATTTTGCTTACTGTCAAGGCCCGATGTGATTCACGTTCGGCTTTGCTACATGGAACTATACAGAACCATCTCTTATCTCGAAACACAGAGGTTTGAGAGATGAGGTTTGTTATCTAACTTATTTATGGCACAAGTCAAGTGGCTGAGAGACATTCACATTGGACCATCTCAAGTGGCCCATTGGCATTGCATTGCATCTCGATAGACTAATGATGATCTAAAATCTAATATAGAAAAAGACCTGTGTGACTTTCTTAAATTTGCCCTGTCTATTACTCAACAAATTGGTCTGTCAGAGATTTTTGGGCAGACTGACGTTTTGGCCAGGCATAGGCCCAGAGGTTAAACACATGGAACATTGGAGTCATTGGAAGTAAAAAGTAGGCTTTACCCATGTTTTTAACTGTACCTTTCCTTTATTTCAACCTGAAGATAAATATTAAATATTATGTAGATCCTATAAATAAAAAAAACATCACAATTATTTATTTGTTGCGTCAAGAGTCAATGAATCTGATTTTATGCATAATTATCAAAAATTGTGTGAAGAATTCTTACCACTGGCAGGTGTTCCACATGACTGACAACTGTTACATGTATGTTAATATACTATTAAACTTCTCAATATATGCATTATCTAACATTCAAAACATCAACATTTAGCTCACTTCTATATATTGCATCAAAATAGAGACTGGCAGACCGAAAGGACACTTGCCGCTTATGTCTTTCTTTCTTGAACCTCCAAGACTCAGATGTTTTTGTGAATTTCCACAATGATTCAGCTACCTTATAATGATTTAGTATGTCCATTGGAGTCATTAGCAGTGGGGGAAAACCAGAGAATGGATTGATTTCATAACATTACTATTTAATACTAACACTGTCCATTACTATAATAACATTGCTATTTCTTGCAGAGTTCCTGACCCAATAGACGGTGAAGCCAATCAAACAGGCGAGGGAGAAGGAATGTATGTACATTTAAGATTTTTGAAACATAGCTTTTTTGATTCATTCTGGTTATTTCTGATTTGTTGTTATTATATTATTGATCTCTCTCACTGTGAATCCATTGGGCCATGCAAATTGGATTTTTGTTTTTTGTGAACCACTTTTAAAAACTTTGGTCCCCATTTCTTCAGGGAAAATGAAAAAAATTGAAAACAAAAAGATCTTCATTGCTCTTTCTAAAGATTTTAGATTCTAATTTGTAATAGCCACTAAATAAACTACAGTGACTACTTATTCATCTAAGTTTGGCCTTAGATGGTTAGGAGTCTCAAACTACAGTAAACGATAAACATCAATTATGATTTCAAATTTTTTGCCTCCATTTGATTATTTGGATGGACAATTAAAAATCCCTAGTTATGCATTTTGTTCAATAAATTAAATCTATATCTATTGATTGTCTTTGGTTTGAACAGGAAACGGGCCGCAGCAAAACAGTTGATTGAGCGTTATTATTATCAACTGACCAATGGGTGTGGAGATACCAACTGTCGTAATGCCTATTGTTCCTCGTGTCCTGAGTTTTGTTTCCGTCAGGCTGATCGTAATTCTCTAGCATTACGTGCCATTGACCTCTTCAGAACCAAGGTAACCAATTTCTTTTATTGTTATTATTATAATAATATTAATATGATGATGATGTAACTTTCACATAGTAATGTTCCGAAATGCTCCATCCATATACAGATTTTCAGCTTCAGCATTTTACAGACATAAATTTTCCAGGTCTTAATTCATACTTACAGGCACTCAGATCAATTATTTATCTTTTAATTAAGAAAGCCAAATAAAAATATCAATGATCATTTCCCTGCTTGGATTCAATTGAATTAAAGAGAGGCCCATCAAAACCCTGGTGGTGATGGCCTGTATTGACTATATGCTCTGCAGTGGGTGCTGAATGTTGACAAATTTTCCACATATCTTTGTAATTACTGACTGGAATTGAACCCATTTTTGGACTGAATTTTCTTTTGGAGATTCAACTTTCACAAGGCATTAATAATCCCTCAAAAGGCATACAGATCCTTAGTCTTCTAGCCTTGACACATTCAGTTCCGTGAATTTAGAATGGTGTGATCAACTAGATGAGAGGTGGACAACTTTTCACATAGTATCAGGTTGTTCACACAAAAATTCAGATTCGCCATGCAACTCTTATACCTCTTTTTTAGTTTAATGCACAATAGTCCATCTCTGTTTGTTTTAGTCCATCTTTCCTTGTTTTAGTTATTAAGGGGATCACGTGGTTAAGTGGATAAGATGCGGGCTCGCTAGCCTGGAGGTCGGGTGTTCGATCCCTGCATTGGCCGAGAAAGGTAATCCAGATTTTCTGGTGTGGTTCCCCCTTGTCAGTGATGCAGGATGGAGGGCCTGACAAGGACAGCTGCCTACCGGTAGTTGTTTGGATGGTATGAAAAACCGAGGTCCCGTGTACACATTGTCGTGCACGTAAAAGATCCCTTGACAGTTGGAATTCGATATAAGAGTAGGCCATAGTGCCGCTCTCCGGGCAAAATTTCCCTCATAGCACACTGTATGGCGTATGCCCGTCTTCATTAGCCCAGTTCGTAGCAGAACAGTAGGACATTAAACCCCATTTCATTTTATTAGGGTTTCACACTGCGTAGCCAGTGTGAAACACTATTGTTTTTGTTAAGATTATTATTCTTCTTATTATTATTATTATTTTTTTTCCACTTGAGCATATCTCAGAAACTATTTGTCGGATCAACTCGATATCTTCGGTTTAACTGGGAAAGTGGGTGTGACTTAGAGATTAAAGTTATTTCGAACTTTCTGTGACAATGTGAAATGTCCGAAATCACCGAAGTTCTCGTTTTTTGAAATATTGCCGTAATATTAACACTAATTGTCGGATTTTAACATTTGATACATTTTGACATAGCCTGAGACACGGCAAATAGCTATGATTGTTTAGATTTTTGATTTCCGATTAATCTTCGAAGATATTAGGCGCCAAATTTTGAAAATTTAAATTTTGACAAAAAACTTTTTTAATTATAAATATTTTTTTATGGCGCTTTACCTATAATTAAAGGGTCATGTGATTTGAGCAAAAAATATGAAAAATTTTTGTATCGATAATTCACCTTGGTCGCTATTGGCTAATTCAGTTTAGGGGTTCTAGGTTAATTATTTATTGCTCGATTTGTATAAAACAAAGTTCATATGCTCAAGTCTCAACTTTTTTATTACCGATAAAGCTTTCTGTCAGCAGCGGAAATGACGTAATTTTGACCAAAACTACAATTTTGGCAGTTAGGAACGTCTTTTCGAAAGCAAATATTATTTTTTTAAAATAAGTAAAAAGTAAGAAGTTGCGCCATGTAAAGGGGCAAAAAAAGTCTGAAGCAGTTTTTTAATTTCAATTTCATTTTTGCGCCATTTCGATTTAAAGGTGAAAAACGGTGTAAAATTGAGCTATTTACAACCCATTCAGGCGTTTCATATTTTAAAATATTTCTTTGTGATTTTCATAAACTTGTAGCATTAATTCATACGAAGAGAATCTATCTCAAAATTAGTTTGTAATATGAGCAGTTGCCGAGAAATGGTCAATTTTGCAAGTGTCACTTTTTACGCTATTTTGCTTGTAAAAGAGTCAATTATTATTGGATTATCATAAAAGTGATACCATTTGATGCGTAATGTCAATTGTGACTAGGTCAAACCAATTTAACATTTTCAATATCATCGGAAATGACGTAATTTGGGCAAAAACTATATTTATAGCTTTCGAAACAAATAATTTATTCAGATGAGTCGTATTTGTTATTTATTTAAAATTTGGATATTTGATTCCAATCAACTAATAGAATGAACCCATGGGATCATATAGATATCATAAAATGATTTCTAACTTGTTCAGTTGCGGAGAAATAGGCGATTTTCAACAGGTCACTTTTCAAGGTTTTTGGTCCATAAAAAAAGTGTCAATTATTATTCGATTTTCATAAAATTTCCCGTGTGTGATACCTAATGCCATTTACGATTTCATACAAGTAATTTAACACTTTTAGTGTTACCGGAAGTAACGTCATTGTGGCAAAAACTGTATTTTTAGCCTTCAAAACAGATATTTTATTCAAATGAGTCTGATTTGTATTGTTTTTAAAATTATGATATTTGATTCCAATCAACAAATAGAATGAACCCACACGATCATACAAATACCAAAAAATGGTTTCTATTATTCGATTTACATAAAATTTTCACCATGTGATGCCTTATGCTATTTCTGATTTCATGAAACTAATTTCACATTTTCATTATCACCGGAAGTAATGTAATGTTGTCAGGATCACTTACATGTAATGAATGTATACAATGAATTGATATTGCCGGATTTGGTTGATTCTGCGTACATTTTATGTGATGTGTGCAATGCTTAAACGGAAACCTGTTTGATAGTTTCATCGGTACCGAAAGTGACATATGTTCAAGGGTAACGGGGCACCGGTGAAACCTGTCATTACTGCATCGCATTTCTAGTTTCATTTGTTTTAGTTATTAAGCATATTTTTAACTGAAAACAGATTACCGTGAAAGAAAATAACATTCGCATAAAAGGATGACGTTTAGCACATGTGCCAGAACTTGGTTATCCCTGAGGTAAATAAACAACCTCCCTACTCCTGCTTCCAATTCCTAATATTTCCAGCAATGTTTTGTATGTTTACAGGTGAAATTATGTGATTATCAGCCAAATAAATTAAGACGACCATCACAAGATTCAGATGAGTTTTCGGGTAAAAATGGAGGAGAGTTGAAAACCAAGGGAGATAAGCCATCAACGTCAAGTACAATAGATGCAGAAACTTATGTCTCTAATATTGTATCAGCTTTCGTACCATCAGGTGAGGAATGGAAGTAGAGTGGAAAATGAAAGTAGAGGGAAAAAGCTTCTATTAGAATTAAGAGGGATTGGGTAGTGGAATGGATTATCATGTGTGTGTCAGATCATTAGGTCTGTCATTGGCCATACTCCTCGAAGTGTTTTGTTTGATTAGAGCTAATCCCACTACTCACTGCTGTAAAGAAGGCAAATTCTTGTTCTAAATTATGACTGGTCAATAGTCCGATTAACAACCAATAGCTATCTGCGTAACAATACCAAACAGAGCTTCAAATTGGACCAAATATGTTTACATAACGTTACGTAATGACTCACGAATTTATTATGCCCAATTAACCAGTGCATTGCAGAATATTGCAGAAAAACTAATTGTGTGACAAACGAGGCTATCAGCTCATGATATATGTAAACAATACTGTTTTGAGGCGAACAACACTTTCACTGTTTTTAATACCTTAAATCACTGTCCAAAGTTTTAGGAAAGGGCCCTGATTAAAAGAAGGGATGTCATGTTGCTGTGCTTGGGGATAGATTTGATTGAACGGGAAGAATAGACACACTCCCTCAAAAGCGCAAGTATCAGAAGCTAATCCAGCAATGGCCAGAGAGGGATTTCTGGGGCGATTGCTTCAGGAATATGGTCATTGGCATGATTTCGATTCCCATCTTATACATGACACAGAGTTTGGTCGCTGGTTCTCTATTGAAATAAAACTAACCATATGTTAATCCCAAAATGATATACAAGCTGGATAGATACATGTAGATGAATATGACTCTAACCAGTATGATACGGTTGGAAATTAGTCCCCAATGTTTTCTTCGATTCTTTTCTTTATTCTTACTAATCTTAGTTTGTTTTTGTTTTTACTGAAGCCTGTATTGCTACAGGCCTGGGACTGTACAGCGCAGTGGCTGCTTACGGCTTGCCGTCGGATCCAATCACTTAATCTGATATTTATAATATGTCCTGTATGTAGGTTTGTCTTGTGTAATTATTTACATGTAGGCAATTTGAATAAAATATTTTGTTTTGAGAACCATTGTGGTTCAGTGAGTCATCGTTTAATTCACTAAACCACCATGACACAAACACTCTACATGATACATTTAACTTCGGATCGTTATATTTATTTGTGCTGTTTACATTTATAAGACGTAGAATCCTATTGAACTTCCAAAGTTATTTCCCCTTGGTCACTTTGTAGAATATTGTGTGAATTCTGCTTAAAACAAAGAATTCTATTGCAACAATTTCGGATAATTATTTATAGAGTTATTGTCCTTGATTATGTCATAGAATCTTGTCAAGGCACGGATGATGATATGCAGAATAAAATTCTATGTTTTTAGATACTTTTATATTCACAATGCAGCCACCTTCATGTACCGTTTGGATGATTTAAATACATTTCTTTCATGTCCTGAAATACTAAGCCTGTTCCCCAATCCTATTCAGTTTTCCTGGATAGAAATATTGTTTAAAAAAAACAGACTTATATTTTAATAATATATTTACATTTCAGTATCTAAAGTAACGTATTTGACAGAAGAGAAAGTCTATAGTATTATTGATGATTGTAAAGCCGTTGATGATTGGTCCAAGCTAATTCACACAATTGGTTCTGTGTTCAACAGTCCAGATTCTTTAATACTTAGTTTTAGGAAAATCGTTAACGACAAAAATCGAAAATCACCCACGATCGCAGACAGCTCAACTAAAGATGCCAGCCCACAGTCGGTTGAAATGGATGTGGCTGAGAAATCTGATACGGAAAGCATGAAATCGGATTCCGAATGTGATGTGCCATCTCCGGTCCGTAAAAAATTAGTTACCAATATAACTCTCGATATCGAAGGTTTACGGAGATGTTTTGAAAGATTAATGGACATTCCGGGACACCCGTTTCAATCTGCCTTAATCAATGCACTGAGATCGTTGTCGAAAGCTGTTGAAATGGATATAAAATATCACAATGCTTTGAAGCGTGATCCTAACTATATTAATGTGTTTTTGATTGTGTTTGAAATTCCTTTATTACATAGTCCAGAATTTATTGAACATGCATTTCCAGTGTTTTGTCGTGCTTTAGGACATTTGTCTCTCGATGGTCAGGCGTTATTAGCGAGGGTTCTCTCAGAGTATCCGATAAACCGGCTACGAGAAATGTTACAAGCGCTACAGCAATTAGTGACCGTTAAAGTGATAAACGGAGACGGTCAGTGGGGTCAACAGTGTCAACTCAACGATGATGATGGGATCGGAGGAGCAGCGAAAGTCATGAAAATATTATATTACGCGAATATTCTAGGAGGGAAATGCAACTCTTCAGAACTGGTTGAAGAAGAGAAACGTCTGGAGACATTAGAAAGTCAAGAAAGTCACGAGTTTTTACAAGGTGCTGTCAGTTTAGATAAAGAATTATATCAAGCAAAGGATGACCCGCTTGCCAAAGAACTTTCGGCCCGAGCGTCAGATTGTCGCGAACCGTTAATTCCGTTTGAAGAATTTGTGAACGAACCTTTAAATGATTATATTGATATCAGTACGGACTATGCATACTACCGCGCCGAGTCTGATCTCAAGTTTTCGTTTGTCACCCACAATTTTATTCTAACCACAGCCTCAAAACACATGACTATGTATTTTGATAATAGAATTCGTATGTTGAATGAACGGCGGACATCTTTTTTACAGACAATAATACATGGTGCACCCCCTATGCCATACCTCAAGTTATGTGTTAGACGAAATCATGTGATAGAAGATGCTCTTATCTCAGTAAGTATTCAAAATGAGCATCAAATTTTTCTTATCTAGGTCAGTATTTGAACAAAAAGATGGCCTCAGTAAGTATTTAAACAATATGATGCCCTACGATATTTACATTTTGCAGTAGTATTCAACTCGTTACGCAAAGACTTACATGTACATACAATACAAACAGCCTTAAAGGTTTTACCTATGTCAGTTCAAGGCCGAGCTTAAAAAATCCTGAACGTTCTTCTTGCCAGCACCAGGAATTGAAACGGGAGCATTCAGGGTACTGAACTGTCAACTTCCAATGTTATAAGTGCTTTGCCTTCAATGCCCATTTGATTGAGGTGCTCAAGGGGTTAACACTTATTAAACATATGTTCTTTGGTTTTCCACAATTTGGTGAGTCTGAGGGTATTTTGAACATTGTATTTTATAAATTTAATAAATTCTTGATTAATGATTATCTTTGTGTTTGTAGTTAGAAATGTTTGCTATGCAGAATCCAAATGATTTAAAGAAACAATTATTTGTGGAGTTTGATGGTGAGCAAGGTTTAGATGAGGGAGGAGTATCAAAAGAATTCTTTCAGCTTGTGGTAGAAAAATTATTTAATCCCGATATAGGTAGGTTGATTGACCAAAAATTCATGAAAACCAGACTTCATTTGACACAATTTTAATCATCTGAAACTACAGTAGTTTGAAAAATGAATCTCTGAAAGGAATAGGCAGTCACAGCGTTTATTTGACAAAATATAAATGACTTGAAAACAGCTATATTGTAAAATCTTTGATGAAAATATCAGTTAAAAGATGGTTCAATCCCATTCAGTATTTTTAAAGATATGATGAACAAGCTTGCACCTCCTACAGGTCTTGGGTAAAATGTGATGGGGATCCAAGCTGGGAGATTATCTACTGTTGATATTTTGGGTTGTTTTTCTTAAAACGCATTAGGTAAGATTAGATGAAGAACTGACTGTTCACACTATGATAGTTAAAACCTAGGTAATGAAATGGGAATAATATGTTGAATATATCATTGAATTTACTTCATTCTGAGCGGAATTATCGTTGTTTACAGAACAGTGTACTTACGATTGTCATTGCTACTGTTATTACTATAATAAACAAAGTCTTGATTATCTATTTTTAAATTAAAACATTAACTGTCAATCATATTTAAATCTGTTGAAAATCAAAACCTTTTAAATTTCTAGAGAGTTGATTATGGACTAGGCATGTAAATGAATGTCTAATAAGTGATTTAGATTTAGCTTTTGAATAATGTATCAGTAATCGCAGATTAATTTTGATAATGAGTGTCCAATTTAAAAGTTTTTAATTTCCTGACTACTGTTCAAAAATTAATCATTATACATCCTTTTTTATCGTACCGACTTGATGATCGAGACAAGGCGGAAATTTCAGTCACTTAATTCTTGGTTCATAGTGAATCAATTTGACTGAAATTTTCAGCAAATTGCCTTTACATTATCTAGTTTTTAACTATTATAGTGAGAACTGCCAGCTCTTTATCTAATCTATAATAATGTATCTTTAAGTGAATTACATTGCATGAATTGGTGAAATGAAGAAACTTGTTGAATTTCAACAATATCCGTTTATTACTTCCAGAGTTATGGCATCAAATTTATGTCCATTATTCAAATTAATGAAACGAAGAAGGCTATCAAATACTGATAAAAAAAATTTGCCTTGTGAACTGCTTACACTATAATAGCTGCAGTGGGCGCATGTTTCATTACCATGTAACCCATCTTTTTTTTTCAGGTATGTTTACACACAATGAAGAGAGTAATCTATATTGGTTTAATCCTACAAGTTTTGAGAATGACGGACAGTTTACATTAATTGGTATTATGTTAGGTTTAGCTATTTATAACAGTTGTATATTAGATGTTCATTTTCCCATGGTTGTCTACCGGAAACTGATGGGCAAGATTGGAACAATGGAAGATCTACATGAATTTGATCCAGTAAGTATGATCAGAAAGGCAACATGACGGAATTAAAGCCCTAAATTTAAAACTAACACTCCCTCTAGCACCTCAAACTGCCAGAGTCATGTGAATGACTATGAAGTATGTAAGGACCATATACCCTACAGTTGGAGTCGGTCATCTAGGTAGCTGTAGTTTCTCTTCAAGATTACAGATACATTATGTAAGATTTAGATAAAGAGCTAGCTGTTCTTGCTGTAATGGTTATAAAATGGATAATGCAAAATGAATATACTGAAAATTTCATTCAAATTACTTTAATCTGTGCCAAGTTATCAATGTTTGTAGTTTTGACAAGATATGCACATTAATTGTTTATTATCGTCTTCATTAGCCCAGTAGGAGCAGAATAGTAGGACGTTAAACCACATTTTATTTCATTTCCCTTTCAATTTTGAATGAAATATTGTTTATAAAAAAAAAAAAAATATTTATATTTCAGACATTAGCAAATAGTTTACAACATATATTAGATTATAAAGATGATGATGTTGAAGATGTATTTCTGATGAACTTCCATGTTAGTTATCATGATGTTTTTGGTAATAATCTAACTACAGATTTAAAACCTAATGGAAGTTCAATACCCGTCACTGCTTCTAATAAACAGGTTAGTGTCCAGTTTATTTTGATTTTATGTCTTTTTGGGTCATTTTTATATACAGTTGCCCTGTCCGTCGGTCCGTCTACACTTGCTTGCCCGTTCTCTAGTGGCCACAATTTTTGCCAAATCTTTTTCAATCTTTAGGATAACAGTTCTTATGAGTAGGTCAAGGTATTAAATTTGAGCGCAGTCACTGTTTTCATTCCAAAATTATGGATCTTGAATTAGCTTGATGGCTATCTTTTTTTCATTTTTATCATAGACTGGTAAGGAGCAGTATAAATCAAATGCTGATCAGAACTTTACATAACAAATTGACAAGCTGTGTCCACCCATCCGAGAGCAGGTTGTCAATTATATAAAGCTCCTCTGAGGATGTCTTAATCACATGACCCATGAAAGAGACTGGCTGTATATTTTCCTTAACAGTTAACAACAGGGGCTGATCTACTGTCAGTAATACAGTTAACAACAGGGGCTGATGTACTGTCAGTAATAGGGCTAATCTACTATCAATAATACATTTAACAACAGGGGCTGTTCTACTGTCAGTAATACAATTAACAACAGGGGCTGATCTACTGTCAGTAATACAATTTACAACAGGGGCTGATCTACTGTCAGTAATAGGGCTAATCTACTATCAGTTATACATTTAACAACAGGGGCTGATGTACTGTCAGTAATGCTAATCAACATAACTGAATGATTTTGAATGTGAAAAACCCATTATGCTCAGGTGTTACATTCCATAGAGTCATACAGTTTTTGATTGTATTAATTGAATACATGATGACTGTATCCAGTCTACCAGTTTGTACACAATGTATAGATGTAAAAATTAAAATGATAGAATGACACATCTTTACTTTAATAATATGTTCAATGACTATATAGATATAAAATGCTTAATTTTATGTTTTGCAGTCTACCAGCTTGTACACGATGTTTAGATGTAAAAATTTGAGAGTATAATTTTAATTATTTATGTTTAATTTCATGTTTTTCAGGAATTTGTGAAGTTGTATATAGATTTCTTATTAAATAAGTCTATAGAACGTCAGTTTAAGGCGTTTAAACGTGGTTTTAATATGGTTACTAACGAGAGTCCATTACGTATGTTATTTAGACCTGATGAAATAGAATTGTTAGTGTGTGGTAGTAAGGTATGTTAGTACTGAAAATTCAACAAATGATAATTCACAGTGACATTAAGCCTTAAGATTTGAAAAGAAATGAAAAATGAAATGGGGTTTAGTGTGCTGTTTTTCTGCTCTGACTGGGACAATGAAGACAGATCTTGAGATTTGAAGATTCTGTGGGAATGATTTGCGTTATTGTAAAGTTACTATATCTATTTTTGATTCCGCCGAATTTGATAAGGTAACTGTTAGGATAAGTAAAACAAATTGCCCAGTCTGGTAAGTAACAGTGTCTAGTTGTTTGGGTGGGACATAAACTGACGTCACCGTGTACAAGTTGACATGTATGAAAAAGAAACCTAGATAGATTGAATTTGAAATAAGAGTAGCTGTGGCGCCGATGTCTGGGCAGAATGCCCCTCATAGCACGCTGCATTGTTATGCCAGTCTTCATTAGCCCAGTCAGAGCAGAAATGTAGGACGTTCAACTTCATTTCATTATCATTATCTTTGCATAAAATTGATTGTGTTAACTGATCTAAACGGATGGGATGAAAATCCAAGGACCCATATACACATTGGCATGCATGTAAAAGTTGAAATTTGAAATAAGAGTATGCTGTAGTGCCACTGCCCTGGCAAAATTTCATTCATAGCACACTGTATGCCCATCTTCATTAACCCAGTCGAAATTAAAACCCATTTATTTTATTTTCATATCTATTTAAAAACTATCTATTTATGAAGTCTCATACATAAATATCTATGATGGAATGAAATAAACTATAATAAATGGAAGTGATATGAGGATGTTGAAAGTTACATCATTCATCATTTGTAATGTTCTATTGTAGGTATTAGATTTTAATGCTTTAGAAGAAGCTACAGAATATGATAATGGTTTTACAGCTCAATCTACCACTATCAGGTATGTATAGGTTTTATGTCTTGTCAGGCAAATTCAGACTAAACCAACACAGGTCTTCTGGTGCCCTGTTGCCAGTCATTATGTCTCGCTCAGATTTGTTAGGGTTTTCCATATGTTCGTAAAATCCTGAATTTCTAAAATATGCATGAAACAAGTACAGGATCCAAGAACAGCCAGGAGATTATTGATGATGAAATATTCAATTTTGGTCAAGGCAGGAATTTGTCACCAAGCGCTACTCATCTTGTTGGAGACAATGCACAGTTCCAAGATGGCAGTGATGAAATACTTGTTAATGATAATATGATGTTTTATCAGGAATTTTTGGGAGATTGTACATGCCTTCCCGGAAACAGAGAAAAGAAAGTTATTACAGTTTACGACTGGAACAGATCGTGTGCCTGTAGGTGGTCTGTCAAAGTTAAAACTGACTATTGCCAAGAACGGACCAGACTCAGATAGGTAAGTCATGAAGATTGATCGAAGTGATGTCCATTTTATTTCTGACTTACACTGTGGTGACTGTAACTAAGGTGCTGGTTCACTATCAGGTGCTCCCCAATTTGATCCAGGTGTTGGCTGAGAAAGTTTCTTAAGAGTTTGTTACTGTTAGTCCTGTAATGACACAGCTTAAAAACACGCAGCTCCATGCCTATGGTTTATGGTGTAAAAGACTTTTTTTAAAAGTTGGCTTCAACTAGCAATTAACAGGTGCATTTCATTTCCAGTGGAACTTTATGCTTAGAAGTAGAATATATGCTGTAGGCACTGGTTTTGCTTATAGTGCTTGTGATTGCCACCCTCACATGGCTTTAAAATGGCAGTGTTTTATTAACTAGCCTATGACATCAGTGCCATCAAGTCTTTATTGCTTTATATAGTAAAATGCCAATGTCAAGTAAGACTCCACTTTGAGATAATAATGGTTAATTTCTACACCTTGAAATAAGGCAACTGGCACAGGCACAAATTAAAACTTATCCAGCATAATCTCTGTGTTATCTGTCATTTAGTCTGGAACAGATGTGTTTGGGGGGTTTTTCCAGTATTTTTATTGATGTTTATTATTATAATGTCTGACACCTCGTCTAAAATAGTCTTGTTGATACACAATTATAGAACGTTAAACCCCATTTCATTTTCATTTATATGTCTGACTCCAAGTTGAAATTATAGAATGTTAAACCCCATATTTTATTTAAATATCTGACTCCAAGTTTAAATTGTCATATACTATATATAGTTCATTAGTGTCTCATTCTTTGTCAGATAAGGTGATTGGGATTGGGGGTCAGGGGAGCGAATGGTCTGATGTGTCCGCTTTTGATCATAAGGTCTGTCATTGACTCGACTGATGAGGTTTTGATCCCCAACTTGTACGTGACATATAGTAGGGTTGCCTGCCTTACCTTGTTGGTTTCCTTCCACAGCTAAAGCCCTCTGCACACAATCAAATTATTGTAATAAATTTTCACCATATGTTAGTCCCGAAATCAGAGTTTGCGTTGATAGGATGTTAAACCCCATTCCTCTCTCTTTGTCAGGACCTGTCTTCATTACCCCATTCGGCGCAGAAAAGTATGACGCTAAACCCCATTTCATTTCTTTGTCAGGTACAACTTAGATTGTATATATAGATATGACGTTGAACCCCATTTCATTTCTTTGTCAGGTATAATTTAGAATATTATATCCAAGTCTGTGTATGTAGGTAGTTTCACATATTTCTCCCTTCTTCATTAGCCCAGTCAGAGCAGAATAGTAGGACTTTAAACCCCATTTCATTTCATATCATTTCACATAATTCTGTATATTTATCACACATATATTTGTATGTTTTGTGTTTTCAGATTACCAACGTCTCACACATGTTTTAATGTTCTGCTTTTGCCAGATTATGACTCTAAAACAAAACTAGAAGAGCGCTTATTAAAAGCCATAACTTATTCGAAAGGTTTTGGTATGCTGTGATCAAAATTATCATAATAATCTAAATTACAGACTCAAAATAAATTATATAAATATGTATATTTTATCGTTTCTTCATGCCAGCCAGCTTTTTCTCCAAATATCTGATTTTTATTTTTTGCCCTGTTTGTAGACAGTGTTGAGTTTCATAATTTAGACAAAAATATATTTCTACAGTAAACTTTTGTTAATTAATTTAAATTCTGAGAGTATTTTATTGCATGATTTAAAGAAATCAATATGTGGGTGTTTCACTTAGTAGAAAGCATTGCGTGTGTTTAATTGACTTAACTAACTGTTATACTGTTCTGCACATCAAGTATCAAACTGGTGTCTAAATTAAGGACACTTGTGTATAAACGGATAGGCTGTGGATAGATCTTGAAACACCAACCCACCCTCAGTCATTTGTTATTCAGATAAATAGATATTATCAGTGTATAAGGCAGTAAATGAAGACTAAACAATTGATATGTTTTTTCGTTAATTGTCTAACATTTATATTTATGAAATATATTTTTGGTCCGAATTATTAACTCATTCCTTTGTTATTTAGATATTTAAAAGTGCTATTGTAGTTGATTTAGATCGGGGTTAATTTACTGGAATATAATTACTGATTTTTTACTGAGTGATGTTTCGACTAGGCTTCTCTAGTCTTTATCAAGCAATGATAAGATATAAAATATAATGAGACAATATATACATGTAAGCAGCAATAACAATAACTTTGTTGATGATGACCAATCAGAAAAATGCCATAACTTCACTGTGATCTTCATCAATTAATGTCAAAAGATGATCAAGGTAGATTTCTAAATGCTATTGGAACAATTAAAGTTGATTTATATCGGGTGAATTTATCTAGCTCTAGTTTTACTTGTAACATACCGAATGGATGTTTCGTTTGCTGCCATATTAGTTCTTGATTGAGGCTTATTCTAGTTATGTCTAACTTTTTAACAATGGCTAAACAAATCCTGCTTTAAACTCACCATGTGATTGTAACATCAGCCTTAGTCTCTTCACTGGTTGCCTGTTGAACCCCAGATTCAGTATAAAGTTCTGTTGTTAGTGTATCTGAGTCAAAATGATCTCACTCCCTGATATTTGTCTGAACTTTTGACAAACTATATGCCTAAATGCACCCAAACTATAAGCCTAAGGTCGCATAACAAAGATATACTTCGCGCTGTTCCTAAAACAAAACTAAAACAATTTGGTGATAAAAGTTTCAGATAATTAGTCACAACTAAAAACTCATTCGTGTAAACTGTTAGTATCCAGATTAGAAACAGATTGTTTTATGTGTTTTTATTGATGAGAGATTCCTTAAATGTGGCGCTTTGAGCATGCGATATTATGGATTATTCAGCGCATTACAAATATACATTATTATTATTATTATTATACGATAGCATCCTATAAGGTATGTGACCAGCCCTAGTCAAATGGTACACATAGATCGAAAATCAAAACACATGTATGTCTAAATTGAAAGTTTGTAGTCAAATATGTTTCAGTTGGTAGAATTGGGGTTATCTTAAAGGAGCTAAACCTTTTATTTAGGTCTAACTTCTATATTGATACTTATATTTGAATTAATGGGTAATTAATAGATAGGAGTTAAACCTCTTTTAATTAGGTCAAAATAAAGTATTGAATTGGGATGATCTAATGCATTATTTGATTGAATACTCTTCAGTATAATTACTTGCTAACCTAAGTGAACAAAATGGAATATTTCTTTTTTACCTTTAGACAAAGTTTGAGATTTGATTAAGATAGAAATATTATAATAAGTGTGTTCTGAATGGTTTATGGCATTTATTAGTTTGTTTTTGATAGATACAAAATAATTGAAATTTGATCAAAGGATTAACCCTGTAGTTACTGGTCCCCAGCTGAGTGTGTCCATTACCTAGAGATAAACCCTTTAGTTACTGGTCCCTAGCTGAGTGTGTCCATTACCTAAAGATTAAACCTTTAGTTACTGGTAACCTGCTGACTGTGTCCATCACCTAGAGATTAACCCTTGAGTTACTGGCCACTAGTTGACTGTGCCCATTACCTAGAGATAGTAACCCTTTGGGTACAGGTCATTAGCTGATTATTCATTACCTAGAGATTAACCCTTTAAGTACTGGTCACTAGTTGAATGTGTCCATTACCTAGAGGTTATCCCTTTGGGTACAGGTCATTAGCTGACTGTGTCCATTACCTAAAGACTGTCCCTTTAGGTACAGGTCATCAGCTGACGGTGTCCATTACCTAGAGATTGATCCTTTAAGCAGGTCATCAGCTGAATGTGTCCATTACCTAACTGTGTGACGTGTCTATAGCAAACTCCACATAATGAGAATTCAACTTTGGTCATCTTGGTCTCCTGTTCTCTTTGCTATTATAGGCTTAGAAAAACCTCTAGTCGTCAGGTCCCACTCAGACAGTTTATGGGTGTGATGAATCAGTGACTGGACCACACAGAATGACAATTTCCTTGTGACCAAGTGAACTTGGCTCCGAGTTCACAGTAAATTTTTAACTTATGTCTGAGAATGCTTTGTGAACTCGCTGCCAGGTCCCACAAATGTATGACCCACATACTGAACAGTTTATTACTTGAAATGTATCTTATAGCAAGTTCTATAACATCAATAAGGCATGGCATATATCAGTGGTATTAGTCAAACATAACTCCCCTTCAAACAATTAATTTCATTGATTATGTTCAATACTGATTTTATTTTGGAATAAATGTGACTGTAGGCATGTGTTTGGTCAAATGCTTGATGTTTAACTCTAACCACAACCAGTTAGCGTCTATTAACAGGAGGGTAGTACCTATTCAACTGCTGTGACTAAAACCTAAGTGTAGAAACATCCAGACTACAGCTCATTGACAATTTAAAATTCAATATTTATCCTACATAAATAATATTTTGTAGAATTTTTTCCAGTAATCTGATTCAGCTTGTTAGACTTGTCATTAAATGGCTACAACTAAGCATGGTCTTTTCCCAGAACATTCTTTAATGAGGATTAATGTTTATATACAATAGAATAACCCTGTTTAAACAGCCTAAAATTTTATCAAAATGCTTATCATTTATTTTCTTTGGCTCTTGCTTGAAGCACCACTGTTATTATTTTAAACCCATCTCCTGAAAGCTGGCATTTATTTTGAAAACTTACTGTACCAAATGGTGCTTTCTAGGTTATATCCTGATGTTTCTAGCTAATGCATCAATGTGTGACAATCTTACCAATTTATTAAAAAAAAAATGATGTAAATTCAAGACTATAAAAAGGGTCCACAAACTATGTGAGAAAATTAACTTGTTTAAGGGCCCTCGAGTCTAGCATACTTGCAGAATCCTTCACAGTCCACCCCTTTCTACTGAGCCAAGCATACTCGCAGACTCCTTCACAGTCAAGCCCTGTCTGTATTGCGTTAAGAAGGTTACAACTGGGTTCTTGTTTATGGTAGTGTTTAAATGACTTGTTATTTATTTGTGTTTAGCTGCGTTTAGTTTTGTTTTAAAACAATCTAGAATCTATATATATTATATGTATAATGAATCACAATATAATATAAAACAATATTTGTACACCAAGTTTTTTCAATGTTGATATGATTTACAGTGCTAAAATAAATATAATAACTTCAAATAAATATGTTTAGAGTTGATTGTTTTTAATAACAGGGAAACCAATGGTAGTGGGACTGTGATGATATCATGGGCGGTTTCTGGTACTGATCTCTACTTCCATGGCCATAAGATGGTAGATTCACCAATATTAAAGTGCCGCTAAATTAGTTCTAAAAACAATTTTGCACGTACATATGTCACAAATTCCGGTACAGTTTAATGAGGGAGACAACTACAATAAGGCAACCAGGGGGCATTCTGAGATACAAATTACATTTTGTGTAAGTGTGGCGGACGATGACCAGAATATTTCCCCTTTTCACTTTTAATGCAAGCTTAATCTGATTCTTAGCCCCGAAATGACCTAGTTTGAGTCCTCTTTGTCAGTGGTGTAGGACGGAGGACTTATAAGGGACAACATATAGCCGTTCAGTTGTGACGAAAATACGCGGTCATGAGTGCCCATTGGCGTGCGAGTAAAAGACCCCTTGACAGTTGGAATTCGAAATAAAAGTAGGCCATAGCTCATCTGTCTGGGTAAAATTTCCCTTATAGCCCACTGCATGGCTTATGCCCGTCTTCATTTATATATATATATATGTAAAGTAGATAAAGTACGAGGACTTCTATGTTTACGGATACATCCAATTTATCTGTCGATTGTTCTCCTGTTGATTCCTTCCCTGCTGATATCTGCTCTGTACAGTAGTGTCTGGTTCTTATAGCATGCCATAAGAAACAAAAGAAATTACTGAGGGGTTTGTTCAAAATGTTTGTTGTGGACTGTAGAACTTTCAGACTCGATAAAAGCTAATTGATTTCTACCCTTTTTAGGGGGAGCCATGGTGGCTAAGTGGGTTCGATCCCAGCATTGCTGGAGAAAGTTCATCAGGTTTCCTGACGTGGTTTTCCCCTGTCAGTGGTTCAGGGCGGAGGGCCTGGCATGGACAGCTGTCTTGTCGTTCCGATGGGACGTTAAAGATCCTTAGCAATTGGAATTCGACATAAAAGTAGGCCATAGTGCCGCTGCCTGGGCAAAATTGGCTTCATAGCACACTGTATGGTGTATGCCCGTCTTCATTAGCCCATCGGAGCAGAATAGTAGGACGTCACAAGGTATATATTGGAAAGGTCAGCACCCTTCAATATGTTGTCCATTTGTTCTTAAAAAGATTAATGGAATGTTAAAAACAAATAAAAGGCCAACAATGACATGGCTACAACATCGAAGTTAAAAGGGGAGAATTAGTAGTCTTAACCCTGGTTTCCCCTTGTCAGTGGTGCAGAACGGAGGGCCTGACAAGGACAGCTGTCTAGTCCTTCGGATGAGACGAAAAACCGAGGTCCCGTGTATACATTGGAATGCACGTAAAAGATCCCTTGGCAGTTGGAATTCGATATAAGAGTAGGCGATAGTGCCGCTGCCCGGGCAAAATTTCCCTCATAGCACACTGTATGGCGTATGCCCGTCTTCATTAGCCCAGTTCGGAGCAGAACAGTATTATACGTTAAACCCCATTTCATTTCATTCCAGATGGAACCAAAGACTTTATTCAAATTAGATTTAAAAAACTGCAATGATATGCACTCTTGGCTTCGTTTTGACGTGTCATGTTTCATTTAAGCAAAAACGTTCGGTGTACAAAGCCGTTCAGTGTCTGCCATGGCATGAAATGCATATCACATTCATTCCACAGCCAACGGGGGTGCAAGACCCCCCCCCCCCCCCGACCCTAAATGACAGTATAAAAGTGTAAATTTGGACTTTTTATGGTTTCGGTCGATGTAGCTGATGAAATTGAATGTTATATTTCGAGCCCAGATAAGCGCCACAAATTACCATTAACACTCTGATTTTTCTAAATTTTCTCGGAGCACCCCATACCGAGCCCAATCAAACAAAATGTCCTGCGATCACTATTGTCCCCAGCCCCCTTCAAACAATTGAAATAGGGTTTAACGCCCCACCCTTTCGCTCCAACCGAGCTAATGAAGATGGACATACGCTCTAAAAGGGTGAAATGTGGGCTACATTATTTCGAATTCCAACTGTCAGGGTTTCTTTTACGTGCACGGCAATTCGCACATGGGACCTCGGTTTCTGTCCATCCAAACGGCTAGACGATGTTCCTTATAAGGCCTACCGTTCTGCAACAATGACAAGGGAAGACCCCGGCTGAAAATCCTAAGAAAACCTCTCGGCCAACACCGAGAGCGAACCCGAGACATCCTGGTTAGCGAGCCAGCGCCCTACTCTCTGTGTCACTCAGAAGAGTAGGCCAAAAAGGTTTGGGTTGGTCTTTTTTAAAATCCTGTTGCATCCACCAAGGAGATAATTCACTTGAGCACGCTACATTATAGTGTGGATTAAGCCGTAAAAAATTTATGTTGACTCCAAATTGTATTTCACCGAAAATGCAAGACCGGCATCGGAGCCTTTAGGGGCAAGATATCAATTTCATTAAAAAATTAAACATCTTTTAATAAAATCGTACTATTGCCAGCAAAAAATTATAATTACCTTAATAGAGCAACAAATTAAGTATATCTCAATAAAATCCCACTATTTCCAACAAAAAAAAAATTATTTAAAAAATCACATCAACTACTATCAAAAGCACCAACATCGTTAACAACTAGAAAGATCTATTGCAAAATAGTATAACCACGTTGTAGGCCTATTAGGTCTTCTTAAATTAAGACCAAGTCTAATTATCTTCTATGTGAATTATTAAAAATAATAATATAAAGAAAGAGAGTGATTGATTCTTAAAAGCATTGTTTCATTTAAATAAACACGATTTTTTGGAATGTGGCGAAAACCAAAAGCGTCGAATTTAATTAAATTTCGTTGTCTTGATTTCTTTTTTTCCAAGGTGAATATCTTTCCAGACGTAAATGTTGACCTCCGTGGTGAAATAGTCGCCATTTTCGTTAACCCTGCCACTCACTTGTTTAAAATGGATGAAAATTATGTATTCACCCAATCAGAATTTGACATCACATATCCAGTACAATTTTTTTTTTTATTATTATTTTTTTACCATATTTGGCCATGTGACAATTATATGTCACATTGGGCTTCAAAGGGTACAAATTTCGGATTTTGTAATGATTCTGCCAGTGTTGAAAAGCTGCACTTTAACAACATAATCATATTATTTTGAAGGGGCAATGTCAATTTATAACTCAGGACAATCTTTAGGACAGTTAGTAGGTAATCTAAAATACTTAACTTTATGGATTTTAATTACTAGTATTATTTTATTGGCGAATTTTCATCTACAATTCCCCACTGTTGAAATGTTGCCTGAAAACCAATACCTATACTGGAATCCATAAAGCTACATACATGTATTTTCCACTGAATACGGCTAAAATCCTATTCAATGAAATAAACTGGTGTTTTAACGTCCCTATTTTCTGCACCAAACGGGCTAATGAAGATGGACATACGCTATACAGCGTGCTTTGAAGGCATTTTGCCTATAAAGCGGCGCTACGACCTACATTTCTTTCGAATTCCAACTATCAAGGGTTGTTTTATATGTACGCCTACATTTACAAGGGACCCGTTTTTCATCCTATCCAAACAACTAGACACGGTTCCTTGCCAGGCCCTCCATCCTGCACCTCTGGCAAAGGAAAACTATGTTGGAAAATCCTCAGGAACTTTTCTGGTTAGCAAGTCTGCATTACCCACTGAGCCACTGCCGCTCCCAATGCTATTCAAAGAGTAAATGAATAGGTAACGTTACGGGTGTTTGTGACATAGACACATCAGTTGACTCAAACCATAATTGCAAAGTTTAAGATAAAAAATCAATTCTTTGTAACATATTTTATATTCAACCATTTACAAAATCACCAAAATTCATCGCAGTACAAAATGACACACAATGTAACAGTAAAATAGTTCATTTATAATAATCAATAAACTCTTTAATATTTGCATAAATAATAAGATTGTAAACTAACAAACATATATTTGGCTCAATTTAAGATAATAAATAAAGAAATTATTCCGTCTATGGCACGAAATAAATATGTAATCATGGAGTCTGACCTATCCTCATCGGATCAATATTATTTAATACTTTTTTTTAAATACTTTAATATTAAATAAATTTGTGACAATTTAAGATAAAAAAAATTAAAGAAACTAAAAACAGTTAATCGACCGACTTTCATTTACTATATCGATGGCTCGAAATAAATAATGTTAAAATTTAAATAAGATGCTTCTATTAAAATTATATTCAAGACAAAAAAAATGTTAAAAAAAGATGCTTCTATTAAAATTATAAATAAGACAATAATGTTAAAATGTTAAATACGAATTTTCTATTAAAATTATTTCAACTAATGATTTATCCATCTGGCAGGTCACAAGATGGTTGATAATTCAGACCCGTGGTGTTGATAATTTAAGACGTATTGATATATATTACGCTATTTATTCTGAGAGTATTATAGCACCTTGCAAAATCCTGCATACGATTTTATTACACAGTCCAGATGTGCCATGTCGAGATTGATCTTTACCAACTAAGGATATATTTATTAGTTCGTAATTTTACACTGCTCCGATATACGATGTCGCGATTGGTTAACACCAACCCAGTAGCAGTGTCGTAATCCTTTAGAGGCATTTAGTAACTGGATAGAGAAAGAAACTATAACATATACTTATGGAAAACAGCTAATTTATTTGGGAGATGTTTCAGACTATGGCTAATGCCATAACACATACTTGATAACGCTTGGTAACCTGGAAAGAATACTGTTCGAAACGTTGCCCAAATGAATTAGTAATTGTTCTTCCATAAGTATGTTTTATAATTTATTAGTTTCTTGTTGTATATTAAAGGTGACATGGTGTGTGTCCGTATCCATAAGTGGAGTATTCTCTGTGACCTCGGCTCTACGATTATTATCATCTGTTGACAAATCTAAAAATGAAAAACATATAAAAGAATAAAAAATCCTTCCTTTGATTGTAAAATATGTAATTTCTTGTTAGCTTATTCTGATTGTTAATATGTTAAACTTTTATATATTCATCAGATATAAATTACTGAACCTAACAGTATGCTGTTAAATAAGTTAACATACAAAATATGTTCTGTTAAATTAGGCCATATATGTGTTTTAACAGATATATGCAAGAGCTAAATTGCCTATTGCGCTTGATATAAATCTTACATAATGCACCTTTAACAGATATAAATTATTGAGTATACAAACATACAGCCAACTATGAACATAGTATAGATCATGTCCAGAAATACACCAGTGCCAGGCTAAACTGGTTATCTCTGTCAGCTTCCGCTATTGGAGAAAATACCGAATTCGTCATAATGGAGCAAATACTGTCAACAAATCGTTATATTGGAGCAGATACTGCCAACAAATCGTCATATTGGAGCAGATACTGCCAACAAATCGTCATATTGGAGCAGATACTGCCAACAAATCATCACATTGGAGTAGACACTGTCAACAAATCGTGAGATTGATTGCAAATATGATTACCTATCTACTGGATGAATTAAACTTCCACAATAAAACCAAGTATATTTGAAATATATTATAGTATGTTTTACAAATAATGAATAAAGTGTAGTAAATATTTACCTGTTTCTAGTTCAACAGCTACTTCAAACAAACCACATGATTTTAATACTTCTATTATTTTGGGTAAGATATCCTTGCCACGATAACCCAGAATATCAATAAGTTTTATAGCGCCATCTTCTTTACTTCCGTTCAGGATGTTATCAAGATCCTCGTCATCTATGATATTGTAAGCAGCGTTGAGTGCGGCTGTTAATCTGTCCAGATTGTTTTTGAAATGCTCCACCAAGTAATTATAGCGCTCTTCCCATATTTCATAGTGCTTTGGCTCCATCTTTTCTAAACGAGATATATCTAGAAGGAAAAGTCGTAATCTTATAGACACATTATGGAAGATTAGATAAAGAGCTGGCAGTTCTCGCTATAATAGTTAGAAACTAGATAATGTAAAGGGGTTATGCTGAAAATTTCCGTCAAATTGCCTCACTCTAAGCCCAGAAAATCTTTTTTCAAAATCGATGTAGCCACGATTGTCATTCTTTTGATCATCAATGAACGTTGAACAGCAGATCGGATTCAAATCCAATGATTATGGTCTTTTCATGTTAATAAATATCTAACTAATAGTTTATATAACATTTCAGGCCCAAAGAAAGACCTACAATAGGCAGATTTACCTCTTGCATAATGTAGGGTTAATGGCAAATACATATTGTTAGATATAAATTTTTGTTTACTATTACAAGGTAACATCTTCGATTTTACACCGAAATGTCAACAAAAATCACCATATAAACGGGGAAAGGGGACAGGATGGTGTATTATCACTGGTTATAACAAGGATGGTGTATTATCACTGGTTATAACAAGGATGGTATATTATCACTGGTTATAACACGAATTCACTAACTAATGATTTTATTTGTAGCAATCTGAATCAATAAACTACATCATACCTGTTGTTAATTTAGTCGCTACTTCTGTCAGACCACATATTTCCAGTACTTTTATTATTTCCGGTAAAGCATCTTTACCACGTTTATCCAACATGTCCACCAGTTTTTTAGCGCAACCAGATTCTTCTTTTGGACGAAGTTCGGTGACGTCATCTTCATCAATAATTTCGCTATTCTTCAACTCTTCTATTAACATCGCGTGCTTGTTTCTGAAATTGGTTATTAAAGTATCCTTGTTTTTGTTCCATATTTTAAAGTGAATATAGTTCATTCGTTCACGTCTGTTTATATCTGAAAATTAAAAATTATATTTGATGAAACATTTGATGAAATATAAGGACTTCTGAAATCTTCTAATGAATATACCTCAAGGGTATTGTTGGGGATAAATATTCGAAATGTGTTGCTATAATAAAAAATCATTCATTGATAATGATGAAGCTTTAAATCATGTGAATAGTTTTAGTTACAAATCGTAGGAATTTACTGGGCTGTATCGAACCTGTATAACACACGAACGTAAAAGACTCTCACTCACTCTCTCCCTCCCTCTCTCTCTTTCTCTCTCTCTCTCATACTGGCTGCACACGTACCCTTTTTAAGCCTCTCCACCACGTCGAAAAGGCCACACCTGTTAAATACTAATAATATTCCAGGCAAGACGTTTTCACCACGGTTACATAATATATTTTCAAGTTTTTCGGCTCCATTCTCCATTTTTTCCTTTGCGGCATTCTCAGTTTGTTCCCAATCAACCATATCAATAATTTCAGCTTTATATAGCTCGCGTGTTAAACACGGCAGGCTGTCTTTCATGTTGTCGGTCAAATAACTTTTGTTCTTTACCCATATTTTATAGTGCCAGTCAATCATTCTGACACGGCGGGATAAATCTGTAAAAAATATATAATATATTAATTCGATCAGATGGTCATATAGACATTTCCGATGATGGTGAAGGGATTGTAGATGGTCCTGGAAGGATTTTTCATGGTCTGTCAGGCATTGCAGATGGTCCTGGAAGGTTTTCAGGTGGTGCTGGAAGGATTTCAAAGGGTGCTGCAGGGATTTCAACTGGTCTTGAAAGGATTTCAAATGGTCTTGAAGGATTCCATATGGTCTTGAAAGGATTCAAGATGATCTAGGAGTGATTTTAGATTGTATTATTGGTACTAGGGGGATACAACCCATTCTCTATATTAACATACAGTTCAATATTTTTCTCATATTTTCAAGGAGGACATGTTATTATTTTTGTTTTGTGCATCAGTACTTCAATAGGCTATTTATGATTAAAAAATAAAAATAAAATGGAATACCTTTCTTTAATTCATCTGCTACATTAGTAAAGCCACATTCCTCGAATGTATCAATTATCTTTCCTAGAACATCCTCACCACGCTCGCTTAAAATATCTACCAGTTTAACAGCACCTAATCGCCTACCAATCTGTCTGTGTGAATCAAATTCCTTCATATCAACATCATCTATAATATGTTTTTCTAACAACATTTTAGATACAATATGAAGATTATAATGTATGTTAGTTACTATATACGTTCCGTTATTTACCCACACTCGGTAGTCATTATCCTTCATTCTTCCAGTTCTTCGTAAATCTGAAATCATAAAATGCATGTACACCGTATTGATCAGTTTAAACCAAACTATCTACTTTGAGAATAGATCTCTGTCCTGGTTGACCGACAAATTGAACAAAATAGTGTTCTTATGTAGCTCTAATCCATTTCATACCCTCTTAGAAAAAATAAACATTTTCAATTTCATTACATACTTAGTATTGTCGACTACAATCGTCGATGTAATCATAATGACACTAGAAAACTTATCAGATAGCTGGAGAAACTGTAATGCGATTTCAAAAATACACAACATAGTTCTGATAACCCACGACAAGAGATGGGTGGTTTTATAATATATCTTTAACAGAGTAGTAGACTTTCCACAGACGTTAGTTTCGTATATGTTCATATTTTGGCTAATGTTTATTTGCCCTTTAAACTTACCCATTTCTAATTTCTTTACAACCTCGCTTAAAGCTAAATTTGGATCATTTAAAATTTGTATAATCTTCGGTAAAACCGATTCACCACAGCTACACACCATGTCGACAAGTTTATATGCTCCCTTTGATTCATTTTCCATTACAATTTTCATGATTTCGGTTCTTTTCCCCTCATCTAAGATGTCATTTTGCACCAGTTTTTCCGTTATATCTGACAGCTTTCCTTTGAAACTTTCCATCAGATAGGTTTTATGTTTTATCCACACAATGTAGTGATCATATTTCATTGGTTCACCATCTTGAAAACAAGATAGAATAAATTATAAATCGCATGTAAGTAATATATTTTGTGTTTAGTCCACTGACAGCCAAGAGGTACGGTAGTAAGCTTTTGACGAGTAAGCATTATCTGCCAACTAAGGAATATAATTCAAAATCCAAAAGCAGGCGTTATTCCAGGAATAATTCCTGGTGTATTAAAACGTATTAAACATCATTTCCCCTGTATTAAAAAGTATTAAACATCCCTTTCCTGTATATTAAAAGATGTTCTTACCTACATTTGCTCGTTCTATTTTATGCAATCCACAAGCTTCTAATGCCAAGTTGATCTTGGGCAAAACGTCTCTTCCACGTTGACATAAAATATTTACAAGTTTTATGGCACCTTCGCGTTTACCTATTGCCCTATGTATATCCAAATCTTCCAAATCTCTGGAATCAATTATTTGTCTTTTCAAGAGTTCCGGTGTTATTTTTGGCAAGGCATTTAATAAGCCTGCCACCAATCCAAGGTAATTCTCTCTCCATAGTTTATAGTCTTCATCCTTCATCCTCTCATTTCTTTCAAAATCTGTTTACGGCATTAAAAGATAACAATGTATCGAAATCGTTATAATGTTTAAAATGGAAGATTCTTGTATTGTATCGATAATATATTTTGCGAATGCCGGTCTAGTTAAACCAAGATTAACAAATACGAATATACAGATCTATCGACGCGTCACGGTAAAGGCGTGTTTTCACTTGTTTATAATAAATAATTCAATTTAAAGTTAAACCAACCTGTTTCTAATTTATGCCCAATTGTTTTAAGTCCACACTTTTTTAAAGATGTTATTATTTTGGGTAGAACATTCTCGCCTTGTTTAACAAGCAAGTCCATAAGCTGAATTGCGCTATTTCTTTTACTTGCTTTGGCCACATTTTGAAGACTTTCGCTGGTTGTGGCATCTATAATATTATCACCCGAAAACTGACGTGCTACCTTATTAGTATCTTTTTGTATTTCATGAAGTAAATCGTTGTTATTCTTTACCCACACTCTATAATGTGGATATTTCATAAATCCCACAGGCAACAAATCTGGAACGAAACAAAATACCTTGATGTAGATATTTGGGGGGGGGGGGCAGCCACCTAGACGCACCCTTCGTGGGCTCACTGCGCCTTGGACAATCGCGAAGTGTGACTACAACACTTTAATATGGAGATCTTCTTGGATCGAGGGCCTGGCAAGGGAAACGTATAGTCGTTCGGATGGCGTGCACGTAAAAGATATGTTGGCAGTTGGAAGAAATCTATATAAGAGTAGGCCGTAGCGAGGCTGTCGTAGCACACTGTATTACATTAAATCCCATCCCATCTCATTTCATTTCATTTTCCTATTTATATATATAGATCCGAATGTCACTTAAAGATTGATGTGCTAACTTATTCTTAAGACAAGCACATTTATTTTCAGTTTAATAATGCCATCAAATTCTATACAATTAGTGTTCGTTCTACTGACCCCATTAACAGTTCTATGGCTATAACATGATTTAGCTAAGGATAAAATTAACATATTCTGTCTCGTGCACAATATAGAAACACTTTTGAATGAGTAAAATTCAGAATAGCTGTACAGGGTTTGCTACATGATTCTCTGCCATGAGATTTGATGTTTATATTTCCCATTAATAACATTGAAAATTGAGTGAACAGAAACCCCGCCATGCACAACACTGAGTGTGTAACAGTACAGTATGATATCTTACCTCCATCCTTCTTCTTTGTACGGTATTCTGTAAATTATAATAACAATTCCATATTTTATAGCGTGTTAATACTGTTATGATAGAAGTGAGAGTGTGGGTGGGTGGGTGGGTGTGTGTGTGTGTCAGAGAGAGAGAGAGAGAGAGAGAGAGAGAGAGCGAGCATTAGTATTACAGTAGATACTTTTATTAAAAATACAGGGGGAAAGGGGTTTAACGTCGACTCGGCACAAACTAGGTCATTTCGGGAGGAAACTAGCGGCGGGAAGAAACCGGTGGACCCGATAGAAAACCCACGAGGCTGGATAGGTGACCATATTCCTTGGTGAGTACAAGCGGGAATTCGAAACATCGCTACTAGACTCAATGACAGATCTTGTGATTTCAACCCCTAGACCCCCCCCCGCCCCAACACCTCTATTAAGAATACCAATTTAGTTGATACCTTTCCAATACAATCAATCAAGGATATTCCAGTTTCATCAAACTTCATTCATTAGCAAAATATTGCGTTAAAAAATTTAATAACCCTAAACGCAGCCGCTGATCACGAGAAAGACTGACCACAGATTGCTTGTACCTACTATATAAAGTATACGTACTTAACAGATATAGAACCAGGCAAAATATGCCGATTATAACTATCGGAACAACCACTATGGCTGCTATGTGACCAGCAGACAATGAATCCTCTTCTTTATCAGTCACACCAGGCCTTGCTACATCTTTTTCTGAAATAGTCATTCTAATTTAGAACAATAACTCACTACCGGTGTTTAATAACCATGTAAAATTATTTCACGCACTAGTCTAAATAGAAACAGAAACGGAATGGGGTTTAACGTCCTACTGTTCTGTTCCGACTCTAAACAGAAAAAAATTGTAAAAATTGTATAACATAGATCCATTGCGATTATCGTTATACGACAGAATGTTCTGTTTTTATCAATTTGTGAGATAAAGCACCAAACAAAAGACAATCTATGTTGGATATTAAACTGTCGGTCCAACTCCATTTTAGATCTTTTAGCACGAAACTAGGCTAAAAGAAAATCAAATAGGGTTTAACGTTCTTCTGTTCTGCATCAACCCGTTTAATGAAGAGAGACATATACCATGTAGTGTGCGCACCACTGCGGCCTATTCTTATTTAGAAATCCAACCGCCACTAGACACTTTCCATGCACCACTGACAAGGGGAAACCACACTGGAAAATACAAAATGACAAACACTACCTTCCAGAATTATGCTGTGACGTTCGCTTGATTGTTTATCGATAAAAGCAATACGACAGACATAGTATTTATAACTGAAGTCATCTTTGGTTGTATTGAGTAGTGATAGAGTTATCTGCCCATATATATAACCATTGTCTTCTTCTTTTTCTGTTACATTACCACGGATTCTGTTTCCATCATTAACTAGTAGTTTAACTGTCAGTGTCTTATTATAAATGAATCCTATTTGATTATCCTGTACAAAATAAAAAAGTTTTTTTAGTAGTGATCTTTGAAAACATGAAAAAACGTAGAACTAGAAAAATACAATATTTTTAGATTAGATTTATCGTCAATTAATTATTGTGGCCAACAAGCATTTATTTAGCTTGGCTACTGTTCGTTCAACCTGTAGACGTAAGCGATTGGCGTTACAAAATTAACCAATTTAGACGTAGTTGCAATTTTGTGAAGGACGGGAACTTACGCTGTGCAACACCCTAGAGCTACGCCGGATGTGCTAGAAATGGCTATTTAATTCGCTGCCATGCAGTGTGTGCTATGAGGGCAATTTTGATCGTACAGCGGCAGTACGGCCTACTATTTTATCGAATTCTAGCTGTCCAGGGTTCCTTAACGTGGCACAAACTAGGTCATTTTGGGACTATCCCATGGTTCAGTTTAATTTCAATAATTTGCTTGTACGCAGGGTTTCTTTAACCATGGGGGGAAACTGGAGGACCCGGAGAAACCATTCCACTTGACTCAATGACAGACCTTAAGGCGGATGTGCACACTGGGCCTCGGGTTTCCGTCACGTCCGAACGACTTTTTTCCTTCCGATAGGGTATGAGGAAATTGTTTCTGTTATAACATACCTCTCCGTTTGATCTATTAGAACGAGTCAATATTACCCACAATACAGGAAATTTATACCGAAAAGACCAAACAAATGTAATATTTTCTGTTGGTCGACTTTTAATCACCCGTTTATCACTAGAAATGTGTGGTACTGAAATACAAAAATATCAAAAAGTGTACGAAAGCCCGCTAATTTTACTTCATAAAATTTTAACAAGGCAATTAAACTATTTAACAATACGAAATGATATTGGAATTTAATTTACGTATTTTCATTGTACTTTACTTCAGCGGGAGTTTGAATTAATGATTAACAAGCATAGGAAGAAAATTTAGCGATTGTGAAACACATTAACAAAACGCAATTTTTATGGGAAACAATCAGTTTGTGTTCTGTTAATTGGGAAGACAAAGTGGCATAATTACAAGTCATATTGGTTACGGCGTTTTCACATGCATCCTAAAGACAATAGTGGGCTATTTATTCAGCTGTTGTGCGATACCCATCTCAGGCAGGTAATATCTTAAGAAATGGAATGGGGTTTAACGTCCCATTGTTCTGCTCCATAATGTCTTAAGTAACACCAGTTTAAATATGTTAAAAAATAAAAAAAAAAATTTGTTTGTTGACTAACAGTCATTGTCATATTTCAAATACGTTGGGGTAATCGGGATCCAAGTACCCCTTGGAACTGTTGAATAGTGGAATTGTGTTTACATGATATAAATATGGAATTTGACATTTTGTCAATTGAGTGATCACTACATTTAAAAAGTGTAAAGTGTAAATCTAAGTCTACATACATAATAACAAATAAAAATGAAATGTGGTTTAACGCCCTACTGATTATCTCCGACTGGGCTAATGAAGTCGGATAACAAATAAAACTTAGCGTTGTGTTTATTTGCTAAATTGTTTACCCAAATGCAAATGGTGTTCCAGAATAGATGTCCGTGCCCTGCTACACTGCTGTAAACCATTAGTAGTTATAAATATTGATTATTCAGTGAATAAGTACCCAGTTGAGTTGTTTACAGGATGCAAACGAAGGGATTGAACATCGATCCTTGTGGAACACCAAGTGTTTAATTAATTACAATTGTTTTTCTTTTTAGTTAAAAGACCCTTTATCGTAATTTGTTTGCAGTAGCAAACCCAGCACAGTACGCCCGTTTGTCAGGATAGTCAAGTGGAACTTTAAAACTATGTTCCAGACGGATACAGGTTAAAACTTACACTCAGCTAGGAGTTCAATTCCTGACACACTATTAAACAAAATACCACAGAAAACCCGACACTCGTAAAAATGGTCGAAATCCTTGTTTGTGACCATTTTTATGGTCATAATGATAGTTTCTTCTTGGTTTGTATTTGATTTGTTGAATACTATTCCATCCGCTTTATATTCAAAACCCCTTTCAATGGTCCACATACCCAGCTGTGTTTTCTGTAATCATACATATTCATTTTGTTTTTTTGTCTTGTAATAGTATGTTCAAACAACCCTGCCCACTATTATAACTATTAACACCCCCCCCCCCCCCAACAAAAAAAACAAAACAAACCCCAAACCCAGACAATCAAGCGACAAAACGAAAAAGGAGACATTGAAAGTCATCAGTTGGTTGTAACTATTACCAACCACCCCGCTAATGCCAAACGTGTTGCGGCCATATAAATCAAATTAAGCACGATCGTTACCTACAATAAACGAGTCGAACTACAACGTCCGTTTAACGAAGTCCAGCAACAACAGGTGAAGTCGCCTAGGGAAAGTTGTATCATTGTAGTTGTTTTTTAACCCTTTCCCTGACAACTGGGTGTAATCCACTCGGGAGCTCTGTATTTTTGTAATTACTCGCTTTTCGTTTTTTGGATTTGATATGAACGAAACTCTATCTAATCTTCAAGATAGTTGTTGTGCATTGCCGGATTGGTTCAATTTATCGAATTTGTATTTTGGTGGAATTTGTGGGGGTTCCATTTTTTTTTCTACAGGGATCAGGTATAAAATATTATTCCTATATAATTAGTATACGGGTGTGTTACACCCAGTTGTCAGGGATCGGGTATGAAATATGTTGCAAGGGAAAGGGTTAAATAAAGCTCAGGGTATAACATATTTGTAAAATTTCCAACCAATACTACATGTACTGTGATATTCCCACCAACTCACCTTCTTGGTTAGATTGTAGTACCGAGTAAAGATGATCTTGTTAGCCAACTTTAAACTGTGATATTTCCAAACTAATTCCACGGGCTGGTAAATAGTTGATATAACCGAATTTTGGGATGGCAGCCATTTAAAATCAAAATCTGAAACAGAAAAGTATTTTTTTTTTAATTTCATTCAATAATGTGATATTTTTCTATAGAGTAACGTGAAAGCTAATTAAATAATAATAATAATGTTTATTTACTTGTTTTATTAAACTATTACGATCTGAACATTTGTCACACAGGCATTTGAAGGGATTAAAATAAAACTTCCTACTACTTCTGGACTATAGTATATACAAAGTTTCTCACCGGCCATGTTGTTTCCACGCGTTCAAGATATCATCTCCCAATACTCACTAGTTCTAACACTTCCCGTCGTTTTATTGCCAACGAGACATTATATTGATCATTATTCAGCTTCCGACGTAATTAAATTGGTCATTTTACAGCGTTATTAATTACAAATCAAACTTGAAGCGCTATCACTTGGCGATTATCAACTTCGTGGGACCGGAAGTAACACGAAATGAAGCCATTCAAATACGAAGACACAAGACAACGATGAGCAGAGATCAAGTATTTTTCGTACCTATGGCGTATGATACTCTTATTACATAACCATAGGCTAAGCATAATAATTTTTATTTAATCACATTTAATACTTGACAATATTCTAGTAATAATCTAAGTTTGTAATAATCACTATAAATTGTAAAAAATGAGAATTAATAATTGGTTACTATTTTTGCTTTTCAGGACTGCTTTTATAGAAATTCAATGCACTTAATAGTTCAAATCATGCCTTTCGAAATCACTATAGCATCCAGTGGAAATACTACTCACTAAGTGCAGTCATTGTTCTAAGGGTTTTTCGTATATTAGTGGAATCACTTACATCAGCATGCATAATATATAAACATTTTTTGTTACAATACCATTCAAATCTCATTTTTTAGGGTGTTGTGATTACAAAAACCTGATCAAATCATTGTAATTACTCCACAATAAGCTATTCATTAAACATTTGTGTTTATTTCAGGTCAAGTGGTCGTTGATAACATTTTATCAGATTTCATCTTCTTTGATCGTTTGTCATTATTAAAACCTAATAAATCATTGTATATACTCCATAACAAGTTATCCACTAATCAATTAATTAATTCGTGTTCATTTTCAGGTAAATTGGTATTATTGAATGTTGTTATTAGCATTAAACTTTATAATCTTTAATTAAATTAGATTCCCTTTAGGTACATGTAATTAAGGGGTATCTCTGGTTGGTCAGCATTAACCAAGTATTGTTGTGTACAATAGTGTACATGTATATATTGCCATATCATATTTTATCATTGCTTGATAATGACTAGAGAATCCTAGTCGAAACGTTGTTCAGTAATAAGCAATAATTGTATTCCGTGGAATTGTGACCTGTATACTCTAGTTCAATTACTAAATGGCATTGAAACGATTGATCAGCATTAAGAAGTTTTATTTTAACCAATTCAAGTGCCTGTGATTTGTCATTAATTACTTATTCGTTTTTTATTTTCTTTCATTTTAATATTTTACTCCATATTTCATACGTTACCGAACTTAATTTCACTTTACATAATTTACTATCATTGTGTCTTGTTCTGAGTGACGGGCAACATGTCACGTGATTATTAATAGTGCCACCAATTTTAATCAGCAATAAGCAATCAAATATTTAAAGTCCCGATGTGCCATTTACATTTTAGCTAATGTGTCAAAAAGTATGTGCTCAGATTGATTATTTAACATTTAATTAAGAAAACAAAATCACAATACCAACTCTAAATAATGTACCAGCTTGGGTATATTCGGATTTTTAAAAAAAAACTACCAATGAATTTTCCCGTGGGCTTGAATTCAATCGGATCAGGTTTCTGCGTAACCGATAAATGATGGCGGTGACTTGTTACGCTCGAGCATCATAGATCGATTAATTTACAATTTATCATAACTTTGTAAATACTGACCGAAATGAACCATTTTTGTGCTAACATTGCTATTAGAGAATCTAATCCTTATAAGACATATAGAGGTAGATTTATATGGCTATACTACATCTGAATTTATTTACATGCTACGTTTCGATACACATACAGATGATGTATCGAAACGTAGCATGTTAATAAATTCAGAAGTAGTATATCCATATAAGTGTTTTTAATTTATTAGAGAATCAACTTTCACAATATTGTAGTTTGCAAATGATTGCTTAAAATTGCGCACCGGGACCTTAATATTAGAGAACCGAGCAGCGTGCCACTTGCCTTCCATTAATTCGACAGGTTTTTCGGTTTTCAAGCAATTGTCATTGAATTTTACTTCTATGTTGTAGATATATTTCAGATCATCAATTTTTGTATCTCGTATAGTAAAATTTACTCTGTACATATCATCATTTCCAGCCTTATCCAAGTTAAACATCATTCTGTTGTCTTCTATAAGAGTTTTCTTGGCACCATTTTCCCACTGAACAAGATCTTGCTGTAATAAAAATCTGAGTCGTATCTTCAAAGAAATGAAGAACTGGGATTTAACTTTCACACCACACAACACATTTGTTATTTCTGATTTTATTTCATAATTCGTTTTCGCGTATTGATCGTTAACCGTGAAAGGAAACTGGAAAACCTGATGACAGCCAGTATGATTTACATGCCGGCTATTTCATTTAAAAAGAGCGTTTTGCATGCCGCGACACATGACAATACATCAAACAAATCAAATTCAATACACTATATTACACTATAATTATTTCAAAGCAGTCCTGATTCTTGAAGTCTCTGTGAGTATTTGAAGTGAGAAAGGCGGCTCGCTACCCAGGAGGTCTCGGGTTCGTTCCCAGTGTTGCCGAGAAAGTTCCTCGGGATTTTCTGACGCGGGTCCCTCTTGTCAGTGGTAGCTTTCGGGATATGTGGGAGAGAGAAAAGGACTTTAACGTCCACTCGACCCAAACTAACATATGGTTCAATTTTATTTTAATAATTCGCTCGCGCGTCGGGGCCTTTAGCTGTCGGAGGACCCGCAGAAAAGCCACGAGGTTTGACAGACGACCCTGCTCCTTGCCACGAACCTGCGGGGAATCGAAACCATGCCACTTGACTCAATAACAGACTTTATGATCCAACGCTCACGCATTAACCATTCGGCCACACAAACATTCGGGATATAAAATATATAATATACACCCATTCACAGACTTGAATAACCTACCGGTGGTGCACCATTAGTTGAAGGAAGCTTTCTATGTAATCGAATCGTCCTGGCTGTGACTTTAGTTACAAACGCCCATAGAAGCGTCATGGCTTCTCCAACACGAACATATTTAGTCCTTATCTCATTTTGCCATCGAAAATCTATAAACGTAAAAAAGGAGTAATAGTGTGAATTTTGTAGAGGTTGAGAGTGATTTGTTTGAGTCATAAGTTTAACCGATAAGGGGTTTTAGAACGATAATAATTCTATAAAAGCCAGAATAACATGTCATTCATCATGTCTTAATTATACAAACCGTTGCATATTAATGTAGAAATTCTAACACTTGGACCTTGCATTCTTCTTGAATACTGCCCATTGTTTATCTCTATAGTGTCGCTATTGTCAGCTTACAATGCCAATAGTGTAACGTCCCTTACTATACAGAACCGATATTGGGGTGGTAGTGTGAAGTTGCATCGTTTTTTATTATTCGTTTTTCATCAATAACGAATAACGATATGTGTCGCCTCATATTTGCCGTATAACAGGGGAATCGCTGTCTCGGTATTCGTTATTTAACGTGTTATTTGGGATTCAAATATGAATAACAAGTTATTCGCCAACAAGGCGAGACTATTGAGATAGCTAACTAATTTAAAGGGCAATATTGGTGTCAGTCCTTATCAAATATGTATAGAACTCGTTTAACACAGAGATTATTGCTACGATGGATGCGTTATGAAGATTTCAAGAAAGGGAAGTGACGAACGCAAAAGGAAAACACGAGTTACCCTTCTATATAACTGACTGAAGTGACGAGTGATAACAGATACACGGGCAAATTTCTGCTCACCAATAATTCCTTCCAAAACGAAAAGTTGTTAAATGAGACTGTGGGAGGATATAATAATAATGAATTTATATAGCGCTTCTTATTGTAGAGTTTTTCTACTCGATGGCGCTGAGCTGCACTGTCACGTTTGGTAGTCATAGTTAAATAAGTGAGTCTTCAAGGATGATTTAAAGGACTCTAATGTTCTGGCTTCCTTTAATGTTGCTGGGAGTTTATTCCATTGGATGGGTGCTGCCACTGAAAAAGCCCTATCACCACGGGACAATTTCAAAGTTTTTGGAACGACAAAGTTGATCGAGTTGTTCTTTCTCCACTGTTGATTTGTATAATATCACTCAGGTAGTCGGGAGCTAAACCATGGATGCATTTGTAAGCGAGGAGTATTAGTTTATATTGAATACGTTTGTTTATGGGCAGCCAGTGAAGGGATTTTAGCACAGGTGTAATATGGTCGTGGAGTTTTGTTCTGGTGATTACACGCGCAGCAGTATTTGTATCTTTTGTAATGAGCGAAGAGAAGAAGCTGGAAGTCCGTAAAGTAACGAATTACAATAGTCACATCTAGATGTGATTAAAGAGTTCACTAACAGTTTAGTTGAATCTGTATTTAAGTATTTCCGTACACGACCAATGTTGAACAGCTGAAAGCTACCTGCCTTCGATACCACTGCGACTTGTTTCGACATATCAATGGTAGTGTTAAACATAACACCCAAATTTCTAGCAGATTGAATGGAGCTAATGTGATCACTTCCAATACGAATGGGGTGCCTATCTAATGATGAAACACATGATTTTGAGCCAATGGTCATGTACTCTGTTTTGTCAGAATTCAGTTTAAGAAAGTTTGCAGTCATCCATACTCTAATGCTCTCAATGCATCGTTCCAACTGCTGTTGTTTGTCTGGAATATCACATGGTGGTCCTAGATACAGTTGAATGTCGTCTGCAAAAAGATGGTAGTCTGTAGATGATTTCACGAAGGGGAGAGGTATAGATAGTAAATAGAATTGGTCCCAAGACCGACCTTTGGGGAACAGCAAATTTACTTGGACTGGATTTGATTTAGCATTGTCTACACATACAATCTGATTACGATTAGATAAGTATGATTGAATACGTTTTATTGCAGAGTCAGATAATTTTAACCCATATCTGAGTCTGTGAATTAAAATATGATGATCAATAGTGTCGAATGCTGCAGATAGATCAAGCAAAACAAACAATTTGACACACTTGTTGTCCATACCACGCAATAAGTCATTACTCACTCTGACTAGTGCAGTTTCACAACTATGAATGACTCGATATGCGAACTGAAATGGTTCTGAGAGATTCTCATAAGTTAGATGTTCTTTGAGTTGTTCAGAAATAACTTTCTCGATGACTTCCGAAACAAACGACAAATTTAAAACTGGTCGGTAGTTTTTAAGATAATCTGGATCAAGGTTTAACTTCTTTAGTATTACTTTTGAAAAAGTCAGAGAAAACCTCTGGTAGGGTATTTTTGTCGGAACATGATGAGTACTTATCTCCGGGAGAGTCTTTTGTAAGGTTATTGAAAGTTTGAAACAGTGTTTTAGAGTTACTGAGCTTGGTTATGAGATCTTGGAGATATTAATTTTGGTTGATCTTAATTCAGATGAGTACTGGTTACGTTTACACTTGTATATTTGACAGTATACTTCTAAACCTGACCTTCGCCAGTTGGTTTCGGCACTCCGACACTGGTGTTTTAAAGTTAAAAGGGAATCATTGAACCATTTACTGTAGGGTCTGATGGTAACAGTGCGCTTAAGGGGAGCATGTCTGACAATTCAAGTAAATGAATGTCACTAGATAAGGGAAAACGAGAAAAATAGAAATAGTCCGTACATTCCATTGTTTTTATTCATTCTATACCTAATAAAAACATGGTAATGCACAGACCTTTTCTATTTTTCACGTAGCAATGATCTCTGAGTTAAAATTATATTTGGAACGTGTTTAACCATTGTCCTTTAAGTGGTTTTCTACATGTATATTATGGTCTTGGTACTAAGTGCCGTTTAAGCAATACATTGGCTAAAATGATATTCCGGGTTAAAATGACATGAAATAGGGCTTAACTTTTCTGCACCGATTGGGCGTCGCTGGTTAGATGTGGAAAGTACACAGTCAAAAAACTCACCACATCCAACGTATGACGCATATCCCCTTCTGCTACACATTTTATTAGCCTTGTGATCTTGTATTGTCTCTGGTTATATTTTTAATTCCCTTCTTTTGACTAGGACTCACGTTGTGAGTTCATTTTTATCTCGGCCATAATGACGTTTATCTACCAGGAACAACAATGCAACAGTTCGTTTCTACATTTTTTATCAAGCACTGGATACATAGGGCATCAGCATAGATTACAATAAAGTCATTCTCTACTCCCTTAACCCCACCATTTCGCAGAACGAGTTAACTGACAGAAACCCTACATCATATGACTCTCCTACGACTTAACCGGGTCTACTCAATCCAGATGGTATCTCTTGAACCTCAACATTTGCTCCCAACAAATCTACACGGAATCGGCATTCTCCTCTCTAAGAATCTACAGGGTGTCTCCTCTCTCTCTCTATGCTTGTCTAAAGTCTATATGTATGGAAGCCTATTATTTTATTAATATCTCGATCTATATGTTACGGAAAATTTTATGCAGCCGTCAGTAATGAGATATTAATAAAATAATCGCCATCATTACTAGACTCTATCACACAGACATTTTTGTTAACGGGAATTGCGCGTATTCAAATGTGACCTGCAAGGCAGAGACTACAACAACTTCCTAGGCGAAAAGTAGAAAAGTCGAAAAGTCGACAGTACGACAGATCATAGGTCGCTAATAGCGCAGTGTGTTAATTTCTAATTTCTACTTTTCGAGTTGCATTTTGGCTTGTATAGCGTGTTGGCGCCTTCTTACTGACATCAATAAATACAAAAATATGACTAAGTCGAAAGTCGACAAGACGGTATACAAGCCAAAATGCAAGTCGAAAAGTAGAAATTAAGAAAAAACGGGGGGCGCTATTATCGCGGTGTGTTATTTCTTAATTTCCTATTTTCGAGTTGATTTTGGCTTGTATACCGTCTTGTCGCCTCACATTTTGTCGTAACTTCTACTTTTCGACTTTTCGACTTTCGTGTTCTGAAGAGGCGAAAAGTAGAAATTATGAATGGTAGTTACAGGCTTCCATATATATGACTTAAATCAGTCTTATAACATTGACTATGTCCTCGAGACAGTTCTGTCAATTATTTAATTGGACAAATATTACGTAATTAATGATGATGATTGGTTACTAAGCTTAATGACGTCCCAAACAACCCTTATGTGGACAGTAGTAACTTTCCACCAAGAGGTTTAGATGTGTTATTTTGTTATTAACTCAGAATTAAATTATCACTGCTTTTATATAAAAACCTATCACTCATTCAATTTGAGTGCGTGAGATATGGCTTTTCTACAATATGTGACCCCAATAGTTAATTAAAGATATAATATAATATTATTATACATGTTTATGACGTGAGAGAGCGTTGGTTTCAGTTTATAAAAATTTCACCGACAAATGCCCCAGCTCTATTTGGACTAAGACTAGTAATTATTTCCCCTTATTTCATGATGGACGAATGTAGTGCGAGTTATAAATAGACAATTTTTCCCTTAATTTTTTTCTCCCCTCTTCCTGCATTTTTGGGTTGACTTTTTGGTCTAGAATTGGAGAAAAGGGATCAAATTTGCAATTTCATAGCAGTTTTGGGTAATACTGATGATATTACAGCGGAGGGATAGGGGGTGTAAAGTGTCTTTCTGCAGAGCAATCATTGTGTCGGAAGTGAGATTTTCACCCCTGTCAACTTCAAATCCGTGTAGCAAAAAATCTAAACGGTCAACCCCCTACAAAATTATGATGAGGAGATTGCCAAATGTTGTCCCCATTGTGCCTATAAAGATTGGAACCAACGGAATGTTGAGCAAAAAGCTACAGCCTGTGATGTTACAGTCATTTAACATTGAAGTCAATGGGCAAATAATTGCTAGTCTGAGTCCATTTATTCTTAAGTCAAAGGCAATGAGTAATCTCCCCTTGATAATCTTAGTCCATGTAATAGTTAACATTATATAAAAATAGGAACGTGTGCATACCCGTAACAGCTAGATTCACGTCTTTTTTTTCAGAACCTAATCTACTTATATAAACTGCTGTATCCACCATTGTAACGTTGTACATAGTCAGGGTAACTCTCTCTGTGGTTCTATCAATCCGGTATTTGTCATTACTTTCCACCCTTAGTTCTTCGTGTGAGTTTTGAGACTATAACAACAAAGTATTTGAATATATTTTCTATGTAGTTTGGGCTATTTTGTTTTAATCCGTTGAAACGGTGATGTTTGGATTCGCCCTCGTTAGAGTAATCACCAGTTGGTACATTAATTTATCAGAGGTCAGAACCCGAGTCCCGACTTACGACTCGGCTTGAAATATTTATTGAAACCCGTGACTCGACTTAAAATATTTATTGCGACTCCAGACTCGACTCGGACTCGACAATCGTGTGGCGACTCACGACTTAAAAGAGCTTAGGATTCCAATTGCGGCGAGGGGATATAACACTAACTTAACTTATTTGCCATGAATTGCTGACTCATTTGATGAACTGGCCACTTGGAACTCGACTCTCCAATATAACATACGCTCATTAACATATAAAATATTTAAATATGTCTACTAACCTTGGCGACTGATGCTCTGGTAGCTTTCCCGGGCCATTCCCAAATTAGTTCTGCATTACAACCAACTACTGATGATACAAATCGTTTTGTGTCGGGATTTTGATTTCCTCCGACCTCGTAACCTACATTTATACAAAAGCATAAAAGTTTGCATTTTAACAGTGGAACCTTTTTTGTAGATCCGGAAATTAGCCGCTCGCCAAAAATATCAAGCACAAATTCAGGCTCTGTCGAATTATTTGGATTTGTTTTAACTCGTTCTTAAGCGCGGTACAGAAAAGTATTTGAATACTATTCGAATAACTGAGGCGATTAAAATATAAAATTTATAGATATTGCGAATCTTTGAAATCATTATATGTTTTTATTTATTTGTTTATTTTTTTTTACATTGGCTGGTTTCATTGAATTAATATATTATATTAATAATAGCAGACTAAACAGGTAGAAATCCATCCGTTTCCGTTAACACCGAAAAAGGAATAGTTTAACATCAGATCTGAGAGCCTGGAAAAACTATTCGAATTCAACTACGTGTGTGAACGCTATGACTTACCTTGACACAAGAGGATTAATACTAAAAACGAAAGGACTTCGCTCCACGCCATGACCATGCTTTGGGCAATACCATTAATTACAAAAAACACCAATTACTGGCCTCGTAAAACTGTATCAATATGGACAAACAAACTGTATTAGAATGAAAATCTTTTAAAGAATTAATAAAGCTTCACGTATGCTCGTTCTAGAACACCGAATACCACTTCCCACTTGGAAAGTTCACATAGCTAAATAATGTTTGTTGATCCGTCTTTATCGTATGGGGGTGGGGGGTGATTAACGAACACGTGCACGTATAATCATAGCCTTGTTTGAGTTAAGTTACAATTTCATATTTTCTAAGAAAGTCAAAACATAATTATTTCTATGTATTTTGCTCAATATGTTGTCAACTCACTATTATACGATCATAGGTGTCATTCTCACACTTAAAACTCATTTACACCGGAAATAATAACACAATTACCCCCAATTACCTCCCTTGTTTTCTATTCTCCACCATGGAGTAGCTATCCTCAAACGTTTGAATTTCTCAACTGGCAATAGTGAATTATAGGATAAATAGGATTATTCTTTAACAAGGTAGGACTGTTTATAGATACCATCTATTTTAAGGCTTTATTTTAATAAATTTTAAAAATATAACGTAAAAATATGAAATTGCATCTTTAAGAGGTTGGAAAGGTTGAAATGTAGAATGGACAGTTGCATGTTTACGTCTATGTTATTTCCTGTTTGTTTGACTAAAAGTTTTCCATGGTGAACCTCATACCTGCTTTAGAGCAAGAGGTTGCCATATGTTGCTCCATCTGTGGCAGAAAGCGTTCAACCCCACGAAAATGTTTTGGAAAGTTATAGTCAGTCAATGAGACGAGAACTAAGATTAAAGTCAATGGGGGAAATTAATAGTGATCTGTGGCCATTTTAGTAAAACGCCTGAAAAGGTACAACACTAATCAGCACATACATAGGTCAGTAAGTAGAGGGTTAAAGTTGATACCCATAGCCAGGAAAAAAATAATAGGTCTAAAAATAAGTGTTGTCGGTCTCAAATTATACATCGGCGACTAAATGAATAATGAGATAAACGAACAATGCCGAAATAAATGGGAAAATCCCAAATACTAAATATATATTGTACGCGCTACACTGTAAATAATATTTGTGTATTTTTACCGTAAATTGACTGGCAGAAAGTTGCCAGTAAAATGACTGTAACACTGACTTGTAAATTTACATCTAAGCGGTAGATTTAGATTTAAAAGTGTAAAATAACTTTGATGTGAATTTGCATTGTGCCTGTAAATAGAAAGTAAGGTAAATTTACATTCACTCTATATTTACACTGTGGTTGTAAATTCACCTCAAAGTTATCTTACACTCACTGTAAATTTACACTGAAGTTGTAAATTTACCTCAAAGTTACACTCACTGTAAATTTACGTGGTGTATGTAAATCTAAATCTACCATTTAGGGGTACATTTACAAGTCAGTGTTAAAATACAGTGATTTTACTAGCAACTTTCTGTCAGTCATTTTACGGTAAAAATACAATTTGAAGCATATATTTACGTGAAATATACCTTGAAAGGGTGACATTTTTTTAAAAGGGAATGTGTTTGTCCCCACTCGGCTAAGTAGTCCTAGGGTCGATCCTGGTGAACACATAAAGTTTTGCGGACCTTTCAGCCGAGCATGTAAAACCTCATTCGACAATGGAAAGAAATTAAATAAAATGGGGTTTAACGACAAAATGTCCCACAACCCAATGTATGGCATATCACTGTCCCCATACGCCTGTTAGGTGCATTCACATTTTGAATAACCTATTTCTCTAAAATAGACTAATCTGAATGACATAACAGTACATATTTTGCACAAAATTCGATATGTGGTCGAAGGGGAAAAACCGATTTGACAGTAAATTTACAATTTGTTGTAAAAATACTATTTCAAGTGGCATTTCTGTTAATATACAGCTCACATAATGTAAAATGACATATGATTGTATTTCTACTTTACGTTTGATGTAATCCTACATGTGGCCAAAGAGGGAATAACCGATGTGGTCACTATTTGACAGTTAATTTACAATTTGCTGTAAAAATTATAATTCAAATAGCATTTCTGTTAATATACAGTTTACATAAAGTAAACTGACATAATATGGTTGTATTTCTACATTACGTTTGATATAATATTACTTAAGCCTTGTATTCATATGCATTTAAGATATTCCAAATCGGACACTGTATTTTAAGTATACTTATAACTGTAAATATATATATACGTTTAACAGTTTAATAGGGATCTTTTACGTGCACGCCAATGTGTACACAGAACCTCGGTGTTCCGTCCCATCTGAACAACTAGACAGCTATTCTTGTCCGGCCTGCATCGCTGGCAAGGGGGAACCACAACGGAAAATCTGGATGAACTTTCTCGGCCAAAGCTGCAGGTATCGAACACTCGACCTCCAGGCTAGCGAGCCAGCGTCTTAAACACTTAGCCACCGAGACCCCCCCCCTCATAAGTGGACTATAGACGAAAAGTAATGAAGCCTTAAAAGGTATATATATATATATCAATGTTAAAGTTCTAAAAAGGTGTACAATTACACGTTTCCTGTAAATTGTACACAAATCCCGTGTTCAAACATGTTTGAATAGTAGAATTACCCATTAAAACAGTTAAACTACACTTTTATGGTTAATTTACTAATTTGTTTTACAGTAATCTCATGTTACCGCGCTAATATACAGTAAATTTATAGTATAAAAACATGCAGTGGTATTTTTACAGCGTTATGTTAAAGAAATTACATAGTTTTCACTGTAATTTTACATTTAATTTTAACAGTGTAGTTTTTCAAAGCTCAAATTAGTAAAAACTGCAAAATCTTCCCCCAAAGTCCAGGAAATGACATTTCAGGGCTCGAGATCCAGAAACATCTTCGGGTGAGCGTGCCCCCGTCCCCATAGAAAGTTCTAACTGCGGTACTCGGCACTTGGCTGCGTCACTCGTATTAGGGGCCTGTGGATCAGTCAGTGTCAGTTTTGCCAGCCCCGCCCACTCCAAACAAAATCAATATGTACGCCCCTGCCCATAGCAACACCAATTACTGTCTGCTTGGCATTGGGAGCCACGATGGCTATGTCGGTCAGGTGCTTTCTGCCGTCCATTTGGTTACTTCATGTCAAATATAAGAAATATTCAAGGGCGGATATTGTAACCGCTCCATATCTCTTTAATTGCAGACCTTTCTTTTTAATCTTTTCAGTTTTATTCCTACCAACCGACGGCCCGGTTAAAAACTAACCACAGGCTTTCATGAGTAATGGTTTTTAACTGTTCTTTATGACAGCCTATAGTCACACAAAGGACATTTATGACAATATATAAGTTTGATTATGAATCATAATATAAACGATATATTATAATCTATTGTATTCTACGGGTATAGCAATACAATAAATGAAAATCTTTTTCTAAGCGCTAGTAATGATTTTCTAAAGAGAAAAGTTAAAGATGCATTATGTAAGAGCTGAATCTGTCTATTGCAGGTCTTAATTTTGGCTTCAAATGTTATATAAACTGTTACTGAGACACATATTAACATGACAAACTTATAACCAACTCTCTAGACCACTGGGTTAAACAAACTAACGATATAATGGATAGTCAATAAACAATCCGAGTTACATTTTCCAACACCTATAACTGCGCTCAGAATAAAGTAATTTGAATGAAATTTTTAATTCATTCATTTTTTATTACTTATTTTTTAATTATTATAATAAGAACGACCAGCTCATTACCTAAATCTTACATAGTGCATCTTTAATGTTTTGTTTAAGAGCTAAGGAGATGTCCACGTTTCACATAGTAGATTGACAGCATGTACAGAATAACCTGTTCTTGAAATGAAATGGGATTTAACCCCCTACTGTTCTGCTCCTACTGGGCTATAAGATAATGAAGACAGGTCCACACTTTGCGGTGTCTTATAAGGGAAATTTTGCCCGGGCAGCGACGCTACGGCCTACTCTTATTTCGAACTCCAACTGTCAAGGGATTTTTTACGTGCACAGCACTTTGTAGACAGGGCCTCGGTTTTTCGTGCCACTCGAACGACTTGTCCCGTGCCAGCCCCCCCCCCCCCCGCCTTACACGACTGACAAGATGGAACCATACCGGAACTTTCTCGGTGAATGCAGGGATCGAACACGGTTTTTCGTGCCACTCGAACGACTATTCGTTGTCCCGTGCCAGGCCCTCCGTCCTACACCACTGACAAGACGGAACCACACCGGAACTTTCTCGGTGAATGCGGGGATCGAACACAGGACCTCCATGTTAGCTAGCCAACGCCCTACTCACTGAGCCACCGTGGCCCCAGTAAACTATTCATGGTGAAGATTTGAAGATTTTGGCGTCAATGTATATAAAATGTAATCGATGGCGGGTATGTGCCATACAGTGTGACATGGGAGGATTTATTTACCCCCTACTTGTCATCGCCTTCTTTTACTTACATATGCATCGGTGCATAATGATTTTTTGTATCATTCAAACGACTAGACGCTTTCCCATGCCAAGCTCTATGTTCTGCACCCCTGCCAAGGAGAATCCAGACTGGACTGCACAAATCTAATCTAGTCTAAATAATCTGTTATATATATACACATTTACCTAATAGAAGATCGGTCCAATTTAAACATTCTACATTCTTTTTTAAATCTGTCCAGCATATATTTAAACTTCTTACCAGTAAAATAACTACACTGACTAATAAATAAATGTCTTGATTTGTTGTATATAATATGCAGGTAAAGAATATAATAAATAGGTAAATAAATACACAATGGAGTCAAACTATTATAAGAAAACCTACACAATGAAAACCTACAGGGTGTTTAAATATTGCGCTTTAGTTACAACAGAGTTATATATAAATATAACATAATCATGCAATGTGATATGGTAAAAGGAATATAATACGTACATTAATTATTCATTCCCACCTTTATTTATTTCTTCCTTCATAAAATGTCCAAAGTATAGTGTTAATAAATTGCAATAAATTTCTTTTAATACCAATTATACCTGTAGTCATTAATTTTTATGACTACATGGTTGGTCATCGACGGTAGACAACCGACTCATTAAACTAAGAGCTAAATATGCCTACTGCAGGTCTTCCTTTGGGCCTTAAATGTTACATAAATTATTAATTAGGCATTTATTAACAAAACAAGACCATAAACAGCTCTCGATGCCATCGGATACTCGAGATTTTAACTAGATTAGAACGGTTCGCCATTTAAAAATAAAATTTAATTTCAAAATGGGAAAGCGAGACTAGTCTCGAATATACCAATGCCCTGGTTACCACAATGCACACATCTTGTCAAAACTACAAACAGTGATAACTTGACCCAGAATGAAGTAATTTGAATGAAATATTCATTTTACAATAGCCATATCTATTTTTGAGCTATTATAGCAAGAATGGTCACCTCTTTATCTAAATCTTACATAATGTATCTTTAATACTTTAAATTGTATGATAAGCTTAATCCTTATTATTTCCATTATTTGTAATTTCATATTTTGTTTTTACCCACGTTTGTGAATTGTGTAAAGTTTATTTAGTCCCGAGATACTAGCTTCTTGAAATACCGAATTGTACATTCATTCAAGATTCTAGGTTTTATCCCGTTTCCAAACAAGTCACGCTGCCAGTCGGATTTGCTGTTCTGTGTATATGATATTTAAAGATACATTATGCGAGATTAGATACAAAAAGCTGGCAGTTCTCACCATAATAGTTAAACATTCGATAATGTAAAGGCAATTTGCTGAATATTTCAGTCAGATTGAACCGAGAATTAAGCGATTGAAATTTCGGCCTAGCCTCGATCATCATTCCTAAAGTCGATACTATAAAAAACATAGTCTTGATTATCCATTTCATGATTAAATCATAAATGGAAGTTAAGCAGCAAATCGGATCCTAATCCAGTAAATATCGCATGCTAGCATTGACATCGAGAGTTGATTATGATCCGGATTACTTAATTCATGTCTAATTAATAATTTAGATAACATTGTAAGCCTATATTTATTACCGTAGATTATGACTTCTACACTATAATAACACTCTCTATCCTAGGATACAAATTGGGATTAACGTGTTTTGTTCTATGGGTACGTGTGCATTTGATCATTTCAAAAAATATAAAAAAAGGCCAACAAAAAGCACCGAACAAATCTTTCGATAACACATGTACATGATTATAGATATTGTCATTGCATTACTGCACAACACGAGAATGATCTTATTTCAGTTGGATTTTTGCCCCCATTGGTTGACATCTTTTAGAAATCTTCATATATTGTGTAATGGGGTAGGACATTATCGTCTATGACTTTCTTCGACTTCACGTTGTTGGATCAATTATTTCAATCATCAATTAACTGACTCTGGAACACCGTTTATGTTGTTACTAAGTTTATATAATTAAACAAATACAGCAAACTATAAAGTTATGATAGTACTTTTCGAGTTACTAAATTATCCACGGTCTGAGTTTAACGCCCTTTCTTGCTCAGATCAGACCAGAACGGCTTAAACATACATACGTCTTGATAGTTCTACATAAGGTTCGCGCTAGGGTGATGTGTTCACCCAACTTTCCAGAAATGGATACTGACATAAGTGTCTGTGCGTTAGACTAAGATAGTAGCAGAGTAGTGTAAGCTACTTCATTACCCTAGTTTTCGTCACACATCATGTAGATAAAGATTTCTATATTACACAGAACACCGTTCTTAGACCTAAAATAACCCTATAGTGTTATATGGGGCCACCCTACCAAATTTCATAATTGTTTAGCCGGGGGGTGTTTGATGAAATAGAATAGAGGTCGTCACTTCGTTTCCAATATGTCGTATTTAGACACTTTAGACAAGTAAACGCGAAATAAACACACTTCTTTAAAATATTTACACGAACCAACGAAAAGCTATCCTTTAAGCTTTTTCTGCTAATAGAAAAAACGAGGGTCTTCGATTATAATAATATCAAAAGATTTAAATAACTTAAAGGATATCTACGTGACAAAGACGTTTTATAAACTTGTTTTATATATGACACATAAAGCTACTCGATGCATGCATGTACAACTGATAAGGACAGAGGGAGAAATGGGGTTTAACGTCCACTCGACACAAACTAGGTCATTTCGGGACTAATATATGGTTTAATTTTATTCCAATAATTCGCTTGCGCGTAGGGGTCTTTAGCAGTGGGAGGAAACCGGAGGACCAGGAGAAAACCTACTCATTGTCACGTACAACCCGGGGATCGAAACCACGCCAGTTGACTCAATGACAGACCTTATGATAGCGCGCATGTGCTAACCATTCGTCCATCCCCCTCCCCCTCCCAACTGATAACGAACAATCAACGAATAGTAAACACTCGTATATGTCTACAGTACAAAACACTGTCGTTAAATATGTGTAAATATGATTACATGTCCCTATAACTGACACTTAAATTTATGTCAACTTTAGTCTCGGAGACTGTGTTTTAATCCAAAGGGATCATTTTAACCTAATGCTTGCTATAAAACCGTCGTCGTTAAAGTTGTGGGTTTTATAGCTTATTTAATATTATCTACTAAAGGGAGCCAAGATGGCACAGTAAGACGCTGGCTCCCTACCTTGAGGTCCCGTGTTCGATGCGCGTTGTATCATAAGGTCTGTAATTGGATCAACTGATTTGGTTTCGATTCCCCGCTGGTATGTGAAAAGGAGTAAGGTTGCCTATCCAACGTAGTGGGTTTTCTCCGGGACCCCCGCTCCCCCCCCCCCCCCCACTGCTAAAGACTCCTACACGCAAGCAAATTATTGAAATAAAATTGTGTCGAGTGGACGGTATCACTCCCCCCCCCCCCTCAAATATCTGTGTTTTGGCTGGTTTGCGAGTCAACTCCATACCCCAAGTGCTACATAATAGCACGAGCAAAACCGCGTTTTGTTATCCATGTGGGCAAGATAGGGTTACATATTTATTGCATTGTATTGACAAATCGTCTACACGGGAAACGGAAATGTGACTTGTTTTGACTAAACTTCAATCAGAAATAAGACGGAGGTTTATTTATTTTGGCGATCTAAACATATTGTTTAGTTATATGTTTATTATAGACTTTAACTGTGAACAGTGAACAAGATGAAGATACTAACCTGTTTTACATTTATTATATATTTGGTTAGAATAATTGGTGAGTGTTACAGATGCATTATGTAAGAGCTAAATCGGCCTAAATGAGGCTTTTTTGACCTTAAGTGTTATATAAATTATTATGTTTATTCACATAGCAATGGATTTAACACGGTCGCCATTTAATAATTTAATTTCAAAATGGTTAATCGATGCTTAATCTCGGTTGTCAAGTACCGTTGATACCATATACAATATACAGTATACTACAACTTCAAACACCGCGACAACTTCGCTCATAAAGTAATTTGAATTTTGCATTATTTGTTTTTGAACTTTTATAGCAAGAACCTGTCAGCCATTTATCTAAATCTTGCATAACGCACCTTTAGTATAGATAAACCAGTTACCTTCAGTTGTTTTAGCCAGTGTAGCTAAATATTTTATTATTTCAAGCTCACAACGCGGTATTCCACATGGGTCTGTATTTAGGCTATGCTATCTAATAGTATGTACAGATGAATAATTCAAATTATTGTTTCAGTATGAATATTTAATTTATTTTAGTTTTAAATACAAATATCCAAGAAAAATGCAATAGTCGTATAAGGCGTTCCACAAATAGTGTATGCTTCTTGTGGATGAGGGAGGGGGATGCTAGCTCATTCTTGAACATCTGGTACCACTTTCTTTTTATTTGAAAAGTTCATAGTTTGTGTTATTTTTAGGTCTCGCGCTGCAACTAAAAGATTATGTCACATCAAAGGGTAACGTATCGGTTGTCGTGGGCTGTACCGCTGAGTTAGTATGGACTCTACATGTTCCAGGCTATAACGCCAGTATACAAAGGGTATGATATTGTTTTTACTAGACCCAAATGAAACCAGACTGGCTCCTTCCCGGTGTTGGTCAAGAAAGTTCCAAAGAATCTCCGGCGCGGTTTCCCCTTGTCAGTGGTGCAGGACGAAGGGTCTGAAAAAGACAGCTGTCTACTCGTTCGGGCAGGACAGAAAACACAGGTGCCGTGTACATATCGGCCTGCGCGTAAAACGACACTTTACAGTTTGAATTCGATTTTAAATTAGACTATAGCAAAATGTCCCTCATAGCACACTGGATGGCGTATGCCCGTCTTCATAGCCCAGTAGGACGCTAAACCCCATTTCTTATCATTAAACAAAGGTTATTCATGCGTTATCTTGTTGTATTAGTTCACACTCTGGGTAAAACAAGCAGAATGCTTCTGTCACAAAACTTTCAAAAACGGCGGCCTCCGCGAATCAAAGGATCCGGTGAGTCATAATACGACCAATCAGTATCCCCGTAGCACAAAGCTTTTGAGTACACATAAACTTTTCTGGAGACCAGAGATAATGGCATATCTAGGCAACGATATAAAGAGACTATGGTGAAGTGGTTTAACGCGTGCGCGTTGCATCATAAGGTCTGCCATTGAGTCAAGTGGCGTGGTTTCGAAGCCCCACTTGTTCGTGACAAGGAGTAGGGTCGCCTGTCCAACCTCGCTGGTTTTCTCTGGGTTCTCCGGTTTCCTCCCACTGCTAAACCCCTACGAACAGGCGAATTATTGAAATAAAAATTGAACGATGTGTTAGTCATGAAATGACCTAGTTTGTGTCGAGTGGATGTTAAACCCCATCTCTTTCTCCACCTTAGCTTGTTGCTCTGGTACAGGTCCGTCTTCATTAACCGAATTGGTGCAACAAACTCCATTTCATTTCTTCTATTACAGCTATCAGATAATAGACTATATAATGTCACAGAAAGATCTAACGGAGATAATAGAGAAATATTTGTAACTATTGCCAACACCACTCTTGACGATTCTGGTATCTACAGATGTCAATTACACTTGATAGATATTTTCCATGATGACATATACCTCACAGTGTTGGGTAAATACATGTGTTTCTTCTGTAAATTGATTTTTAACTTTGCTAATTTTCTGGTTAGTTATATCAAAATTGTTGTACGTGCTGATGTGGAACCAAAGTGGCTCAGTGAGAATGGCGATGGCTCAGTAATCAGTAGGTATCAAATCCGATCCTGTGGTTGGCCGAGAAAGTTTCTCTTCAGCTTGACCCCCCCCCCTCCGACGCTGGACGAGGATACCTGGCAAGGGCGGCGATTAGTCGTTCGGGTGGGAAGTATACAGCTTGGCGTACACGTAAAAGACCCATTGACAGTTGAAATTTGAAAAATCGCCGTTGTTCGGGTTATATCGCCCTCATAGCACATTGCAATGTGTTTGTGGGTTCATCTTCTTTTTATTACATAGCCTTTTATTAAGAAAACAAAATCAAAATATCAACGCTAGATAATCTCCCGGCTTGGATTCAATCGAAATTAGCCCACCAGGTTTCTCCGCTACCGATAAAAGATGGCGGTATCTTCTTTTTACGACCGAGCAGCATAGATCAATAAATTTTCAATTCCACTCATCTTTGTAAATACTGAACGGAATTGAACCATTTTTGTACTGACATTCGTATTAAAGATTCAACTGTAACAAAAGTGTACTTTGTAAGTGATTCCTATTGCTTAAAATGGCGCATTGGGAGGAGATATAATATCTCCCCATTAACGGTCATTTGATTTAGCTTGTAAGGATGACAATATTAAAACGCCAACATCAAATTTACAATTATATTTTAAAGTACACGCTGATGTTCAAACACCCAAAGAGCTAACACCAGAGAAGCAAAGACCAACAGTACAAATACCAGAGAAGCAAAAGCCAGAGAAGCAACCATCAGGGGGTATAACACCAATACAGGAAACTGAACATCACATATCAAAAGAACAAACAACAAACTGTCAAATACCGGATCAACAAACAACAAACCGGCAAATACTTGAACAACAAACAACAAACCAGCAAATACCGGAACAACAAACCACAAACCAGCAAATACTTGAACAGCAAACTACATATCAGCAAATAAAGGGACAACAAACCACAAACCAGCAAATACATGAACAACAAACAACAAACCAGCACATATCAGAACAACAAACAACAAAGCAGCAAATACCGGAACAACCAACCACAAACCATCGAATACTTGAACAACAAACAACATACCAGCAAATACCGGAACAACAAACAACAAAACAGCAAATACTTGAACAGCACCCAACAAACCAGCAAATACCAGATGACCAAACCCACGTAAAAGTTCCTCTGGGCGCCATTATAGCACTCATCAGCCTTTTTCTGGTTATTGTCATCATACTCCTATTGATTGTTATACGGAAATCTTATGTTCGTAAGTATTTTATAATACCTAATAATTGATTAAAGGTTGATTGAAAAATACCATAAAGTTTTAGTTAGGCGAAATTTTCCAGGACAAAACACTTGACGCCCTTCAGATCAAATCATTCAATCTCTTTTCAGAATATTGCTCAACCTCCAGCTCTGCGACACCCAGTACGAACGTTTATTGTGAACCTTACGAAATCAGAAACCGAGAATCGTTGACTGAACCTAATATACCGAACCTCAACCTAGCTGATACAGAAAGCCTATCTGACATTAGAGTACAGGGACCGTCTCGTGTATCCGAGTCCTCTCCCCTAGCAACCGGGTATCGATCACCCCGGCCACCTGTATCAATCCAATCCACGACTGGCACGGGAACTCACTACCCTAAATTACCCCAACACCAAGAACATACCCCTTCTCCAAAAATGTGTTTACCCAAGGGTCTGGAAGTAGAAGATGACGAGGGTTTGGTTAAAACCGTTCAATTAACAACTATCTCCACCGTAACTCGGTCTGTCTCTTATCGAAAGGCTGCAGAGAGATCTGCCATCCATAAACAAACCACAGATTTTATGCCAGAAACTATCGACGCTGGTTTTCAGACTGCAATAGATAAACATATATTTAGTGATGATTCACGTGAAACATGTTTTGATTCTAAACGCCGCCCCACGGATGATGTGTCAGACACCATCCAACTCCATGTCGATAAAAGTCACTCAACCAAATTGAGATCCAGAGAGTTCGGTGTCCAAACACCAATAGATAGAACTACAAACTCCGAAGATGCACTTGGAACATTTCGAGACACTACGCACAGAAAAGCACACTATGTGAATAATACACCGGAATCGTCCAAACCTTGTGCTGATAAAAGTCGCTTAACCAAACATAGATCTCTCAAAATTACGCCGAAATCGGCTATAACGGAAATTGATATGACTAGAGCCCAAAGAACTAGGCAAAAATTTGATGGACAATCATTAGACGAGATTCCAGAAACAGATAATGAAATCTGTGACACACCTAGGTACCACGAGATTCGGGATAACCATATGAAAGTCGACGATACAAGTTCTACTGGAGAACAAGGTTCTGAAGGAATGGATGTTGCCTCTGTGGGCAGTGATAATGATAAAACTAGACCACCTGTGTGTAGTCAAACGGATGGAGACCAATCGTATTACTTAACACCTGTACATATAAAATATGATTACTTGTAAAAAAATTAACCCTGTATAAAAATGGTCTGTTTAAAAAAAATCCCGAAAAGTAAAACAAAAGGAACAAAAATTGAGAAACATCCGAGAAACATCAGTATTTTGAGCTGAAACATTTCTGAACTCATATAACCACTATAAATCATTTCCAAACGGCTCAATTGTATTTACATGCTTAAACGAACCTCTATTTTGCTCTGGAGATCATTTCCAAACGGCTCAATTGTATTTACATGCTTAAACGAACCTCTATTTTGTCCGGTTTCTCCCGACTGCTAAACACCCCTACGCGCTAGCGAATTATTGAAATAAAATTGAACCATGTGTTGGTCCCGAAATGACCTAGTTTGTGTCGAGTGGACGTTAAACCCAATCTCTCTCTCTGGGGGGGGGGGGGGGGTAGCACGTGCCCGCTGTATCATAAGATCTGTCCTCGGTTTTACGTGACAAGAAGTTAGGTCGCCTGTCCAAATATGTGGACGTTGAACCCCATTTCACAGAAACCTCAAGAACAGTTTTACGGATGACGGATTGATGACTAAAAAAAATAACGCGCAGGAACCATTGTTGATAAATAGGACGATTATGGTGTCATTGATAGAACAATACGCAATGGTGACCAACCATTGTCTAAACAGATAATTTTGAAACATTGGTAATGCATTTTCAATTTTGATTGTTGGTAGTATCGACGCTGGACTTTTCGTTCAGTAAATAGCATAATTGTTTATAATTGTTCACTAAATAGCATAATAGTTTGTAATTGTTCACTAAATAGCATAATTGTTTGTAATTGTTCCCTAAATAGAACAATTGTTTGTAATTATTCACTAAATAGCATAATTGTTTGTAATTGTTCACTAAATAGCACAATTGTTTGTAATTGTTCACTAAATAGCATAATTGTTTGTAATTGTTCACTAAATAGCATAATTGTTTGTAAGTGTTCACTAAATAGGATAATTGATTGTAATATTTCACTGTGCGCTGTTGAACGTGGCATTCTGCACGACAAAGAAACGTATGTATACATAACAAGAATTATCAACCAACCCTAAATAGGCCGATGTTTTTATTTGTAGGAGAGTGTAAGGTTATTTTGAGCATGATATTTGATAAAATTCATTAAATTTATTTTCTTATTTACATTGTAAAAACTCTGTCTTATATACCCTTCAAAAAAGTAGGGGATATTTAAATGCAAATACCTATGCAGGTTGTGATATGATAAATAGTCATGGACATTTGACATGCTTTGAGAGTATGTTCACAGATGAAGAACTTATCGCCCCAACAGAAGCACTGAGCTGCACATGCGACACGCTATAGCGTCATACACATGAGAGGGGTTCATTGTCAAATTTGGCACTTCCAGGAAGGGTTGATGAAAACTGTCGCGTGCTGGTTTATCTATTCATGTTTGCTTTCCTAACGGTTCTTGCATAAGATTTACTGTTTAGCGTATCTTTTTTTAATTTGATCGGGAGATATGTTCGTCGACGTCAACGTCAACCGACAACACTGCAAGAATTGGCCGTGGCATTGTAAGAGGGATGGGTCAGATTGACCCAAATCGTGATTGGACGGTTAATTAGGAGCATGTCACGGCAAATTGCTGAATGTCTGAGGATTGGTGGAGTAATTACTCATTATTAAGACAAAAATCAAAAACGTCCATTTTCACTTTTGACGGTTTATCTCTTTGCGAGTCAGATAAGCCGCCCATATGAACTGTTTATGTTCATGTGTAGGCAATTGGCATGTTTTTAACATACAGTGGTTACCTCTAATAAAAACAGCAGTGCATTTCCGCAGTTTTGTATTGTTTCTGAATATCCCCTACTTTTTTTAAGAGTATATATAAAACATACATTATGGGAGATTAGATAAAGGGCTGGCGGGACTCCCTACAATAGTTAAAAACTAGATAATGTTAAAGGAATTTGCTGAAAATTTTACATTTTAGTGATTGAGTTTACGGCCTAGTCTCGATCATCATTACTAAAGTCGGTATTTTATGATTAAAACATGAATGACAGTTGTGTAGCAAATCAGATACAAATACAGTAAATATCACAGGCTAGAGTTGACATCGAGAGTTGATTATGGTCCGGATAAGTTAATTTATGTCTAATTAATAGTTTATCTAACATTTTATGTCTGAACAAAGACCTGCAATAGGCAGATTTAGCTCTTGCATAATGTAAACTCGAGGTAATTAGCGTGCTCTCGTCTTTCATTTATTTCGTAAGTGATGTTTCTCATTATCTTTCCGGGTTTCTACTACTAAATGCAAATGAAGTATACATTTTTGAAATGAGCAATCAACGCCCGCGTCAATGGTGTATAACCAATGTTGATCAATCTGTCTTGTATGATGGCCATGACTATAACAGTATTGTATGATGACCATAACTATAACAGTATTGCTTTATTACTTTATATGTATATCTAATTCACGTATCCAATTGTAACTATTTCATTTATTATACGATTTTAGATTTATCTTGTAATTTTACTCATAGAAATAGTACAACGGCATAAAAAAAGCTGAACTGACTTTTATACAGGATCATAATTCTATTCTATTCCAAGGTTTTCCTGGTCAGCTTAAACTTTACCCCAGATGAATATACAATTCAAATAGGGCCCATGAAAGAGTCAACAATCTGACCGTGTTTACATTTCAACTAAAGGATGTGACATCACAAGATACTGGTATATATTGTTGTAGATTTGGAGGTCGAATTGTACCTGGCTGTGATGTAAAACTTATTGTTGCAGGTATATTTCCAAATAACAAAAACAAAATAATAACATTGTTTTTCGAAATTAAATTATAAAAATAACCATTTTTTCCTAATTAAAAAAACTCAAACCTTTAATGCAAAATTTGCCAGTAAACCTAGTTAGAGCCCATCGATTTTAATCATATTTAAAATTTAGTGTAAATCATGGGTACCCTATCGAGTGTTTATTCTTTCATTAGTTAGCAGTTTTCCGTTGTAACAAATGTTAGAGTATTTTTTCATATCAAATTTGGTGCGAAGTATTTGGCCAAAAATGGTTGCTTCACAACGCGGAGACACTATCATATAAGGTTTCATATTAACTCGGGATCTCGAGAAAATTCACATAGGATGTCAATATCTCGAGAACATTAACTCGAATTCTCGAGAAAATTTAAAGAGGATGTCAATATTGTAGGAAAATTATCAGGGGATTTCGAGAACATTAAATTGAGATCTCGAGAAAATTACCAGGTGATTACGGGATCGCAGGATCTCGAGACCTTCTACAAAATTTTGCATGACCCCTATACGCTTCCGTAACTAGAGTATCTTGTAAATCGTCATATTTCAAAACCATTAAGCATAGAATATTAGATATTTTAAAAAACAATTATGCTTAGAACGTATTTGTAATTAATCAAATGGTCTCTTTTATCAGCATTTGACTTAGAATATTATTCGTCCAAATCCGTTCCATATAAATATGCCAATTGTATTTCAAACATCCGTTATCTGCCCATAGCGTATTTATAAAAACAGGTAGATATAACTGTGTTGCTAAAAATAATGATGATGTTGAAGATGTATTAATATGTAGAAAATATAAAGATATTTGTTGTAAATATATTAAACCATATTATAGAATTATTATAGAGTGTATATAAATTTATTTAACTTCTGACTGTACATAATTATAAGGAATTGATAAATCTAGGAAAGTATCTATGAATAGCTTTTGAATCGAGAAACAAATTACTCCAAAATAGTAACAATATAAATTGGCATCTTAAATATTTGTAAAAAATGCAATGTCTAGTCTCTCATAAATAACAATCTTTTAAAATTTCTATTGTAAATAATTTCACATTTGCCCGTATGTATATTTTGTATATTGTACTGTATTGAATCTGGTGGGCAGGTAGCCTAAGGAATCAAGAACTGAACTGGTACGTAGGTTTAACCTCACATTTGATTGTTTTGATAACGGATTAGGAGGTTACTAGACTGTGGGTGTAGGACTATAGTCTGGTCTAATTAATTAGTATCACTGGTAGGGTGACCCACCATAAATAAATATCTCCATATATCTCGACAATTTCGCCACAATATTTATATATATGCCAAGCCTCAAATCAGTTTCACACAATTATAGTCACTAAATAAACGATCATGTTGTACTTAATAAGCTATGACCATTAATCATCTATAAATAATAGACTGAAAACTGGTTCCATGTGTCGTCCATAACATCCAGACACTTTTGAGTAAAAGATAGGTTACGTGCCCTTGTTTTGAAATTAGTCTCGCTTAACCAGTCTATCGACCATTCTAGGGCTGATTGACAGGTCGGGATAATCAAGACTACTTTTTTACGAAACATAACAGAAAGCTAGAACAAGAAATTGAATTTAGAAATGAGCACGTTAGCTAG